CTGGACGGTAATTCTGTCTGTGGCAGGTCCAGTTCCTTTTTATGAGAGGACGGGCGTTAGGAGAACATTTAATCTCATCTCGATAGACCTCATAAATTCACCAATCGTAATTCATTCCCATACGCGAGACGATGTCTAGACTATCTGGCATATGGAGCTCCGACAACATGCATTCAACCAGATGATTTCTAGGGAAAATCCAACTCATCATGAGGGTAATAGGATACGCAGTTTCACGTTGAGCAAAGGGGGGAAAAGGATCGACTCGCATTCTTGTACTTCTTTCCACCCTCCTGGCCCTAGTTCAGTATTGATCAATCGAAGGCCTCTTATCACATGGATAAAGAGGAGAGAAGATAATCCCTTTCCCATGAAGCGAAAGAACTATCGGGGCTTCTCGGAATCGTAACGAGGATAAAGGGAATCCTCGTTTGAAAGAACATTGCGAGAGATACCCTAGTGGGAGAAGAACGAACCCATGCTCATGTGAATCAATCCATCTCCTCTCTTAATTGTTTACTACGAGACAAGATGAGGGCGATAATTGATCTCCTCCGAGTGTATACACTAATAACCCTTTCCCACGATCCGAAGGGAAAACAAACTCCAGGCTCTTTCGGTACCGAGAGAAAAAAAAAAACCATTGGCGTTCGTGACCGGAATTATTTCTTTGGGGCAGGAAGTAGGACTATGACAGGGGAATGAGTTGAGTTTTTCCCCTCTTTTCTTTGACTTCTACTTCTTTCTTTCGCCTTTCCTCCTCGAGGTCAGCGAGCTGCGACCAGCCAGAACAGAAACGGCTCGAGGAACCCCAGAGGGAAAAAAGGCCATTCTGGTGCTTGGGAATCAATGTCACGGTCACAAATTGATACCTAAATCCACTGCACCGTGCGATATAAATGACGCCAGAGAACAAAGCGTAGCCCTGTTCCGGGAATACGAAAAAAAATTTGAAATCACCTGCTGGATTCGATGAAATACATGAATACAAAACTCCGCCAGTGCAACAATAGAGACGCAGGGTTTCCGAGAGAGGTGACAAAGAAGAGATTCATCACTTCTCTGGGAACTGATATATTAAAATGAACGAAAGAACAGTAGGACCCCACGTGCCAGGCATTAATTGTCATCATAATGATGGCAGTGACGGGGGTAATAACAGGTCGCGTGTACGTCCTTCCTCCCCCAGGGGGTCATTTTTAAATGTCGGGAAGAATCTTGTCGAGTCATGAAACCTCATGTCATGTCGGACTTTCCAAGACGATGAACTCCTCAAGGAGAGAATCGAGTAATCTCGACGGCTCTACATGCAATTAGACACTCCGCCCCTGTGTTCTCCTTCAATCTCGGAGAACAGAAGTGCTACGTGACTCAGCAGGACATCCGAAGAAAGAGAGAGAAGGAAAAAAGAGCCAGAGGGTGACCGTACTGCTCTCTTGATTGTTTGGGTGGATCTACGTACATACCAGGTTCGGAGACATATGGACATTCAAACTAAGGGAAGATTGATTCATCGTTCCGGTTTTGATTTCCAACACACTTTCCAAGATTTTCTGGTTTTCAAGCAGGGTAATCTCTATCTTAAAACAAAGGCGTGGGATTCTGGCAAACGAAGAGGGTTCATTCCGATGGTTCTCCTGCCAAGAATAACCTCCGTCAGGCGGCATGCTCTAATAGACAGCACAGCGTGAAAAAATGCACAAGAAAAATGAAAGCAATAAAAAAAAAGAAGAAAATTCCTTCCATGAATGCATCCGAGAACCTGCGTCAAAGGTCCGTGAGGAATAATTTGAAATGGAATAGGGTGATAATGACCTTGAGCATTCCGAAGCCGAACGCCCAACATACAGACATGCATGCTTCAGAAATCCTCAGTTCATTGAAGAGACAAGTAAGCTCCATTAATTCACTACCTACGCACCCGATCGGAAGACAATAAAAAAAGAGCAATCACTCGTCTGCCTTCTAATCCCATTATCACTCATCCATGAGCTCGGTTTTAGTTTACAAGCACGTAATCCACAAGCATTAAAAAAGATGTGGCAAGAGCGAGGAGACAAGTGATTCCACTTCCACCCATTCCAGCGACAGCATCAAAATGATAACCAGTTTTGGGGACCCACACCCCAATGACAAGTCTGTGAGAGCCGAAACCACCAGTGAGATTTCCTCCAACGAAACTCACTGGGGTGGCTGAATACAACTAATTTCGGATAGTTAGACGCCAACTTCACAATTAGAGAGTATTTAAAAAAAATACATACATTTTGGAACAAATTAATTTAAAAAATCGTGCAAACGGCATCGTCGGCATTCTACATTTCAATAACACCAACGTTTCTTCGTCACTCTGAACAAGGAAACTAATGGTGCCACTCATAGCATAGGACAGTGGCCTCTTCCCATCTGATATCCCACTAAAAGGACTGTGAACACTAGTCAGCCACTTATTTTTTTCGTAGAGCGAAAACGGGAATTTTTTAAGGCAGGGAGGGGAAGGGTGAGGCCATCAGGGGAATGAATGACATATTAATTGTGCAGGGAGGAGATGGAGGTGGGAGAAGAAACACATCTTCTTTCATTCTTGAACCTTCCTTCACTACTTCCCTTGAAAGGGGACAAGCCAAAGATAGCGATAGCTACTTTTTTTCCTCCTCGTTTACCAATTCCTGGGAGAGACAAGAAAACGTGGCAATCTCCCCTCTGTCGTTCTGCCGTGCCGTAAAAAGCCGTTAGAAGAGGAACTGACAGATAAGCACTGTTTAGTCTGATACCGTGTTTGGCACCTTCAGATCCGCTTGAAACTTCCTCGACCCTCCCGTGTTATCTAGGCCACATCCTATTGCCTCTATCCCTATCTTTCTACTAGTATGGTCGCCGCTGTTGGACCAGACTATCCTCCTACAACAGTCCCTCCTTCCGGTCCTTGACTGCAATTGCATCTTATCCGCGGCTGGGCTCAATGGGATTTTCATTCTACTGAGTCAGGGACCACCCCTGGTGCAATCTAATCTCCCTCCCGGATCCAAGAACCCCTCGTAAAATATGTAATGAAGCGTTTTTTTTTTAAATAGGCTTACCCTCCCTCAGCACCATAGGGTTGAGAGGGGGAAAAAATAGAGGGAGATATGGAGCAATTAATTATTGGAATTTTTTTACACAGCGACCACGGAAGCGGAAAGAGTCCGGCCAAGGAAGAAATTCAAGGATTGAATGTCATTAACGTTGCTCAGGGGAACAAAAAACCAAACGCCAGATGGAAGAGGAGGATAAGAGTTGAGCAGAGACTTCACTTTCACACCTGTTCCAATAAATCTCGGACTGGATTTTACAACTCCCGAGTGTCGCGCGGTCGTGCACGAAGTTCCTTGCCCTTCACGCCAAATGGAGCAAGCCAAAATTTTCTCCTTTTTTTTTTTAGCCTTTCCATTCCCTTCAGCCCTGTGTTCAACAGACCGACGACGTCGTCATCATCGTCATCGCTTTCATCGCGACTGCCTTCCCGTATATCCGATTTGGAGAGCAAGGTCTCTCTTTATCGAAAGGAATATCATGGAAAGCGAATGGAAAAAAAAAAACACGATCACGGATGCGGCGAGAGAGAGAGCTGACCTACCACTAAGTCTTCTTTGTCCCCTTCGACAACTTCTCTTTCTTGTCACGCACTGACAAGGAATTTCTCTTCTCCTACTAATTCTTTGTTCTCTCTCTCTCTCGTTTCATCACAATGCTACCTGGAGGGAAGAAGCACATTTCATTCCCCCCCTTTCTTATTTTTCTTTTTTTTTCAGCAAGGGGATACTACCTTAGCGGACCCCCCGGAGACCCATAAGGCCCCCATGATCTTCGGGGATTCCACAATCCGCATGCTTCGTCACGACGTTGGGACTGAGGCAACGAGGAGAACGAAGAGAAAGAAGAATGAATTTTCTCTGCTTCTTCAAGCATGAATAGAAGAAAATCACGGGATCAAATTCCATCCCTTCTCTTCCTTTTTCCTTCCTCCCCTTCTCTTCAAAAGCTTCTTAATTCGCGTTTTGCTGCTCCCTGCATAGGGGAAGCCCCACAATCCCAGACCATCATGAGGGAAAAAAGAAAATTGGGCCTCCTCTCATGAATACTTACGTGGAACCATGTTTTATTAGGGCCGGACGAGGAATGCCGAACAATTAGGGAACGATCTTGTCCCAAGTCCCCGCCCGAATGTGATTGGTGCTTTGCACGACATTCGATATGACCACTGATAGTCATCGATGGGCAGAGAGCGGGGGAAAAAAAGGCTATGGGGAAAGAAGACATCTTAAATCGCATGGGCGTGACATCGGGCCATTATCACACGGGTCTAAGTACGGGGAAAATCGGTCTCCATTGAACATAACTAATACCCAGCCTCCGGGTGTATATGAAAGAAAATGGGCAGGTAATAACCCCTCCTTTTTTTTCAATGAACCCCTCCTTCCGATTCCCACATGACATGGCTGTCGCCCAACACGATTAACAGCCTTTCATCTATTCTCTCCTTTTAAATGGCTTCCTTTCCATCATAGCCACCGGAACGAGACTCGTGTCTCCGAAACGAATGACTTTTCTGACTTCCTCACATTCGTAGAAGAGAGGAAAAACCGGGGCAAGGCGATGCATCCTTGGGCTCAAGTACACACCAGTCGGTCTGGCATTGCATTTGAGCACAAAGAGTGAGGGATGTGGAAACGTCACGGCATGAGACTGTGGGGAGCATGAAAATTTGATCATATCCATAAGAGCACGTCTCCCACGAATGGGATTTGTTTGATGTAGGCCCGAAGAAAAAGGCAATCTAGATAAGACGAGGGGAGAAGAAGGTCGGCGACCCCATACAGAGAGCCTCCAACCTAACCTGTGTCGTCGTCCCCCCACCCGCCTTCCCCCACCAATGAGGATTTCTTGCCTGGATATAAATTATTGTCCAAGCAAACTCCCATATTCGCATGCTTTGTTCCCCCTCCCTCCCCCCAACTCACCATCGAATCGATTCTCTCTCTTTCTCCCCTTCTCCCCTCCTGGGTGAAGCCAGGTCATCGTCCCATTTCCCCTCAAAAATGATGGGCCTCGTACCTGTTCGTTCCAATAGGTACGAAACCCTCCTTTTGTCCCCGCGTCCCGGACTACGGAATGCGTCAACATCTCTTAGTGTACAGATTGGATTTCTGACGACGAAACCCCAGTGGCACAGTCGTGGCGGGAAACTGGGTGGGAATACTAACAAAGACAAAAACGGCTGAGGTCAACTAGATTCCAATAGGTCTTTAAAGTTTCTTTTGGGACATACGAGAAGTGTTGAGAAAAAAACATCGAGCCAGGCACCATGCTGGGTTCGTCTCAGCTGGGTATTTTACCGAAAACGCTTCAGTGTCAGGCTGGAATCGACGCCATTTCTTGGGAAGAAATAAACGCGGCTGTATGCTATCAATTCACCTCACACGTCAGGCGCTGATATCGATGATATGAATCGTAGGAAAATGGCTAGTAAAGTAATGGTCCTCGTGGAGTGTCTCCAGCTCGACCCCTTGACACTTCCCCCATGGACGTGTTTCATATGGTGAACATCCGGCTGCTTTCTGCCCTGAATTCCCACCCGGAAGATGCTAAAAAGGGCCAGCATTCCAAAAAAAAAGTGTGTCGTAATCGAGCAGCTGGAGACACTTCTCGAAAGTTCCCTCGCATCCACATGGAAAATGATATTCCTGTTAAAAGCGATTAGTGTTTGGCAGAATCAGGTCGCACGGCTCCATGACGAAAACTCCGTGGGCTCGGAGACTACGGACTCATAATGTGGCACAGGCATCGACTCCCCCTCGAGGGATCTATCATAACTTCCCTTCTACCCCCCACCCTCAAATGGAATGCTCATGAACGACACCTTTAGCGCACTTGCGTTCTAGCTCCTTTTTTTTTGCCTCCAGACCAGACATCGCGGATGGGGAGAAATAAAAGCAGGCTACGAAGGATTTAGCTATAGTTTATCTAGACCTTGCCGGTTTTCCCGAACACGTGCCGCACATAACTTGTGAGTTGTATCTATCTGGTAGTGCCATCGCGTCTGGCAAGGGAAGGGAGACGGGCTGGAAAATGAAATAGCGGACTGTAATCACCCTCGTTGCGGTCTTAATTAATATGAAGGGGGGTAGGCTCACGCAAAAACGTGGTCCTCATGTCCGGACTCGGATTCGTTCCGCAGCCGGCAGTTCTTCGCAAGCCGACCTCTCCATCATATTACTGGCTTTTCTCTCTTTTTTTTTGTTAAAGCTGCCCCTCCCCGTTTTTTTTTTTTTTTCCTTTTCCAAATTGGATGATACCCAAGGAGAGAGAGATCATTTCCGTCTTCCGGTGCAGGCACGGGGTCTTGCACCTGACCATCACGTCCGGCCGAATGCGGAAAATTAAGTAATGCTGGGGGATTTGCTTTTGCCTTTGCTCGGCTTCGTCGAACCGTGAATCTCACGCACGCATTGCGACACACCTCACCTTTTCTCTCCACTATTACAAGGGCCCAGGTCAACACACCGAGCATGGTCCATCACGAGGGATCGCAAGGGCAGAAAACCGGCTCCAAAAATTCAAGATGAGACATCCCATTTGAATATTAAACAGACGACAGCAAAACATAAAATCTGGCTTTTTTCCCTTAAAAAGATAAAGCGCTGGATTTCTCGGTAGGGCTTCTCAAAAGTTCCCACGAGCTGGGAAGTCCTCCAGCATGAAAGCGACTCGATAAGGCACGTTGGTTTCAAATACGGCAAAAGAAAAAAAAAAAATCCCAGGAAACCCAAATGACTTAACGATGCGAGAAACTTGGGCTTCTCGCATCGATTCACATACGGAATAAATAAAAGGTTGAGCGCTTGCCCGCATCCGTCGCAGGGGAGAAATAAAAATTGCCAGGCACCACGTCCCTCATTTCATTAAATCGTCCCTGAGGTTGTTTGTTCATTAAGAATGCAGGGAACACCGGTAGGCATAAATAGCCGCAGCGATGATAAGAAAGCAAAATAAAAATGTCGGCGCCAAGAACCGGAGTGACACGTCGTAAAGAAAGCACCCAAGCCGCAAAAAAAACGAAAAAAAAAGAAGAAATAACGTATCTACCAAGGATCTGGTTTTAAAAAAGGCAAGGCAGGCCAAGATTTATGTTTTACCACCCAGAAGATGGATTTTCTCAATTCCTTGCTTCCCTTCCAGTCAAGCACGTATACGTCATAAAAAGAAACCATCGAGGAAAGAAGGCATGATCGAATCCCACCGAACCAGACACCTTTTCAAAGCCGTGTTCGTGCCGATTTCTTTTTCCATCGTCCGATTACCCATTATTTCCCACTGTTTTAAACGAAAGACTACCGAGGCACGAGTGAGAAGACGAGCAACCGAGTGTGCACTGCAGACACACGTTGAAGGACACAAGAAGAGAATAGTCACACCGGCTAGCGTTTATTGCTCAATCCTTGGATCATTATTTTCTCCCTGCAGTTCTTTCGTTCTACCCCTATTTTTTCCCTTCCCTTTGCGTGTGCATAAACAGAAACGGGATCAAGGGCGAAGAAAATAGTGGACACTTTTCTTTCCCCCTCTCACTCTCTCGTACCGGCCGGCTTCCCATACCATTCCGTCCTTTCAACGTATCCCACACCGGTATGTATATATCGGGGGTTCATGAAAGCCAAACTTGCCCAGATTACATCAGTCCTTTGTCACAGTGACGGCATGAACTCCTCGAGGTCAGGTCAGAAGGAAATTCCCCTCCAAACATTTATAAGAATTCAACTCGCGTTTGCGTCGCGCTCAGAACGATCTCCAAACGGCGAAAAGAAAGGCTGGGGAGAAGAAAATATGGTTCGAAGCTGTCCTGTTGGATTAGACATGCGGGGATCGAGTAGGATGAACAAGCAAAGTTCTCGTTTCTCCCCCAGGCTTCCCTAGTCCTTCTGTCACCTTCAATTATTCATGCTGCTCCTCACAATGCAGACAGTTGAAAGGAAAAGCCAGTGAGTAAGCAAGCCCCGGACATATCACATCACTGCATTCTCAGCTGCGAGAGTGCCATTTTCGTCGATCAAGGACGTAGGCGTGAGCGTGAGGGTATTTTTGGCTGCGAGAAGGCGAAAACAAAAAAGAAAGGGAAGAAATGGGCGAGGAAAAGAGAATGGAAGGAGATGGGTACGAAAAGATACCCGAGACCTCAACAAGTTCCCCCTCGTGCGCAACGTTTTCGACATGATTTTTTCGGGAATCCGGGACAGGCCTCGAAACCGTGCCATGTAGCTACCGACCGATCTGCAGACCTTTTCACCCGCAGTGCTTGCACATTGCTTTCACTGAGTACTTCAGCTTTTCCTGGAAGCATTTGGGTCAACAAACACGGGACTTTATAATACGGTCCCGCGTGACCGAATCGAGGGGGGCTGTCGACCTACTCCATATGTATTCTAATTCCAAAGGTAGGACCCGTTACATAATGACCCCCGGAAGTACGCGCTATACATCACAACAACACTCGAACATCGGCCTAAGAATGGACAAAGGCAGCGGGAGTTGGGGGACGGATTGTTCAGCGAAACAGGGTACGAGGCCCACCAACGTTTCCGGGAAGTATCGGGCATACACTTACAAGGAAAACTCTGATGGAATACAGACGTGGGGGGGGGGGGGAGGGAAAAGGGCAGAACTCGTTGATCTTGCGCCCACTTCCTCTTGCCTACCATTCCTCGCCCACCCAGCATAGAATACTGAGGAAACGAGGGCAATAGCCGCAGTATTTTCCAATCCTCACAATACTCGAGAAAGAACACAATGGAGCAACCGAGTTGGAGAACATTCTCATCGGTCCTTGCCAGATCTCTCCCCTACTTGTGACCATCGCCATCCACATTCGCTGATATTTTCGCGACCGATCGTACCACAGGGTTCTGACTCTCAACTTCAAAATAACTTGTCCGGTATTGATGATAGTGATAAGCAGAGGATGGCAATACATGATATCACGTATCCCCGAAGTGGGTTGCCGCATTGAGTTGAGAGACGATTGGAGAAAGAGCACAGTCTGGTGACAACAAAGAGCTATTGGAAGGTCAAGTGACAGGTCAAGTGTATGTCTGTCTATGTCTGTCTGTGTCTGTGTCTGTGTGTGTGTGTGTCCATGCGTACGCGTGTGTGTAAGTGTGTATGTATGGGTGTGTGTGTGTAGCAGAGGCGAGGGATAGGCGGTATTTAGTGTATCAACAATGGCCACATGAAGGGTCAGATGGATAAAATCCCGCAAGGATTGCAAGAGGTAGGTGAGCAAACAAAGAAGAAAAAAAAAAACAAAGAAGGTAAACACAAGAGGCAAGCCCAGGAGAGGATAGAATGCGTCCATCGAGTCGGTTCATCTTTAGAGAAAGCAAGGGGACCAACAAAAATGCCTTCCAGTCTCACGCTCTTCTTCCCTATACCTTTCACTTGTCCATACGATACACTGATCCTTGTCTAGAAAAAACCTTTATCGACTGCCTTTGTTTTCAGGAGGGGTCGATAATGATCCGCAGGGTAAAAACCAAAGAAAGTTTGAGACGGCAGTGGCAGAAGGTGAATCAGGAACAGGCGACGCTCTAGCCCCTAGCCCCTAGCCCTGCTCGTGTTGCATCTGGCCGAGCGTGATGACGAACGGAACACCTCGTACATTCGTTCCCCCTCCCTCCACAATGACATCAACTCGTGACAAATGAATCTTAATGACTCTCATAATTAGATATCCATAAAACCCGAAGAGAGGGAAGGTGGGAAAAACAAAATCTATCAACGAGACAGGTCTCCCTCTCTCCCAATGACAAAAAAAGAGGAAATAGCGGGTCCCTGTATATGCACATGCCATAAGCCAATATTTTGCTTTGAAGGTCCTCGATTTTAGTAATTGATGGAATAGGGTATGTGGTCAAATCATATTATCTCAACATTATATTTACTGACAACCAGAACGACTGCCTCTCCTTGAAAGAGAATAAAATCCTTTTCACTGATAGAGTTCTCCATCGACAGCGGTATTTGCTGATGGAGATGTCTGATTGACATGTCCTCGTTGGCATTTTTGATAATATAGCATCGATACATGTTGGCATCAGCGAGGCTTGCGATGCAGATATGAAGGCACTGAAACTTAAAATCTGAAGCAAAAATGGTTTAGTTTTAGGTGAAATTTGATTCCATATGCAGTTTGAAAAAAAAAAGATTTTACTCTGAAATAATTTACTTGGTACTTCAACTGCATCTGTTTCCCCTTATACAGCCGTTCAACTACCTGGTAGGTTAAGGTCAACATCAAGAGTTTTAAAACCTGATACGAGAAAACGTCAAGATTGACACCTCTACTTGTCGACGTATCGAATTTCTGCCGATATCAATCGATACTAAAAAAAAGGGGTAGGAGGGCTCACCGGGGCTGTTGGCTTGAGTTTCAAGTATGACGAGGTCCTTGTCGGGAGAGGATTGAAGGAGGTCTCCGGCGGGTGAAAGACGTCGATGAAGGAAGGCCAAAGCAAGGGCCTTCTCACCGGGGCCCCAACCGCATAACCATGAAGACATCAAAGACAACTGTTCCCGAAACGACGAGCCCTGCAGGTTCTGAGCTTCACTCCTCGTCCCACCTCCTCCTCCTCCTTGATAGAAGCCACCAACCCCACCACCCACCACCGGATGAGGCACTCCCGTCGGCGTGTAGGTCTCCCCGGGACATTTTAGCATGGGGTCTGCAAGTTAAACAATGCATACGGAATTCCGTTAATTATTGATAGCAGGGTTGAAGGAATCTAAGACATTCCCTATATTATGGATGTACGATCGATGCTTGCTCGTCTGCCTTTCTGCCTTGCTTCCGTGCAAGGCAAGGCAAGCATCCATCCTTGCATCTCCAATTCTGATTAGAACTTCGCGTGCACGGTTTCAATACCAACCTCTTCCAAAAATATATTAATACCGCTCCCGGTTTAAATTTAGGCCATATAGAACTTCCTGAACAATGAACGACCCCAGTTTTCAGTGTGGGGAAGGGCTGATCTTAGATAAAGATCGAAGTTGTGAGGAGGTATAACGGGAAATCTAAATCGAAAAAAGGGGAGGGGGCTCAACGTAAAAGAGCGGGCGTAGCTGCCAAAAAAAGTCATTAAATCCTCGTTGGAGAAATGAAGACCCAGACTGCTGGGGGTGACCTCAGAGAAGTTCCGTGTCTTTGGGTGTCCTTTTCCATATGATCGTGAGCGCCTGGAGGGGGGAACCATTGCACGGACACAAAGAAGCCTACACACACAGACATCCATTGGTTCCATGACCCTAGTGCACAGAGAAAGGGGGATAAGCACCGACCGACCCCTCTTTCTTTCTTCCCTCCTTCCTTTTTCCGTGGATAACGGGTTGCACGAGGCGACTCGATTGATAGAGGGATGGTATCATCAGCGGGGCGAGGATGAGAGAGGATAATCGAAAAACGGTGTCACCCGTCCCTTTTAATCTCATGGGGGGAGTGCACATAGGCTTTCACGTTACCAACCCGCGTCTCATCTTACCACGAGCAGTTTTTACTCACACCTCTCGAGGATCTCATATTCAGGAATAAGTCTTTTTCAGGGTGCTGCAATAGGAGGCAATCGTTCTCAGTCGGATTATCGGCGTGTCCCACTTCCCAAACTATCATCTTCCGATTTGACACAGGTGACACCAGGGGGGAGAGACATGAAAGGAATGGCAGATCAATGACCTCAAAAGAAACGGGAAAGACACAGGGGGAATTCAGGCTCATCGGTGTCCCATGCAACCAGGACACGGGGGCGAGGGGAATGACGGGGGTTGAGATGCAGTCATTATCGAAATGACAGTCCGGAACGATGACTTTCCAGTTGCTGACAATGCAGGGAACGTGCATGGGCGGAATATGAGAATATACCAATAAATAACCTAACCACCGAGTATAATGAGGTTGTAGCATTCTGCCAGGTAATCCAATGATGTTCAATGATGTTAATTCCTTGCTGCAGCTGCAGAATTGCAGATTCGGGGTGGGGTGTTTCACGTGTCAGCCGATAGAAAAGATGGGGGGGAGGGGGGGCACAGGGGGATATTACATGACAGACCTAAGTCCTCTATATCTATAGATGCACGTGCATCCCATTCACTAATTCCAGAGAGAAGAAATCCACGACAAACAAAGGCCAGTCACGTATTCGTCGCTCGTGCCCCAATATCTTCCCATCATTCCTTCTCACTTTCCCCACAAATTGCGTTATCGGGCTCTTAAATCGCCCCCTTCCTTCAAACCGCAACCGAGATATTATGGGACCCCTAGTTCTACGCTACGCTTTCTTTACCTTTTTTTTTGTTTTTCTACCTCTCCCCCCCTTTGGAGATTCTGAATTCTCCCTCTCTCTGGGCGTGGGAACAGAACAAGGCCCCTTCTATTTAGACGGTGCTTTCCACGCATCAATGGAAACCCCGAGTGCTCTCTTTTCTCTTTCCCTTTTTTTATGGCATTCCTTCGATCGCAGAATGACTACATGGCGCTCCCGTACAATCCTTCAGTAAATGTGTCAGGAACCGGAGACGTGATCCCTTGCACGAGGCACGTTGACATGGACTTCCTACGCGTTTCTTCTCCGTCTTCCCCCCCGCAGGTGCGAGACGACATTCAAAAGCCACCCAAGACGGATAACCTAATCCATGGGGAATGTGTACCCGAGGGAGAGTGAAGTAAACAAGGGGGTGGGGGACTTCGACCCAGGTCTTCGGGTCCTTGAATCCTTCCCAGACATTTAATCTTTCGAGGCGCGCCCTGTTTGTCCTGTCAATCACCAGGAGACACGAATTTCAGATGCAACATGGGTCTGAGGGGTACGATAAGGAAAACCACCCCTATTTCTTGCCAGCTTCCATGAACCCATCCATCAGGAAGAAGTACCTCAAGGAAAGAGACTCCCTGGGTGGACCAAAACATGGAACAAGTACTCGAAGGACCCCCAACAGCCTCTCCTTCCAAACCGGATTACCCATTTTTCATGTCTGCCGTGGTCGAAAGCCATCAGGAAATACAGCGAGAGAGAAAACTGTACCATCCATCACGTAGGCATACCGTCATGGCTACAACGGAATCGTCCTACAACCATGATCGAGTTAATCTACGGGGGAGAGAAGGATAAGATCTTTCCCAGACGAAAGTGAATGGATTCCGGTGCATGTTTGTGTGTATATGCAACCAATGAACGCCGGAATGCCACAATGGGTTCCAGCCAAAGAAAAATCAGTGCCAAGCCGCCTTCCTGCCTGGACTGGTTCTCCCGACATGTCTCTTTGGGCGTCTATTCCCCAGTTTATGGAGCCTGCCTGTGTGTTGGAGGGGGATTCAAATGCCAGAGGGGCTGAGACAGAGATGGAAAAACAAGTCGTGCCACTTGCTAGCATGCTTCATTGCCCCCCCACGTATTGACTGGTTCATGTCATCTTCCGACACATCCTGACGACTTCTCGGTCCCCATCTTGAGAATCTGTTCCCCCCGCTTGGCAACGCGAGAGACAGATAGGCAGAAACCGACCTCTGCAAAGGCAAGCGTAATTAGTGGCCAGGGATGATGAACACCTTCCAGCTGACACGACAGCAGTGAACTCCATCCACGTGTAAAGACCTCTCCTCAAGCTTCCTGATACTTCTCTTTGTCTCTGCGATCAAGAGGTTCATTCTGGGTACTGTACACATCGCCTCCTGCTGCGTCACAATCATCTATTGTTCCGTGCACGGATGGCGAAACCATTCCTAATGGAGCCGGTGCCGTTCATCACCGAGACAGTATCAGAATCATCTTGCATCACTAGGAGGATCCCTTCGCGGAATCTCCCTCATCATCGAGGCTTCTATTACTGGTATCGGGATCTGTCCATCTCTTTGCCTTCCCGGAAGTTCACATCATCGGTTGAGGGGGAAACAACGTGAGGTGACTGGGAAGGAGGGGGGGGGGGGGGGCTTGGAGACTTGACAAATCGACGCGTTGTATCATTCAGGGAAGGAAGTCCCAAGACTATTGGGATTCCTGGGAGTCACAGAGGAATAAACAATGCTTTCAGTCAACGAAGTCTACGTCTTCGCGTGTGACGAACGCAAGCATCTATTTTTACTGGTTTAATGATACAGAGGGCCCAGGGGGAGATCCTTCCCTCCCCTTCGCCACGTGTTCCTGTTCCTTTCAAGACTGAACGCATCCAAATTCTCTCTGCATATGGCATCATGCCTAGTATAAGACAAAGTAAACAGAGAAGCCGGCTCACAATCGACTGGATCGGCAGCTGGTTTAGCCCTAATTGGCAGGCGGTATTTAACACATACACCCTTACCCACTCGACCGCTTTCCATCATATGCCAAGAGTAAACAAGGCAAATCTTTCCCAGAACGTTTAAACAATGCCGACAAGACTCACGCGACGGGGAACCGGATGATTGCATGCTGTTCCAGGACAGGAAGTGATCGGCGTGCACCTGAAGTCCCACCGGGGACGGACCCTTGTCCCACATGCTTCAATCACACACACACCAATTCTCCATGCGATAGAAACGATCGGTCTCGTGTTCCTCCAGGCACAACTTCTACGGTAGAATGCGCCGGAGCAACCCTCTAGGCGAAAAGAGAGGATCAACGGAGCGGGAGAGAGCGTAGATGCATCCGGTGCGGTGCCAAGCGCCACACTGCGGGCGACCCTCCTCATTCTCCCCGCCTCCTCCTTCCTTCTACCCCCCCCCCCCCTCTCCTCCCCCCTCCTCCCTCGCTCTATAGCTCTCTCCTTCGCTAGTCAATGGGAGTATTGTGTGCGAGTGAGTATTTCCAGGGAGCGCGTGGGGCGACGCGCACTGACGGAAAAATTACTACCGGCTTTTCTTCCTTCGTCCATTCCCAGGAGCTGGGACATCTGGGAGGGATAAAAAAAAAATGTGACCCGATTTCCCACCTCATTACGCGCTTTTACATCCAGCTATGGAGGTGTTACTCTGGCAATGTCCCTGGGCTTTATCAGATGTTCTCCAAATGGCGATTCGGTCAAATTTGGAGTCATGACTGCCCGCTTGCGTAACAGAGGGCTAAACCACCTGGCACAAAAAAATCCAAATAATATGGCTTCCCGTCATGACGCAGCATGAAATGACAAAAACGCGCAATAGCAGGACCAGAACTTCCCTACAGATCCGGGATCCCGAGATGATGTAAGCTGACGATCCTTGTACATTTACCTGAGGCATTTTCGATCGAGCGACCATCCGATTCCTTAAGCCAGTTTGTTCCATCTCACCTCAACTGAATGAAAAGAAAAAGCACTCGGTGCCGTTATGGCAATGCCCTGGCGAATGAACTCCCGATTCTCGAGACCAGGTTTCCCCTCTAGCAGCGTGGGACTGGCTCTTCGATGTTGGATGAGAGTCGTAGCCCACCTAGGCTATGCGGAAGACCTCTTGAAAGGATTTCGGCCCTTCATCGGCTCCGTCAAACAGCCCAGGGCACCTCGGCCCCTCAATCGATAACGCCTCCAACTCTCATCACCATCGAGAGGCGGAGAGGCAATCAACTCTGATCCCTTTTTCCAATCCCCCTCAGAGACAAACTATGTCATGGTCCCGCGTGTCTCAACTCTCACAGCAGCATGTAAAACAACCGGTCCAAGAACTGTAATAGCCATTACACCAGAAATCCATCATCGATGAGCATTAAAGACCTGTACGACTCCTGTCAAAGAACAGGCCGCATTCGAACACACCGTACCTCGCATCCAGGCAAGGTGACATGTGCGAGCATGAGCCTATCCCGGTCGATAATGAGACGATATCCGATCACCCGACCGAGTACACTTTGGCCCCTCTGGAATGCAGATACACGTGGAGGAGATTTCTGTGCTCCACCCCATGCCCATGTCCAGATGAGGGGATAGACTCCGCGAGGAGCATCTTGCATTCCGTTCTGGATTACGATGCCGAGGTGCGATGTGCTTATTCTTAAGGTACACATCCCCCCCACCGAGAAGCATCATCCCACGGTTATTACTCGTATTCCCCTCCCCGTGTAAACGGTGGTCTCCTCCCATTCTGTGCCACATGTACGATGGGTCGAGAGCAAGACAGATTACTTGGCTAACGACGAGTTACCGATCGCGTATAGTTTTGCGGGTCGTTGGACTCCAGCGCTTTTGTCCCCAGAAACTGAAATCCGGGTGCAAGTGAGAGAGGCTAGGACGGGGTGAATGCAATCAATTCCAGATAAAAGCTCCGATGAAGGAGATCCATTTCATCCCTACGCGTGTATTCCTGAGAGGTCACACTTGATTGAAATTTGCATGCACATGACACTCGCGTTTTGTGCCATTCAAACAGGAAGTCTCCAGTCCGTTCTACATTTTAGGCTTCATAAACCAGGGTGTGTCGTCTGACCGTTGACCTCTTCGCGTCTCATTCTCCGGCGTGGGTAGCAGTCCGTTTGAGCAATGATACACATTCTCTTTTTTTTTGGTTTGGCTGCAGGGCACATAAATATTTTACAAAGCCCTCGGTTCACACGACGGGACAAGGATGAACAGAGAGTCTTTCTCTCCCATTGTTAGCTGGCGCATCGCGCATATTAGAGTACTGTACTTTGAGTCAGCCATAAAACAAGGCCGGAATGGCCGCAAGGCCCCTTTGTCTGCCGGGTCCTCGGTGAGAGGAAAAAAGAGGGAGAAAAATAAATAAACAATGCCCCAAGTCTGTCCCAGTTGTTTTGGAGGGATTCCCATAAATCAAGATGGCGTCGAAAGTGTCATTCATCGCCCGGATCCCAGGGCACGTTACAGACCTCTATGGCAGACCCGTTACAATATTGCACGCTCGTGATCCCGAAAAGCCTTTCATTTCACGCCACGCAAAAAAAAGGGAAACCCCGTTACGTGTCCGGTCTTGACCCATCCATACACCTCTCGGCCCCTTCGAGGAAGTTTTCATGCCTCCTGGTTGCCCCCTTTTTTTTTCTCTCTTTCTTTCTGTTATGACCTTCTTTCCTTTTCTTCTCCCTCTTCCTTCCTATTTTACTCGCCAATAAATAACCTCATGATTACTGTGTCAGGAGGACTTTCTCAGGAAGGATAAAGGATTCCATGCGAGCTCCTTTGTTCCCAGTCGATGATGTCTTCTGCATTATCATTCAGACGACGGGGCCAAGACAGAGAAAGTTTTGGCTGGAGTCCCTGGAGATGCTCTCGTTCCACATGTAATTGATAAGAGTTCACTTCCTGAAACCCGACTGGATCGCACTCGTTCATTACATGGAAATGATGGCAAGAGAAGAGTCAATTTGAAGCTTTTCATGATAACACAATCACGACGAAAATTCCAAAAGATGATAAGCGAGAAGCGAGAGACATCGACCCATCACCCCTATCTGAGAGCTTGAACATGACCTGCACGAAGCGGCTAGCGGGACGTGGAATTCAAGAGTACTCAGAAGCACGAGAATATGAGAAACAACACCTCGAGTGCCCCGCGATGAGGCATAGTTCCCCTCTGACATCTTTTCCTTCCTGTCATCTATGATTATCATCCCATCCATCCATACAGTTACAGGTCCGTCAATGGGCGGACCGAAGCGAGGACCATAATTAGGGGAGGTGAGGTGGACCTCGAGGCGAGGGAAGAGAAGAAAGGTTCGTCCATAATGAGGTCTCATAATGCACCTGCATGATATTGCAAGATCACCGAAGCAGAGAAGACTGTTCTCGAGAAAACCGGGCCCGAGATAGCCGTTTGGGCTCATGTACTGTCCTCTCTTCTCTGCTCTCTCCACCCATGGATTCTGCACCTAAGACTTGATTTATTGCCTTGCTCCTCCCTCATAATGTCAGAGCTGCATTCCCATTAAATCTCATCCTCCTGATTTTATGTCTCAGCCCCGAGGCGAATGAAAATCTGGGGTCACTTTTCTCATGCTCTATGCAACGTAGCCCTTAAAATTGCGTCTGGCATTAATGCAAAGAAATGAGCAGAACCGAAATCCTGGTCCGTTTCAGCAGTAACCACGCTTGACAGCGTTAAACAGGCACTTGTNGGGGGGGGGGGGGGGGGGGGGGGTAAGGAGGAGGAGGAGGATGCCAAAAAGAGGCAGGGTACTGTGGGGTGGTTGGTGCAAAAGAGGGATGACAATCCTGCCAATTTAGGAACTCCAGGAAAGTTTGAAATTTTAAATTTACTTTCACCCCTGTGTGTTTGTTGTAAGATTATATGTTTCCAAAACCTCTTATTCATCAAATTTTCAAGTTTAGACATTTCTTTCTTTTCCAGGGTCGAGACATTCATCCCAATGGAAGCATCATGTGGTGTAGCCTATTGGAGAACTCCAAAACATCAAATAAGTCAAATATGAACTCAATTTGATGTTCAACATATGAAAAGAAACTTTAAAAAACTAACAAAGGAGACAAATCTACATCAGGTTTGCTTCAGTTTTCACCTTAAAATGTGCTCAACACTCTTTCTGAGATAGTCCCATCAGTAAAACCTCTATTAGCTATCTGTGCTAAAGAAAGTGATATCCTTTATATTCAGTGCAGTTCAGAGATGGGAAGAGCCTTACCAACCAGGTTCAGTCCCAAAATGGTGCCTAGCATTGCCAACATATAGCTCCCACTTGGAATACTTTTCTGATCCCATCACAGAAGGGACAAAATAAGGCATAAAAATATTTTAGTACAGATTGAAGCAGTAGTATTCCCAAAAACATTCATGGAAGGTTCATGCAGATATACAACCATACACAGACACCCAGGGGATTGTTTAGAGAGCTAAAAGCATGAAAAAAGGCAAAAGTATTAAGAACTGTTAACAAGAGCACTATACCCTATCAATCAGCCCCAGTTTTAAGGTTTTTAAAAGATTCATTACCATATCTTGACTCATGAATACCTCCTCTATTTGTAGGGCATACTCAGGCTTAAAATAAACAGTACTGGATATTTTTTCACCTAAACAAGAAGTGTTTTTTTTTTTATTCTTTCTTTCTGCAGCTCACAATTTCACAACAACTCACTCATTTTTGTAGGAAAATGCATTTTGCATTTTAACCAAGAAGTTCAAATGATTAGAAGAAAGCATTCTCTAAATATGTTGGTTTAGGTTTCAGAATAGAGTTAATTCATGAGGAGAGTCATATAATACAAGACTTGCAACTACAAATAAAAATCCAATCCAACAGAATAACAATATAGGACTTATAAAATGTAAAGAGTAATGTATGAGAATGAAAGAGGAAGTGACTTAAAAACAACAAGATTTCTTAACAGAGAAGCAAAGATTGAGATTTAGAGCAGTACGATCTGTTATCTATTGATGTGAGTGAACTGTTGACCAAACACAACATATGAAAGATAACTCAGTGGTTTATAAATCATTATCTTTGTGTTCATAGCATTCTGATAGCTGTATCAACCATTTCACTAATCAGAACCAATAACCACGATAGGAAAACTTAGGCTGGTATGTCATGTGCAAAAGGTATGACAGGTATGATTAACAAGGTATGACAGTAAGTTGAGCCTATAGTACTCTTATGGCTCCTGTATTTGGGGTCTTTGGGAATCCAGAATAATTTATCTGTCAAGATATAGCCTAGGCTATTGTATGCTTTTAGCCATGGCCTGTATATTAATCCAGGCCTATTGAGTATATTTTTAGGCCTGCAAAATGAATTTTATACCCCTAAATTAAATCACAAAATAAATGTAATGAAATGTGGGATCCACCAAATAATAATCACCGAAATGGTGACTATCACCATTGTTAAAGTAATGTAGGAGCACTATGGAATAAAGAAAGAAGGAAAGATACATGAGACATGCAGCTTTTTTGGCTGCATGCCAATAATTGATAGTTGTAACATGCATATACTTTTGCAGTTCTAGTTATTGCAAAAGCATTCAGACCATCTGCTCTCATTAAACAAATTCTTATACCTTCACGGATCAAATGAACAACATCACATTGCTGCCTGACAACATGAAATGAAACCTTTTGGGGGGAATTTTTAGTCAGTTATGTATAAATAAATAAAATAATTTTCCCAAGTATTTTCTATATCTCCTCAAAATAGGTTCACTTTCACAAATTCATAATTTGGCCATAAGGGGCCCACAACTGCTCTCAGCAACCATGAGAGTTACATATCACACTAGAGATGATGCTGTCTCCTAAATAATGTGGCTTTACATTCATCTCAGCAGAGACTTACTGAGTTGAAAATGCTGTCCCATTTATTAAGTACTAGGGAAGTGAACATGTCTACTCAGAAACTCGTGTCAATTCTAAGGTCGTTGAGACAAGGCCCAATATGCTGAGCACTGATACAAAAGAGAGGGTCTAGTTCCTGAACATAAGATCAATGTCTCATATCTCAATCGCATGATTAAAATCTCAAATAAGCCTAAATTCCAACACAGTGCTACAGCTAATCCATGATTTTTCAAAGATTATTCAATTAAACCTTTATTCTACTTGAAATCTTTATTTCTACTGGTCAACCACCAGAAATGCTATAGCTCTCCATTATTCTACTCAGAATGCTCATGCTGATGCAAAAGGATAGAGAATTGAGTCTCCTGTCATAATAAGGCTCAAAATTGAAAAAGAACAAAATGTAAATTGATAGAAAAAAAATGGAGGGGGGCTAATTCATACTTCAAGCAAGAATAATTTCCAATATATTTCAGCCTGCTCTAAGCAGAACAGAATTTGGCTCAAAGTTTATACTAAATTGCATGGACCATGAAGCAGGAGATTGAGGATCAGCACAAATATGAATAGATCAACACAAGTTTGAGTCTCAAGAACAGCCTGACAATATCTTTATCAAAATCATGATATACAACATAAGCCTTCCCGCATGCAAGTCACAGAAAGTTCATAACCTCCTTGACTCTGCATGAAAATGTTATAACCATAAACCAGTAACATTTCTTATGGCTAACCCATGATTGCCCCCTTCACATGAAATCCATATGAATTCAGAATGAATACATATAGAAATCCATGTTAAGCCAGTTGAAGATTGTTTGTATCAGACCACTTAAACCACTTATGAGTGCATCTGAACAGCAGTCTGTTGTTCAAGTGCATCAACAGATAAAGGAATGATCCTTTGGAATTTTCTCAGATACTTCCCTCAAACCAGGTGTGGCAATATAGAGGAAACACATGGAAACCACGATACAAGTCAGGGTATAAGAGATTTGTGTTTGTGTCTTTCCTGCCAGCGGCAGACCCTCCTCTGAGTCTACGGAGGTATCTACGAAATCAAAGTTATTCAATGAAGACCTATTCGGGTTCCGGCGAGAAAAACAGAGATGGTTTTGAATAACCTTGAAAGAACGTAGTACAAGGAAGAATAAAAGGACATATTGGAATGGTGTGTGGGCAGAAGAGAAGCATCGATCGAGCTAATCACTTACCGAAAGATCTGTCGCTCTGTGCGACGTTAGTTTCAGGCCTATCCTTCGACCGACTTATGACCAAAGCGCAAGGCACCTATTCACCTTTAGAACGTTCGGGCTCGGCATTTCTCCACGATAGCATATGACTACGAAAAATTAAACTCACCGATCTCCGTATTGAAGGGTGAAGGCTCGCAAATTCAATCGGAAAGTTCGGCAGTTTCTGCGCAATATAGCGAAAGCCACGTGACTTGGGGCACATCCATCAGTCACTTGCAACGTTCATCAATACCAAGGCGCATCCATACTGACGGCTTGTCATCGAAGTGGAGACACCTATGGGGCGAAACCTCTTCAGGTTTCTGCTTCCACACAGGAGATGTCGCTTTGGATTGTTCTTAACCAGTTCTCTATCATTTGCTGTGCCAGATGCATCCTTTTCCCGACCGATGCAGGTAGTTAAGTTATCGGGGGTATTAAGAGCTTTTGATATCAGCCATTCTAGGGTCGAAAGTTGAAAGCTTTGGCTTGAAAGCAAATGGAATGGAATTCAGCAATGTCATCATCTCTCTAACTTTTACAGCAGTGGAAGTCAAAAAGAACCGCGGCCTAACCGGTTCCGGCTGCTGAGTTTTTATTACCAGACGACTACTCGGTGCATTGTCCCTGAAAGTCTTGGCAGCCACGAACCGTGGTGAACCTGGCTAAACTTAGCATCTCGGGAACCACGCAGGAAAAAAAAAAAAGATATATATATATATCACATCGACCTGATATCGCAGCGTTGCCACTCGATGTCACACAATATCAGAATCGTAGACTGAACCAAGTCACTCTTGAGTAGAATATATCGCTAAACGGCAGGTGTAGTCTCTGGTTATCTTTCCCTCCCATCCACGCGTACTACGAAACCCTCTTCTACAACCAGACCGTGACGACGTAATCGTCCATTGCTAAATCTCTCTCATTGATTTACTTAGGAAAAAAGTCACGATGTGACACAATGGTCAACGAGCCTGGCAGGGATAATCGCAAAAGTCCACTTCTCTGAAGAAATTAGATCGATACGAAGAACGAAATAACAAAAGGAACGGAACAATCTAATCAACAAGAAATTTTCGCCAATATTTGCGGATCAATAATCGGAAAACCACCACGAAGCGAAGCATTTTGGCCCGCCAACTGAAGACAGAGACGAAGCATAAACGATAAGCATCCGGGTCTCTCTCTTTTTTTTTTATGGCCTTCCATTCCCGAGAAATATGGCGCGAAATAAGGCCAAGCGATGACGTCACAAGGCTGTTGCACCCGACTGCACCCGTTTGCACCCGCAAATTTCAGCGGCAATCTCCCGAACGAGCGCTTATTGTTCTTTTATTGTACCAACCAAATTGTATTGTTATTGTTTATTGTACCAACTGAAGCACTCTCCAGTCCAAATGTTTTCAGTTCCCCATAAAATACAGACCGGATTTTCCCTTTTAAATTACTTTTCAGTACTTTCAGCTCAGCTGGGAGCAACAGGCACTAGAACCAGTCAAAATATACAGTTCTGCACCCTCTTTAAATAAATAAATAAATAAAAAGAAGCTTAATCAGCCTAATCGTTGAGTGAAAGGAATCTACGTCCACAACCAAAGAGATTCCATCGGTACCTCATTAGTAAAAATCGGTTAATTACTTCTCGTTAGCCGGTATAGACGGAGAGTCGTGGAAAAATATCCCCAATCACCGCTAGATGTCTCCCGCGAATGAGACGGGGTTTTAAAGTTTAAATTTTAAAGCTCTCGGATGGAAAAAAATCGAGATTGGGGATCTTTTCTTCTGCGCAGCGAGTGGATGCCTCGGGAGGAACGAGGGCAGGATGTCGATTCGAGCGTCATTGCCCGCGATTGATCACGCTTGGGATTGCCGTATCGCTTCGTCGGCGGAGTTCGTCTACCTGCAGTTCGTGCAATAACCGCTTCCGCAGATGCGCCAGCCCTCCATTTAGAGGGGAAAGGGGGAAGGGGGGGGGTGAAGGTTGGTGCGGCTTGCACTATCGGATCATGCGCTTTGAGGGGTGTCGATGGGGCACTGTGAAAGCCTGTGGGATTCCAGAGATAAAAATCGAGGTCTCTCTCGATTACGTTATACGCCTTCCAGCAAAATGGAATGAGGGGCTTTTTGCTAGCTAAGTCCCGTGCGTCCTCGTCGTCGCTGAACGAGAGGCGAGTCGCTTCAAGGTGATCGATAATGGAAGAGATATCAGAAAAGAGGATGGAGAAGTGAGGAAATCCCGCCTCGATTCGTGGCATTTCGGGGTCTCAGCAGATCCCGTGCACGGTCGTGGCGAAACGCCCTCAAAATGCGTCGTCGTTGATGGAGGCCTGTCACTGGCACAATGCCTGCTTGTCTCTCTCACTGATGGCTTTTGTCTTGTAGGGCTGAAAAAAAAAGAAAAAACTTGGGGATGCGGCGCTAGAAGTGAGAAGTGCCTTCGAGTATTTCATGAGCTAACAAACTCTCTCCTCGTCTTTCGTTCCGCTTGAATTTTTATTTCCCATACCATCAATAAATTACATATTCACTCCTCGGAATTCCTTTAAACTGTTTACCGACTCAAAGGGAAGACAAATGTGAGGAAACCCTCGCCTGGGGCCACTCCATTCACAAATCTCGAGTTAACCATCAGCACTTTTTTTTTTTCAAAGTGCGACTTCAACACACTGCGACGTCTTCTGGGGCTTTCAGCGCCGCTGAATACGGACAATTTACACGTGTTTACACGACTTCATGGAATTACACGGAATTGAACACCGGGTCGAACGCCTATTCAACCCGAGAAGTACACGGCGGCAATTAATTTCCGGATTTCCATGGAAATCAGCCATAAATCCCCGAACCGAAAGAATTTACGGCAGATTCCGACCTCCACCTCCTTCCGGTACAACGACCCGCCGTCGAGGCAGCTGCCAAGCCCAACTCGGTGGAAGAATTCGCTTGCCAGCAAACAAGGAAGCGGTCGCGTTTGAAAACAGTGGCTTCTCTGTCACAATGGAACGTGTGCCAAGTGGCCCACTTCGATGTGGGACATTTTGAGAGAACGTTTGATAAACAGAGTCGGTTGTCCGGTCGATTGCCACCTTGCATAGGAGCAAAAACAACAGTAGAACCGGCATACAATTTGACTCCATACAACAATCGCCATTTAACATTTCTACATACAGCAGCGAAGATCATTGCGGAGAGAGTACGCGCCGCGATTTTTTCCCTTGACATTCATGCACAGGGATGAATCCCATTCCCCTTTTAAAATTTTAAACAGAATGGCTGTCAGAATGAGCGATTGCATGTCTCAAATTTCACGGGTCGACTAGGGGGCCCTCATTTCTTTTTTACATTAAGGGGGAGGAAGGTTCTCACCCCTACTGCGTTCCTTCTCTCCTCCCTATCCATACATATCACACCTATCGGTCGAAGGTGTCTGTCGCAACGTCGTGTTTTGAGAGATGATTTATTGGCAATGGTTTATCGGACCCGTTGGCTTCTAAAGATTGATACTTATCAAACGCCGTGGTGGACAAACAGCAGCAGCTGAGACTTGGAAAAACTTGCAAGGCATGGAACGGTGATATAATTTATTCTGTCACAGGGGAAGAGTAAATCATGCAAGCATACGTATATCCACAAGAACTAAGCAAAGTTGGGGCCAAAATATGCAGTTGCCTATATAGGACAGATTACAGGAATCACTCGGACTTGTCCTCCTCCTCCTCCGAGGAGTCCACGAAGGGAGTGAAGGATCTCGCAGGCTCTCGCAAAACGACAGGACGGGTGATAACAGGATGGGTGATGACGGGACGGGTGATGACAGGGCGGGTGACGACGACGGGACGCGTGATTGGTGGTCCATATTGAGGTTGAGGACGAGGAGGAAGAGGATGAGGTTCCTCGTGATGAGGCTCTCCCTCGTATTCGACGACGGCGACGAATCCCTCGTCCCCGTTCACGGTGTAGGTGACCTTCTGCAGCCGTCCGTCGGGGAGGACCACGCTGTAGGAGCCTTCCGTTCGGTCTCCGTCTCGCGACTCCCGATGTCCGTAGTATGCTCCCTCGTATTCGTCTCTAACCAGGTAGCCGAAGCTGTACTTCGGCTCCTGATAAAAAAGAAAGAGGACTTAATAAGGGAAAAAGATAGACACTGCGTAATTCAGAGGCAGATTTTGAGTTATGGGTGGCAAATTTTTCGACCTCTGCTTCAACAACACTGAAGAGACTACTCACCGATACGTAAGAATCGTGATGAAAGGACGGGGGACGATAAGACGTACGAACTGGAGCCTCCACAATGTTCTGTCGAACGGGGACAAAACTCGTCTGAAACGCCCCGATCCCGAAACCATTCTCGTGACTGTCGTCTTCGCCAGAATCCGCTCGTCCGAATACAAAACGAGTCTTGGAACGAGACCCAAACTCTCCCCCGTGTCCGAACCCAAACCTTTCCCTGTTCCTGGGAAATCCTACGATGCGGGTTCCGAATTCTCTCCAGCCCTGCGATCGGGGAATGCCAGGTGAGACGAAAGACCTCAAAGGAGGGACTTGGGGCATATTCTAGTTTGGTCTACCGGTTCTAAGTGAAGGATGGGGTTGTGAAGATGTAGTCGCTCCCTCATTCTATGGGCTTTTGATGAAATGAGAGGAATCCCATCGTCTCCGTTCACCAGGACCAAGATCAGGAACACGAAGCCGAGCACTGCCTGTAACATGACGTCATAACGCCCAGTCGATAATGGACCGACCAAAGCAGACAGTATTGCTATTGCCAACCTATAGATGCGGAATCCTTGGTCAATAGGTATTCGACATCTCAAGACTAGAAGCAGATGCGGCGAAATATCGATTCTTCACAGAATGGGAGAAGACACATAACCTGATACGTCCGTTGAAGAGGTATCTCACGCTTACATTTCGTCGATAGCAAGGAGTTAAGGAGTGCAATATGCCCAAAACCTAAACCATAAGTGATGTGCAGGGCATATGCGAACCATTTCACTAACTTACCTAGAGTTTAAACTCCAAAGCACTCACTCATCCAATGGCAAAGCAAATTGGAAGAAAATGCATGCAAAAATATTGCACAATTCACGCAAAAAATAGGACCTGAAGAGTAGAAATGGTGAGCGAACCTTAATGGGGGCCATGGTGAAGAAGAAAAACCTTAAGTCCAACGATCGCTCTGGAGATAGATCACCGACTGGATGAGGTACTGAGATCGGACACCCACTTTAAATACCCCTGAATGAAATCCAGCTCGGACGGATACCGTTTTTTGTTTTTTTCCCAGGAGTGAAAGGGGACACCTTGTTTCCTCCGACTCGACATCCTCGTCCTCGCCATCAGGTTCATTCTGAATTTTTCCTTCCTTCATGCAAGAACGTGAGCATGCCAGAGCGAGGGAGAGAGAGAGACAGGAAACAAGAGTTCGTGGCCACCGGTGGCGTAATGATGGAATCTCCGTGATGTAATATTTTTTTGCCACTCCCCTCGCACGAAATGCTTCTTTCCGTCGGTCAAAAACTCCCCGTATATACTTTAGCTCTAAGGCCAGATATCATTTGGAACTACTGCAGCAAAGGGAACCCGCATACTTTTGAAAAGTAACTGGCATGAAATTCGTGACCGCTGGTTCCCCGCTCTCTAAATGTTCAGGGGAAATGTAAATCCCTCGTAGACAGGAGAGGCTGAAATTTGATTAAAGGCAAGGCTGTAAAACACATCTCCATGCAAAATGGCCCAAGCGAGATTCTTCTCTCTGATGAACAGTTACGATTCACTTTTTACGTTCATACATTTATTGCCTGTCTTGAATCCCTTCGATACGTCATTCCCTCTGATCTGGAATCGAAATGAAGATCCAAGTTTTTTTCCCACATTCATTCAATTTGAAAAAAAAAAATTCTGGCTGAAGCAAAGACGCTTGCTTCTTGATATTCAGAAACTTCCATGGATTACTAATAGATTGTACCCTGGAGGTGGTGTTTGAAAGAATTGAAATCATCGGATCATTGGTTTCTTAGGATGCTGAGGTATACTTGTACAAAATGTCACCATTCAATATTCAGCAGTTTGGCTGCGAGAGCATTGACCGGCACGCAGACATAGAACGAGGTGCGATATCCGGTGTTACTTAACCCTATCTTCCCGTGCGCTGCGTGTTTAAACTTCCGTTCGGTTCGAATGAAGAGAAAGATGCTTGGAAATTCTGGCAGAAATGGATTCCATGTGAATGAAAGAGAATGAAGGAGAATAAGCCATTCCGCACCACCCATTGACCTTGTCGGCGCTACTGCATCCTGAAGGAGATTAAATAGAACTTGGCCGAGTATTTATAACTTATATGCACATAAAATTCCCCTTTCCCCCTAGCCTTGTATTAACACATTTCAAGACCACTCTTTTTCTTCCCGGGGAACAGGAAAAAAAAATCCAAGAGCAAGGACGTATGCTCAAGTTTATTATCTATCTGCTACCCCTCTTATAAATTAGCTTTCATGGGACATAAACTGGAATATCTTAGAGTGGAGATAAAAAGCTATAAAATCTTCGAAGGAATATCGCGATTTTGGACAGTCTCAAAGATCTTGAATAAATATGCATTATTAAGACTAATAGAACAAGTTTTTTTTTTTTAACGACGTATCCACGATGTAAAACATTGAAAATTGAAAACCGTAATTAGGCCTGACGGCAACAAGGAATGGCCGAAGAAACAAAGATCGAATAGTCAACAGCACTTGGTATGAGATCTTATCTGATTAGACCAGACGCTGGCAAGTACAAGACATAGTCTTCGATTCCGAGGCAGCGGTAAGAGGCGATTGCTTCCAGGGCCCACTGTTGATCCACGATCACCGCAGTTGGATGCTGCTCGGACAATCCTGTATGGAAATAAATGATTGAACCCCTTTTTTCAGGTTGAATTCTGTGGAGAAATGAAGGGCGCAGGTTATTTGCTGGACGGGGTGTGCTTAAAGCGATAGCCTTTACTTGGTCATTCTTCAACACGCAAAATCATAAATGAATTAGGAGACTTGATATTGTATCGAATCATGTTGCAGAAAAACGAGCTAAAATCAGATTCTCACCTTTAAAGTTTGCAACGACAGCTTTGTCGCTGCTGATGATAACCGGGTCCAGACACTTTGCTATCGGCACTACCGAGCCTCCACATTGGGTGATCAATTCCTGTGCAAGAAAACATGAGGCTAGCATGATTTCAGATGGAGATATAAAAAATAAAATAATCTGGCACTCCTTTCTTGAGACTTAGAGTATACTTCATTCCTTATCATCTTTGTCATAAGTCAAATTTCAGTTAATTCGCCGGCTCAAACTCTCCAGCTCTCCTTGTATAAATATATACAAACGTATATAAATATATGTCCCAGACTGGGTTCCTATTGACTCAAAATATACACACTGTAGGCCTACGCATGTCGCTGGGATGTTTCTCCCAGCGGGATCTTTCTGAGTGCGACGAACCGATAACATTGAAAAGTCCTTACTTCTTTGAGTTTTTTCTTACGCTCGTGTTGACTTTTAGCCGGAGTGATCCTAGTAATATGAAATGTAACACAGGTGGGTCGGTCTATGCCCTGTTAAAACATGAACTAAGGTAAGCGATGAACGCGAACAGAGCTTGTTATCATAAAATATACTGGCGTCCAAAAGAAACGTTACAAGGTAATGTAGGGCTCGCCCGCGTAGTAGGAGATGTGATAGGATTGTATCTGTCATTTGCTGAACAAGTTAACACCGCTTGAACATTATTAGCATGTGCTCGCTAACCTTTGAACGCTGTGCACGTGAAATGTCAGGAATATGCCTAATTAGGTTTTATCCATATATGTAAAGTTCAGATTTCCATAATGAAAAATGGACCGTTTCTACTGCGCATATCAAATCGTCTAGGACAAACATCAGAGATATGCCAAGGCTAACGCAGTGACAACGGGACGGGGCGACGGGGCCCTTTTCCAAGACAGACAAATATTAAATACTCATGGTCCTCCCATGCATAGCATTATGACAAGGCTCGCAATGCTCAACGATTCAGATAATCTCCAATCACCCCAGAAAGGGCGACTGTAGATCAGCATTTCTTCAGGTCCTTCTATCATCTCCATCATCATGATTGAGACATTGCTTCCATTACTCGGGAACATGGATGATCTCTTATAAATCTTTTTATTTCCTATAGTCTGCCTTCCCCTGTACCACCTTTCTTCTCCCAACTGGTCTACACCATCAACGACTTTGCTCCGTCCCCATCCTATTGGAAGGGGAGGCACACCCTGGGCCTCAGAAACTCCAGATGTTCTACATTTTTTCAATAACATCTTCTGTTATCTTATCTTTACTGCACTCTGTTGAACCGGTGCCCCTTCCTAATCCCTCTTCCACTTCAAATGGGAGGATCGCCACGTGTCTACTGGGGTACAACTGGCGAATGTAAAAAACAAAAAATTTGTCATAGGGTCCCAGATAAAGAGTACTGTCATCATGCCTTAATCAAGGTCTAAAGCAGTCATCCATTGGGAATACGCTTTTATTGCTGGCGAGCAGATGCACCTAACGGTCCTGATCATGACTGCACTGTTAGCCACTCAATTGAAGTTGATTTTGAATAACGTCGGAGAAAAAAAGGATTGATGAAAAAAATCAAACCTCCATTGCCTCCAATGAAATGTTCTCCAGAGGCGGGTGTAAGGTCACTTGTATTCCTCTGAATGGACCAGAACATCCCGTTCGAGCTCTCCACGGACCAATTTCCCCCTCGGCATGAGTGGCTTCAAATTTCTTCTGTAAACGGAGTTCGCATCAGTAGTCTGGACAAGGCTCAGACAGAATTTCAAAAAATTCAAAGGCGCACCTCATCCAAGACTGTCTTCGCATTCCAGGACTCTCGAACCCACGAGAATCCAACGATCCATTTGCGATGGGCAACACCCTTGAGGAAGTTAAGGGTTATCTGGGCCAAACCACTCTCTGGGTCCTCATGCACTATCACATGGGTCACTCGTGGGTCAAAGCGATTCAGGATCTCTGCTCTGATGAGATTGGCGAAATTTGTCACGATTTGTAGCTCCTGTTCTTCCAATAAGGAGCACAGGAACACCAGCTTCTCTTTACTGGAACATAAATATAGAAATAATATATATAGAAACAAAATAGGGAACAAATAACAGAAAAAACCTTAGCGTTCAGATTCCATCTGCATTTGCATCAGAAACATGACTTCTTAGCATATATGGATGCATTAGTTTGCACTCTACAGAGCAATCTTATTGAAAAGGGGGAGGAGTGACCTGCATCTTTCCAAGGTTGCATGTATGTATGATACATGACAATATTCACTTCTTAAATGGTAATGGAAGAGCTATATGAATATATTACATAAGTATTGAACACTTTTATGATATTGGACGGGCCCTTAATTGTAGGGAATAATTTACACCACGTTAGAAAGATTTGCTTATTTCTCACGAAATCAGCTTCTTTCAGAGATGATCTGAGGTATTCCTCGGAATTTCCATTCCTACGGGAACGTATGGAGCTCTTTCTGCCAGAAGAACTACTCGATTAAAATACTTGGAGGTCGATTCGTGACGAATTGTCAACTTCAGAATCTGAAACAACGCTGAAATACTAATTTACTTAGCAAACCTTGGAATGTCGCTAAAGTTTTCGTGCAATGTCAATAGGGTTGCACAAAATTTCTGTGGAACATCAGACTGCCCGCGTGCAATTAGCATTTTTCCCATCTCGGCATACGATCGAAAGGAAGATTGCAATTCTCGTTATTCAATAGAATGGGTGTGCATAGATCTGCTCTGGCTTACTCATCCCTTTTAAGATCCAGCTCCACCTTTTTTCTAAGCGTTCTAAAACATTGGACGTATTAGGTGGCTTTCGTTCCCTAAATTATATTCATTATAGTGCATTATGCCAAATGAGGAAAATATTTGTGCCACAGATACAAGGCTTACAGGAAAACAGTGAAGTTAGACAGTGAGGTCATAAATCATTCCTCCTTCCTTGTGGTTATATTTGTAGCCAAAAAATCAGTAGTGTAAGCTCTTGCAAACAAATTATTAAATAGATGGACATAATGGTAAACGTCATCGTCGCTAATAGCTTCAGTCAATTATTTCTTCGTGTTGAAAGAGTTGCAGGGGTTTTGTCAGATTGGAACCTGGGGAAGTATAATTTCCCCATAGCTAGGTTTCTACCTGGTTAGAGTCAAATCCGGAACTTTTTTATGGCTCCAAGCAAACAAGAGTAGGCGATATGAGCACTTGCTTCAGTTGAGATGCAGGATATATTCGCGCTGGGGTTTCCGTAGAATCCACTGAGTCATTCTTTGACCAAGATAAGGAAAGCGAAATGGAAGAGTCCATTTCCTCGTCTTCCTCCATAAAAGACCCAGTTTCCTCCTCATCTTCCTCCATGGAAGATTCGCTGTCCTCCTTGTCATCCTTTATATCCAGCTTTAACAAATGGTGATTTGAGTATGAGCACTTCTTGGCAAGTAAAAAATAGTCATAAAATGCGTTAATAGTCAGATTTTTAGGCATTGGAGGATCTACTTGAAAAATGCGCGTGGATTTGGATACTCAAAAATATCGATCAGATTCAATTTATACTAATACGATAAACATGGTATTGAACTTGAAACCTCATTGACTGAGGAACATGAAAAAATTAGGTTATTGATGGAAGATCTAACAAAATTTCTCCAGATACGAAGGAAAATTGCAAGTAGAGGCAAAGAAGTAAAAAAATTTTAGAAATTATTTTTCTATGATCGCGTCTCTCCAATTCGCCTAAAACATTTCCTAACATACTGAAGCAATAAATTCTTCAATATCCATACAATACAGCATCAGAGGAAAACTGAATGCAAACTCACATCTTCTAGGGAGACATAATCTTCATCAGTAGAAACAACGGACGATTCTTTCTTTTCAATGTCGATGTTTTGAAGAGGGCAAGGAGAAGTTAGAACAGATTTGTCCGATTGGACATCATCAGGTTCTTTCAAGGGAGTAAACGAGGCCTGGACGCTGGGTCCCCTTGGTGCTTCTGGGGGATCACATGGTTTCGTCTTTTCGCGTTTGCCACCCGCAAAACTAAAATGTGCAAAATTAGATTTTAAGTAACATGTCAAACAATTTTCGAAATTAACAGTTTAACAGATTGCAGCAGTGCTCCCAAACTTTTTTTTTTTAAGAGAGGACCACGTAGATACATTGGTCAACCTGGAATGGGTCGCAACTAAAAATCCCATGTTTTTGCGAAGTTAAATATTCGAAAGTCAGTTATTAGTATGCATTTGTGGGCAGCGTTTAAATGGAAATTGGGCCGCCCTTTGAATACCATAGGATTACTTATTCCGCAATGATAGAACAGTAAAAAATTCATTCACTGACACGAAGAGAACTTGACTAGAAACATGAATGAATTCCGTTAAAAGTGCCTTTAGAAAGTACATGATCCCAGTGGTGCCATAAGGAATAGTTCCATTCAAAAATAGTATTACAGCCCCAACATCAAGGTATGTCAAGGTATAGACTGCTGAAATATATATTAACAATTTTATTTCCCGGACGACCATGCGACATTTGATTTGACTGATCATCCCAAGTAAGGCCAACGAAGTCTGAGTGACAGACCTTGGTTCCAGACGTCTCTCTTCTTCATGAGCAGGAGGTACTGCATAAGAAAGCTTGTCTTCGAAAGGCTCTAACTCCAGCGTTGAAGATCTGCTTCTTCTTAACGGGCGAGAAGGAAGGAGATGAGTCTAAAAATTAGACACAAGGCCGAGATGCTAGAATGTAGTAGAGATAACGTTAAGGCCTGCAGTGAGAATCAATCGGTGAGAACTGACCCTGGACGCCAATTCGCTGCGAAAGCTCTCCAGCTGCAAAAGAGGAGAATGCTGATTTCACAGTTTTGAAATCAATATTTAAACGAAAAGACCGCTGTAAAAGGGACCATCATGACCATACCCTGCTACGGTCCACTATATGCATGAAGTATGAGACTGGCTTAGCCGTCCATGACACATTATCGCTCTTGAAAGCCATTTCTGTGATCTCCAAGATGGCACCAATATCTGCCGACAATCCAAGAAAGTGCGAGTCCGATCTGATTCTGATCCGAGCTTTTAAATCTGCAGCTCCTCGGAGTATCTCCACTCACCGTTCATCTTGCGCTCGTTCATTTGGAAGTTGAGCGAGCAGAGAGGCTGCGTTGAGACAATTCTAGTGCCATCTCTGAGGAGGAAAAAGAGTTGCTTCAATTGGTGATTCAGGCGGGATGAGAAGGCATGATTATTCGCCAGGATCACGTCTGCAGAGAGGATGAGATCATGGAATCGGTGGTCTAGAAAGTCTCCTTGGAAGAGCTTGAATTCTCCGTGCGTCTTCCCATACCACGCCATCCATTTGCGGAATGATGCAGCCATTCTCTGTGCAAAAGAAAACCGTCAGACTTGTCTTGACAGCTGGAAAAGACTCGAGAGACAGACGGGGAGAGCCACTCACTTCGGCATAACGGCTTGGCCGTTCGGCAATCTCTATGCCGTAAGAGATCTTCGCCTGGGTTGCACCGGCCACATGTATCACAACGTTACCGATACCCGAGCCAAGATCAATGAAGATTTCATCCGGGGTCAGGTTCACTATTTGCAGTATCTGCTCCACTGTGTCGTACAATGTCTCTCCATACACCTTTTCCAAAAGAGCAATCAAGGCAAATACGTCCCAATAATCAGAATTTAAAAATAGGCGCTGATAATAAAAAATGCAGAGAATGAATAAGCTTATGTAACCCATATTGAGATGACACATTTAAAAGCTACAATGGAAATCTGACCTCATCGGAGAAGACCTTGTAGTGTTTATTGAGAGACTCAGGCTCCGTGACACTTTCCGAGTAGACTAGATCGAGGATGTGTTCCAGAAGAGCCTGGGATGGGGGCTGATTCAATCGTTCTCGCTTGGCTGATACTGCCTCCTGTGGAAAACAGAAAATTTAATTTAGCTTTTTTTTTGGTAGAAAGCCTCCATGTAAAATAGTAAATGATTAAAGACCCATTCAACGCATATGAGATAGCATGAGTTCATGAGAGTCTTTGATTCATGCTATTTGAGGATGGAGAGGGTCATTATTGCCTGCTTGTATCGCAGAGAGCGGAGACAAGACAAAAAGTCTGGATTAGAAGGCATTTGTGCCTGTGAAAGCTCGTAGATAACACAAAATTGACTTAAGAGAGAAAATCAAAGAATAGAGTTTTAGCTCTTTCTCAGAAAGAGTTTAAGAGGTAAGAAAGTGCAGTCAATGAGACGTAACTATTATTACCGGTAGGTATAGACCAGAGTCTGAGAAGATTCGACTTGCGAAAGGAAAACGAATTACGGAGTTCATAGGCCCAACCAAGAAAAAAGTATCTGGATAGACCTTGATAAAAACCTTGAATTTCGGATAATGTCTTCAAGATTCCCCCCTCCCCCTCGCCCAGTCCCTCCATTTTTCTGCGTCGCCTGAAACCGCCGCCAATCCTCGAGGAAATCTACTCTGACCAATGCTCATGGTTTCCTTCTTTCCTCCACTCTCTTCTTCCAAAGAAGACTTATATTGAACATTTTCCACATCGGCTTTGGTCTGCCAGACCATTTCTGTCATGTGAATTGTTAAACCAAACGAGAATTCAGTCCATCACGGAGCAGTATGGTTGTCACCTTTGAATTTAACAAAATATGGACCAATATTCGAAATATACCCAGAGCCACCTTAAGCCAAGGCGCCAATCGATACTATGAGTGTGGCCTACTGCTTTGACTTACAGAAACTAACGATATTAGCTGCCACTAAGCTTTAGGTAAAAAAAAAACTTAGTTTAAATTAGTTTAAAATATGGACAAAACAGTGTCCACATTAGGACCAGTTTGCAGTATGGACATTGCATCAGAAATATGTACTGTCCATACTAATTATCAAAGGGTGGCAACCCTACGGGGCAGCCTCGGCTTGAACAGGCAGACACTTGCATGCTCTCCTTTCTGGCCTACATGAGTGATACTGCTCACCGGCATTCATCCGTGTCAGTGCTTTCTGTGTGAAAATTCTTCCAGGATTGCCTAACTTCCCCGAAGCCTCTGACTTAAAACCATGGTAAACGCAAGAAATTTGGACCTGTTTTATCCTCCGCGTGGTGATAAGAGAACCGTCGAGCGGGACTCGCTGCCGTTCTAGCTTGACGTCCGCGTGCCATCTGGTGTCCAGACTGCAAAACCGCAACCGGTGACAGCTCCATTTAGATCCAGAGGCGGAATGAAATAGGTCCAAATTGCTCACCTTTACACAATTCTTGTCGCAACAGTTGCGACTCCTTCCAAGTAAAGTAGCTTATAAAGCTAAAAAAGAAAGAAAGCAGGACTGGAAAGCTCACCAGTTGGAGTAGTGTTTTCACGACTCTGTTGTATCTATCGCATAGTGCTCGCACACTTTCATACCTAAAAAAAAAACACAAATAATGTAATATCAATAAATAAAATGAAATTTGAACGAGCTGCGCAATTACTCCAAGAGTACAAACCAACCTAGCATATTTACCTGTATTTATCAATTTTCAGATACAAGCTCATTATCATTCATCCATCTGCTCTCTATTTCAAGGGATTTTCCGGCTCCCCTGCAAAAGCCGAAAGTAAATTGGATTTTATGGGGTAGAAACCATTCATTTAACCGCTGCGTTGACCGCAGCGTTGCACAAGTGGCCAATTAATGCTTTCCTTGAAAATGAAAAGGACGGCTGTTTCACTTATACCTCTCACAATCAATCTCACAATCACAATAAGTCTGTAAAAACCAATGAACCCATAACGTCCTCTGATATTTGAATATGCAAGTGATATAATTCAAAGCCAGGAACATGGGAAGATAATAATGAGAACGGTGGAGAAACTCACTCGTGGGGATAGTAGTCTCCAAGTATCTTTCGAATCACTTGTGGATCCAACTGGAAATCCTCAAAGACAAACCTGTGGAAATTTCAAGATAAATGATCGAAATATTCAAGAAATATATCTCAAGAGTAAAATCACCGCTGTTTTCTTTTGCATAGCCTTTTTAGGGCTCATTAGTTGATGACAAGCCCCTTATTGTCTCTCCGGGCCAAGGTCGCACACGATAATTATGATCCCGACCATATCTCAGTGTCCATACTTCAATTACTTTGCACGCATGTGTTGCAGCAAGCATTGTTACCGACAGGAAGAGCAGAAGATTCAGAAGGACATCATGGAATATGAAATTGTGAGTTCTTTCTCTTCCGTTGCGAAGGACACTCTCTGCTTCGCGGTCGATTTCCTGCAGTTCGATTTAAAATAACTTGGCATTCTCCTTTCGATAATGATGCAAATTCGCTTGAAGGAACTAGAGAATTTCAAAGAGTAATGCGAGTGAACGCAATAATTTTTTTGAGGAACTAGTAGAAGAGGGATTGTTGGCCCACCAGCAAAACTCTACAAGGTCAATAGGAATTATGGTGCAAGAACAAAATTCGCGAGATCGTGAAACTTGCCTTTCAAAAATGTTGTGAATGTTCCATCGCGACCTGGACCAAATTGTATATACGAGGGCGGATAAAAAAAATAACGACCGATTTTTTAAATTATCAATCGACAATCAAAAGACTTCTTCTGTGAAGGTATGGGTAAACTGGTTGATCGTTGGAATAAGTGTATTTTAATGGGAGGAGACTATAGTGAGAAACGTACGTGTGGTTGTAACTGCGTAAATATCTGGCAAAAATATCTCCTCGGCCGTTACTTTTTGATCCACCCTCGTATAAGCCGTTCGCGGGTGCAATAAGACCATGACTTCCTGTTCTTTCCTGGCTCCATGGGGGGCAAGAGGAGGAGGAGGGGGGGACAAGAGGGGACTGTCACTCGACAGCTGTGAGGCAGATTTGGAGCTCCATTTATAGATTTTTTTCTCGCCGCTTTCGCACTTTGACAACCCTTTACTTGTTCAAGAGTCCAAAGAATGGTATGGTCTATAATTATTACAGCTGGAATAAAGAAATGCAGGGAGTTCAACTCCGAAAGAGACGAGTCCTACGAGTTAACTCCCGGCAACGTTCCATGGTCGATGGTGGAGAGTCTCAGAGAAAAAAAGTCGCAATCCTTTGTGCCTCGCTAAATCAAAAACGGAAGCGAAATTTGTCAGTATCTCGCCGCTCGGCTTGGGTTGTCTCTTTTTAGGAGTTCTATGTCCTTACGGTCCTCGACTTTTCAACACAAGAAAAATAATAAAATAACCAATATCAGCAATTGGCCACTCACTTGATCGTCTCAACAATCTCCTCTGTTTTAGCCTCTCCATTCTCCTGCAACATACAACACAAATATGAACATGTTCCGCATTACTAATGAGATAAATTCAGTTCAAAACTATTGCCTATTACTGCCCAAGGTTGAAGTTAAAAAAAAACATGCTTCCAAACCAAGGTTACACCGCTTGAAATGAATATTTTCTCTTGTGTTCAGTGTCACATTACTGCAACAAGCTTCGCTTCGGCATGGAACCGGTGCTGACATCTCTGCGACCAGTGGCAAAGTAAAACGGCCACTCAAAAAATGGTTGCTGTCATTCCGTTCAGTTTTACGGCGATGTGATATTGACATTTCCAAGATATTGTTGATGTACGTCGTGGTAGGAAAATCAATAATGCATAGGTGCGCAAGTACAGCCGACGCTTGATGTAATGAACTCGAAGGGACGTGCTAAAAATTTTCGTTATAAGGAAAATTCGTTATAGGGTATTCCCCACATTTCTCAGGAAAAAAGAGGCCCCTTCAACAAAAAAGTCATCTATTGCCAAATAAGGATGTAGTTGTCATGAAAAAATGCGTAGGTCTGAGCACGTGTCGCATAGCAAAAATACCGCATTCCAAGATGTGTGCATCCCGGGCAGAAATTTTCGTTGGTTTATCGGCGGGCCATAGCTGGGGAAGTTGGCTCATTTTCGGCGAATGATTGGACGGCCAATCACTCGCCAAATATGAACCAATGTGGCCGAGAAGGTTCCGAAAACCGCCGTGAGAAAGAACCAAAGTGGTCATAGGTCGTAGTAGGGAGTCACTTCCCGGGTTCTACTGAAATGAGTCCTCTGTTCCTTTGACACAGTTCCCTATGGTTTCTCACATAGATCTCAGAGGAAGACAATTAAATTCCTTAAAACATTTATCTGAAGATGTGACGTAGCCCTAGAATGAACCAGGAAATTCCGGCCCGGGTATGTGGGAGGATCCTACTTTCCATGATAAGCTAGGCGACCATTTTTCTCTAAATGAAGACATTAAAAGTTTATTATCGGTAAGGCGTGCCTGACCACCCACGAGAGGACAAATAACTTTGCATTCTCATGCGGTTCCGGGACCGATGCCCCGGCATCTGGAAGGAATATTGTTCGGGATATTCTCAGCTCCTAACGATGGATACCTGTGTAAGGTACTGCTCCTTCATCTAGCAGGAAGTAGTAGGGGTCCAAATGATGCATTCTAATCTCTAAAATATGCATAAGGCTCTTCATGTGTTTTTTTCCCTAAATCTTTTCACCATTGTGAAAAGTCGGCTTATGGTTGGGGGATGTGAGGTTTCCCAACAACGAGCCCGACCATAAGCCGGCTTAAACCAACCACATGCCAGTGATGGCCCAATGAAAATTTTTTTAAAATTGGAATGTACTTAAATGGGCATGCACAAAAGTGTGTCCTAATGTGGGTGAAACAAAAATCGGACGAGTCACGGACGCTTTCTATTCATCGGAAACGGAAAGCCCCAAATGGGTGTCAGTCGTGCACTTTCCTGACGTCGCTTTCTTATTCTCCACGACCACACAGATAAGTGGGTGGGGCATGCTCAAATTAGAAACGATTTTCCGAAAGAAAGTAGCCCTTACATGCGTAGTAGACTTAAACTTCGTAATAACATTTTTGTTCCTTCGGGCGAAAAAATGAGTTAATAAAAACCGAACAATTCGCTACACAGAATTTCGTTATAGAAAAACATTTCAACGTGCACGTGAATGGGGGAATGGGTGGGAGCTTGAAAATTTTCGTAATAGAGAAAATTTCGTTATATTGAGGTTCGTTATTTCGAGCGTCGACTGAAGATGGAATCGGCGTTCATCATAAAATTGTGTTTTGGTATGACTCAAACATCGTAAGCACGATTTTCAAGGGACGTTGCAGTTCTGCAATATTGGGAACGGGTGGAAGTGTTTTGTTTACACGCAATAAACTTGAATCTATTAGAAGTTCTTTACAGATAAGCAATGTGCCGTCTCCAAATTATGGACGACTACTGAAACGTGCTTATATTGGTGCTGAAGTGCCTCCCGTATTGGATATTCCGATCGAGAATGCAAATAAATGCAAACAGGCAGCTTTTGGTTCTTTTTTGTTTGTATTTCCATAAGAATGTGTTGGTATGGGATCCTCTGGTACCTCATGTTGTAATTCTGCAACAAGGTAATTGTCTTGACTTGGACAAACACGGACACCGTGTGATTGTTATTTGAATTATGAGAAGCATAATATGCGAATTAAAAAAATTGCGACAGTATTTCAGGATTCGGTCCGTAAAGGTTAAGAAGAGATCGCGAAAGGGGCTTCTCTAACTAGCCCTCGGTAAATCTCGAGCAAGTTCGTCCATGCACTATTTAAGGTTACCAAGGGGCGTCATATCCACTTTGGAGACCAATGCACATATCGAAAATCAAAGATCGGCTCCTACTTGTGAAGGGGAAACTTGGTAGAAGACACGCAGACTCGCACAAAACCCAGGATTATAATGCCTGTACTTTATTATCCTCTAATTATTAGAGATTATCCTTGATAGGCAGAGGGGCGGTCCCGGATCGAAGCCACGGAAGAGGGGATCAGCAGCTTCATGCATTCTTTTAAAGCAGGGGTGTCAAACTCGATTAGGCTGGGGGCCGGATTTAAGCCTTAGATTAGAGACCACAATAAAAATCAAGCACCAAATCTTTAAAGCAAACTGGCTGAAATTTGAAGTACTTTTCCGTAACCAACTGTTGAAAAGGACTTCGAGGATCGGACAAAGTGGACTGACCAGTCTGACACCCTTGTTTTAAAGCATGAAAAGATTAATGAAGAAATAGAGAATACGATTTTAAAAAGTTTAAGAGCACATGTCACAAGGAAGGGATTCGTGATTTTTCCCTCTGCTGGTTCCACACAATAATTTAAGAAATGCCGGAATAGAACAGTGAGAAGTAAACCCAGCCGGCGATTCCCTGTGAGTATTCAGAGGATCGAGAAGAAAATAATGGGTTCTAATTCTCATAAAAAGATCGTTAATTATCTGAGTGAAAGCGTCTGTACCGCTGCTATGAATAGAACTCAAGCCAACAAATAAAAACCACGAGGTTTATAGCACCACTAACCTCGGACCATACGATGGCGACAGCCTCCTGTAGAGCTGGACTTCTCAAGAATAATTGGGACTTTGAAAACGATCCAAAACCCCTCTGGTTCATGCCGATAGGGGATGCTGGATTCCGAGCCGGGCCACCGCAACCGTCAAACTTTTATGGTAGCTGAGGAGATCCCTTGCGATGCAAGCGGGAATCTACAGAGGAGATCATGGAGCACATAAAAAAGTCCTCACCAAATTAAAATGGCTGAGGTTTATGGTGTTTGAAAATTATTTTTTCAGAATCGTTAAGTCAAGTGAGACTAGAGACATCTCCCAGAGCCAGGTTCTGGAACATGCTGCATGAGGTTCTTAAGGAGCACCTCTTAGCTCTTAACTTCCGTTGTCTTCCCCGCTTCATACAGAGGGATCGAGCGATTTCAACCTGAAAATCGTAGCATTCTCTGGTCTCCATAAGAGAAAAAGGAAAAAGAGCTCGTCAGGTGAGGACCGAGCAATCCAGAGCGACTATCAGCGCGCGTGGTTTCAGATTTCTCTAATGTATCCTTGCTCGGGGAAAACTTGTCGAAAGCCTTCAAATTTTTCGGTACATTGAAGAGTGAACGAGAACGAGTTATTCCCTTCGAGGCTCCTATATACTCATGAGAGTTTCTTACTAAACGCCTAAACACGTCTTCAAGGGTAATGCAAAGTACTCTTTCCAAGCGCCACCTCCGATACACTTGTCGGCGTTAAAACTCTTGGATGAATTGCAATCTGTTGACAACAAAGCTGAATAATATTGCAATAGAAAGACGCTGTTACAATTTTTGCTAACTCTCGATAAACTGCGCCATGAAGTGCGACAGATCTCTCAAGTCTTTTCTGTATTATTCGTCCTTTGCGCCAACGAAAGATTCAGCTTGATGCTCTGCAAGTCTGAATGGTAATTCAGACGAATCTTTCTCATTGAGAGCGGGCACGATCGATTCGGCTTTCAGGAGGCGACTCGACTCCAATTCGTTTGACGTCTTGGCTCAATGGCCCTGCTGTCAAATTAAATAAAAGTGAAATTCCACTCTAATAGTACATCCAAGACAGAGAATTTGATATTGAAAAAACCAGATTTGGAAAGAAACTGGAACAAAGCAGAGAGCCAGAAATAAAGTGAAAATTATAATGGCGTATATAAAGAAAAGGTGGAAACAAAGATCATTCAGCGCCATAATCACCACGAAAGACAAACTTCATAACAAACCCAAGAATGACAACTGACAAGCTCACCGAGCTTGCAGGAAGCTCAAGAGCCACTAAGTCACAATCGGGTTTCTGGCCTGGCAGTGGATCTCCGCGACCGGAAAGATGTCATTGAGATGACAAAGACGAGCGCGACGATTTCCAGTTGAGCTCGATTCCCGCATTCGAAGTCGAACTCAATTGAAAAATAAGTACAACCAATGTGCGGGATGACAGGACGGATCGAACAGTCACGGCGAGAAATGTGCACAAGTACGTAAAGAAATATGAAGTGTTGAAGTAGGAGAGGACGTTTTAGAGTTAACTAAAAATAAGTCTAGTTGGGCGTATTCGATTCGATTGAGTTTCCGGCTCCATGGTCTATCGATGACTTTCCCTCAGATGTCAGTGACTGTATTTAGAGGGAGCTTAAGGCTGCGCGAAATTTCTCTCGGAAGTCTCCGGAGCACTGTCAAGATTTTGGCGATATAACGTGCAACGTGGTCTATTCTAAACCGATGGACATTCTGGACTCGGAGACTCAGGATCTTCGAAGACGACACCAGCGGGGATGGATCGAATATGCCAAACACAAGCGAGTCCTCTATGTTATGCGAACCCAAACTGCAAAAGGGTGCGCAAACAGGACGAATAAATGCATTAATAACGCCAGAAGATGATAATCAAGCTACAAGTATTGCATGAGAAACATGAATCCATTTTTGCACGAAAATCCGCCTATAAGTGAAGTCACATATCCATGTTTCCCCTTCAGTCGACTGTCATGGAAATGCAACGTAAAACAACACAAGACACACCCATACGTGTTATCCTACCTCGAGTCTGTCTGGGAAGTGACACTGAGTCGTCCGAATTCTATGGCGACGAGAGGACGACGGGATGATCATTGTGATGTCATTGATGACGTCATCTCGTTCCCGGGTCGAGAAATGAGACCCAGAAAACCCTTGTCGTGCGTACGGATGGGCTTCGTACTTTTTTGAATCGATACCGTACACTTTTCGATTTACTGGATGGGATTTACAATGGAATTAACGTTCAAGGCGTGCGAGCTTACGCGAGAAAATGTACGAAGTCAATTATAGAGCAAAAAAACGTTCTATACTTGTGTTTGTGTTGAATCCATGTTGGTAACATCGAACGCTGGCTGCTCATTCACAAGTAACATGAGGTTAGGCCTATGTTTGGTTCAACGTTAAATTAATTTCCTTTCCTGACATCCTCTTGCGCGTTTGTGAAGAATATTCGGCAGATTCGTAGTTTTACTGTGAGCGTTAAAATTAAAATAACTATGAATATTATGACCTCTATTTCTCGGGGATACATATCATAATCATAATTGATTCTTCAAGTTTCACTATTAGGAAGCAAGGAGGCGGTGAAACGGCAAACCCAGCCTATTCTCTGGTCCTGCGACCTCGCACTCATCCATGTTCATTGGCCGACAGCCATCACATCTAACGGACCCTTACAAAACAGAGGCAGCTGGAAGAGGAAACGTGGTTAGTTGTACCCCCCTACCCGAAACTAGGGTTGCAATCTTTGACGTTAACAAAATATGGACAAATGGAAGTATGTAGAAATATTCGAAGTACACTTGCATATGAGGCAACGCTGCAAATACCCACAGCCACATGCCAAGACGCCAATCGATACTAAAAATGTGGTCTACTGCTTTGTCTTACGGAAAAGAGCGGTTTTAGTTGCTATTACGCTTTCATATAAAAAAAGAAACTTAAGTTTAAAATATGGACGCTAGTGTCCATATTAAGACCAGTTTGCAGAATGGACATTGCATCTGAAATATGTACTGTCCATACTAATTATGAACGAGTGGCAACCCTACCAGAAACCCTCTACAGATTCAGGCCCGACTGCTGAAACCTCCTTTAGTTATCGGTTCTTTTAAAAAGAATACATGGACTCCTGTGGGAGAAAAAGAGCTCTTTAGTTTAAAGGCCCCTTTATCTCCCCTATACGAGACTTGTGCATTCGGGTCTTACTCTTTTACTCTCTCAAAAATGAGATCACCAGGTCTGACTCGAGGAACAGATGATAACCCTAGTCGTACCCTTGACATGGGATCGCTGCAAATCGCAAGGAATACAATCCAACTCCTATCTGACAGAGGAAATCGCAGAAGACTGAAACAATGAACCATTGCCAAAATGTTGTGGTTGATTGTCTTAGTAAAAGTGGTCCACGTTTAGTACTGTCTGTTTCGGATACGATATCTGCTGTTAAACTAAATAGGCGTAATGACAAATGAAGAAAATAACTATCTGCAGCAAGCATCAAAAGTTCATGCAATGAACAACATTGTTGCTGTTGCGGTCTGAGTATCAGCCAATCTTCAATTTTGTCCAACTTATCCTACAAATTTTCCTATAAATCATTAGTGGCAGTGCTTCATGCACAAAAGAAGAAAGCATAAGATGAAACGAGTGAATCGATTCCATTTATTTCCATTCATGAGATGTCCTTACAGTCAAGACAGACAGGGCAACTCCCAACTCCTTGTTCAAATCAAAGGTTTTCTTCCATGGTTTGGCACGACACTTACACCAGAAAGAGACTCGAAAATGTTCAGCATTTTCACTTTTTTTGATAGCTGCTATGAACATCGACAGGACTCATTCACACGGCAGCTGACCATCTATGAACAAGCAAGCTGACAAGGAAGGCAGTACAGGTAAATCTTGATGGGGGGGCCAGGGTAAAATCTCAATAAATCTCTTCTTGGTCACAACTCAATGATTCTCCATCATAAATATTTCTTTTGATATATCGAAACATCTCTGAAAGAAAAAAGGAAAGCAATGACAGGACAATGAGAATTAATCTCCATGGACACAGGAGGAGAAAGAGGATGCACCAAATACATCTCCATGCCAAGAAGGAAGCTCCGAAAACAAGTCTCATGCAGACACGTTTCCTCTGTTATCACAAGGGGTTCCAACCCTTATCTTGTCATTCCTTCAGACCTGACCCATAATACAATTTTGTAAAGAAAGATCACACTAAGAGGCAACTAAGTAACATAAAGGAATAGAGTACTTTCAACAACTGATAAAAAAAAAATTGCTTCCTTTACAGGTGGGAGCAAAATGCAGATATGTTCCTTCGAGCACTGGGAAAAGATAAGCAACAAAAAAGCTGGAAGCAGTGAAACCTAAATTAATTCCTGATTGATTGATACCTGAAGGTATTTTGCTCTTGGCTTGGCTTGATAGCTTGAAACACAATCCATACATCAGAGGGATCCTTGCAAGTGAGCAGTGGTGGAGATTCCATGATACAGTATTACGCACTTTTATCGGTATCCAGCAATGGTTGTACTTGAAATACAAACAGAGGCATTTGAGAGAAGAGATCATGCTCAATATCAACTCATGATTCATCAACAGAACAATTAAGCAAGAATAGGGCTGAAAGTCTTCCCTAGACATGTTCCCATCCTTACCACTTCGGAATGAACCAAGAGATACATTACTCTACTGGCACCTTCCAAGACACAAAAAAGGAGCAGAAAAAAAATTGCAAGTTCTTCCTCACCAGGGATGTATTACACAACCCATGACTGAAATAGCAGAAAATGATGGAAAAGGTAAATCAAAAGGATTGAATCATGAGCATTGAAGCATCAAACCATCAAATTGGCCTCAATGATTCCGATCCCCTTGGTTGATCACATGATTTGCAAAAGTAGGACCATACTCTGTCAAAATTGACAGACTAACGGAATACATGATCATGATGAAGATGAATGGAAATCAAAATCAGGTTAAATGATCACAGGGAAAATGGAGATTTCTCATAGGGACATAACTCATGCGAACATACAAGTATGTAAATGAGGGGAAGGAGGAGTTCATGGGCAGGTGTATGATGAATTGTTCAAGTGATTTGCCAAATAGTACCAGAAACTATGAGAGTATTCCCTCACAAACATTCCTCAGCCAGGAACCACAGGCCTGCAATCTACTAGATAATACTGAAGGCAACAGATTCCAAGAGAACAACGTAGATTAAGTAGCCAATGGAAAATGCACATTATGCCAACCAACTTGGGGGAAAAAACTCTCATTCTTCATTATCACCCGGTTTCGTTTGTTACAAGGAACAGAGAAGAAATGAATAATAAAAAATGAACATGACCACCTATGACATGAAAAAAAAACCATAATCATTATAATCATTGAGCTACAGATGAACTGAACTAGCCTAAAGATGTTGACTAGCTTCAATGGAAATAGGAAGTCCACAGACACAACCGGAAGGTCCAACAGCCACTCGATGAAAGGCTCTTTGGGTCAGCAAAATACTGGATCCATCTTCTCATTTATGTTTCAGGAGGGAGAAATGTGTAGAAGATGCATACCAAGGGAATGGGACAACATAGGGAGGAACATCTTGATGTGGATGAAGAAAAATGGCTTGGGTTTTCCACTCTTTCTTTGTGCATTGCTCCTCAGGCGAGGGAAAAGGGGGTGAGGAACGAACGACAGCAATAGTCCTTCTCTCCCTCTGAGTCCTATGTCTGCTCAATGAGGGGCTTGAAATCAGGATTGACAAATGAGAAACCCTTGAATTCCTCCTGATTGATGCTCTTGACCAACTGTGGGAGAATTGGTGTCAGGACTGGCTCCTCTTTGGTGAATTCTTGATCAAAGTTGGATGCATCCTTTTTGCTTTTCTGTAAACAGTTAAAAAATGCATAATTAAATAGATCTAAAAATATATAGAAAGCTGGAGGACATTTAGGATAATGAAAACACAACTCACGATTTTTGGTTTGATAGGAGGCTTGACCTTGCGTTGCTCCAAGGCCTCCCACTCGATGGGTTTGAAAAAGGGATGCCGTCTAATGGCTTCTTCGTATCCATGGGACTCCATGCAGCCAAGCCGCTTGCTTGGGTTCTTTGTCATGAACTGTAACAAAAATCCAGGTTTCAGTTTACTAAAACACTGCATGTGAGAAATTTGGTTCCATTAAGTCAAGAATGATAGGCAGAAGAGCAAGCCAACAAGAATGCTACATAGAGTCATGATCAAGTACTGTAATCATGGATTCTGAGTAATTAAGGAGGAAGCTATTTTATAGCTTACGCCTTTGAGGATGGAGCATGCATCCCGGCTGAGCCAGACAGGATAGAGCACATCATCATGAAGAATGGATTCGAAGAGATCATCCTCATTGTCTGCCTCAAATGGTGGCTGCCCAGCCATCATCTCATACATGAGAACACCCAACGCCCACCAATCCACACTTGCTCCATACTCCAGCTCTTGAAGGATCTTTGTAAAATATAAAATTGTGGATGAATAAATGGACTTACACGTAAAGAAATTCTGAGTGAACACTTAGTAAATTTCACCGAGAAAGGTGGCCTCTTACTCTGCAAAAGTGCTGAAGGCAGACTTAATATATGAATTCTAAGTAGGGATGCAATGATATCATATTTTGCTGATTGTTCTGTTGCTGGAAAACCAAAGACCAAAATGATAAAGTGAACTTTTCTGATTGGCTATCCATTGTGTCCAAGCCTGTAGTAGATCCTTAAACAGGTTGGGAACTTCACATAATGCATACAGGGTGGGCTTTATGTTCAAATACAAATTTTCTCTACATGTAATTTTGAAATGTGGGTCAATTTCAAAATTCAGAGATGTGCATCTGAAAGCCCTTTGTCCTGTCTTCATAGTTTGTGATGAGGACAATTCAGAGCGTTTTATTCATTGAAATGGAGGACGAAGAAAGAAGGCGCAGTACAAATGTGGCTCTTCATCTTGCCAGCAAAGAAATGGGAGAAATCTTTCGTCTTCTAGGTGACATGGGCATTAAGTGGAACTTCATGTATACTACCATCAAAAGATATTATGAACTTCGTTCTTTCAAGGACTGACCAAAGCTTGGCTGCCCACACACCAAAAGAACCAAAAACATCATTCAAAAAGTGAAAAGTTGTGTTTCAAGAAATTCACAGTGGTCAGAGAGAAGACTGGCAAAAGATCTGAACATCTCAAGGTCCATCATCAGGACAGTTTTGAAAATGGACCTTGGACGTGGAAGGACCTTGGAATGGAACTTTCAAAAAAGGAAAAAATCAACCCCTGTCCAAAGAGTAGAAGTGAAAACAGGAGACCAGACCAGAGGCTTTGTTGAGGCATTTCGTAGGTGACCAGTGGAAATCGGCACTGTTTACAGATGAGAAGCTTTTTCACTGTAGAGAAAAAGCATGATTCCCAAAACAATCGGGTCTATGAGACCAACAAATCTGCTATTCCAGATGAAATTTTGGGGGTCCTAAGGACACAGAAGCCTTCAAGTATGATGGTCTTTGCTGGAGTATCCTTTTGTGGTCACACGAGGTTGACTTATATTCCATCTGGAGTGAAAATCAATGCAACTTCCTACATCAGGGATGTCCTAGAGCCAGTCATCAAACCCTTGAACAATACTTTATTCAAGGGAGCCCAATGGACGCTGCAGCAAGACTCGACAGCAGCTCAATAGGCCGAGACGACTTGAGAGTGGTACCAGAAGGAACTTCTGGATTTCATGAAGTGGGAAGAATAGCCATCATCATTGCCATACCTGAACCCATTGGATTACTCCATATGGTCCATCTTAGAGGCAAAGGTCAACAAATTTGGAAGCTCTAAGTTGATCCTTACTTAGGTAGTAGGACAAGGTAACAGAAGAGACTGTTGAAAAAGCATGCGAACACAGGATTTGGAGGTTGAAGACGTGTAAAGGCAAATTGTGGACATTTTGAATACTTTTATTTTCATGGAAGTCTTGTTGTTCAAACTTTAATTTTAGAAAGTTTCATTTGGTTTCAATAAACCATTTAGGCATAACACCTCTAACCAAAGTTTGTATTCAAACATAAAGCCCACTCTGTAAATCTCAACTGCCCAGGCTACCTGATGTGCCCACCCCATCATCCCTCACTGCACACACTACAATCCTCCCTTAATGGCACATCCTGCAACTACAGACCTATTCCCTGCACACCATGCGCACTTGGATTTCATTCACCCATCCTTGCATCATTGTCCACATCCATGCATAGAAAATCTGGAGCAGGAGTAAAAGTATTTAAAAAATGATGGGAGTGGGATAAAAAAAAAAAACATCCCAGCCATAAGAAATCATTGCAAGAATGCCCCCATGCATAAGGTTAATCTTGCTTTGATGCATTGTAACCATCCAACTTAATTTATAAATACTTACTTCAGTTATTACTTGTACATCATAGGATTAAATGAATAGTTCAAAAACTAATGTTTATAACTCCTGGATTTTTAAATCTTCATTTGAATTGGTCAATTACTCCTCCTGATCAACACAAGCATAGTGTCATGCTCCTGCTGCCCTTGCCAAGAGTCTCACTCCCTCTTGCAGGTTATTAATGGCACTCCACACACCTGCAGATGAGTGGTTCCACTAGGGCTGATGATAAAGGGCAAGGACTGCTATGCATATGATGTGAGCAGAGAATAAGATATGCTTTTGCAAGACTTGCTTTTGTAAGCCCTTCCAACACCAAAATGACATCAATGAATGAAAAAACGAAAATACACCTTGAGACACATAAGCACCAAGAGAGTCCCCTGTGTCACTTCTCCAGCCCTTCATTATGTTGGCATGTCTTAGAACCCATATCCTCAGATGTCCTCATGCCATGGAAACTAAACAAAGAATTTTCTTCCTCTTCGTTCCTTCTTTATTTGAGCATGTCTTAATTCACTTCTTTTCTTTCATTCTGGGGAAATTATGAAATACATTAAAGTGCTCTGTATGTACAAATAAAAAAGGAATAAATCTCATCAGTTAACTTTTGAAAAGGCAAAACCCAACATGGGTCAATCCTGGGGAATGATGGAACTTCAAACAGGTTAAAGCTAAAGAAACCTGGCAAAGAAGATGGCTTACAAAATGAAGAGAGCAAATGCAGGTAATTTCCTTTCTGGAAACCATCTTTGATGTGTTAATTTGAGATAAACCAACACATACTTTTTTTCCCAAGTATTGAGACACAACTGCATATTTTCTGTAATTTTAAGGCTATCTGTGACTAATATGCCTATTTTTGAATAATTGGGCAATATGTTCTTACCCTGGATAAACATCAAGCAGAACAGCAGGAATTCCAGTGATCGAGTACAAAAGTAATTTCTTATGCTTCCCAAAATAAATTGAAGGAACCTCCATGATTGCAGAGAAGTATTAAATATTTGATAATTTCCTATATATCTTATTGTCTTGCATTAACTAGGCATGGTTTAAAATTACCAGCCAGGTATAATAAGAATGCATACTTTGGAGGGCCACTACACTTTAACTTTGAAGCACTCACATGGAGCATGCTGTATGTACTTGCTTCCTTCTGCCCATTGCACTTTCTATGAACTCTAAGTCATTCTTAGTATCCACCTTTCCATTTTGCATGGGGTGGGCAAGTGAAACTGGGAGTTAACCTTGCTGCCCCTTTTCAACGCTTTCACTGCTATAATAGAGTTAACTGGAGCACATAAATTTATTTTTTCTTGTGCTTCTTACCTGAGATTTTTCAGGATGATATGAGCCAGACCAGTTATACACTTACATAAGGTAAATGAGGGTACTCATATATTTTTATAAGTAAGGCCCACAATGTTGCACCAGAAGTGAAAAACTCAGCACAGGATGCATAAATAAAAAGGATGTAGCAGTGAAAGCACATATGGAAAGTTTCCCCAATGCACTTTCACTTCAACCATGTGTTGGTCAAAGATTAATTCACAGCTTGGGATTCTTGCCTATCAGAATGCAGGGACAAAAGCAGGAGTAATCTTTTCAATTATCTCTTTCTTTCAAGATCTTCTTTGGCAGTTGGTGGCAAATCTTGGAGTCCTACAGACAGTTTTTGTGACTTGCTGCTTCCATGAGAAGACATTCCAAGGTTCTTGTATGAGAGGGACTGATAATGGGATCATCAAAAGTAAACTGAGGAATGCCATGGTATGATTCCATAAAATTTGAATCTATGTCTTATCAGTCTCACTCAGCAAGACCTGTCCTTGAATGTTTCAAGACAATGAAATCACCTGCATGGGTGATGTATGTATGGCAAATCATAAGTGAAGATTCAACAGGGTGGGGCTAAAGTTAGTAATTCCACATTATTTTTGATTCCACCTGTTGGCAAAAGTTGTCAGGAGGATATAATGGTCAATCATACCAAATACCATTGAAAAGTCAGAGTTCACACCAGGCTAGGAAAACCATTGCAAACAAGGGTTGTTGGAATGGATACATGCAGGCAGGCAGCCCACTTGCATGTCCTTCCTGGGAAATTCCAATTTGTCGCCACAGGTTCGCAGGAACAAAAAAAAAATTTCCTACACTGGTTCACTCAATGATGTGTCTGACTAATGATAGCATATTTGATCAGGGCACAATTTTTCAAATGATGCTTTATGAATCCCTACCAACAAGGGATACAAGAGATCCTTGCCACATTCATACTTCATGAGTTAGGCTAAAACATCCATATTGCATAGACTTCCCAGGCTAGCATTGAGATGAGACAGCAATTGCTTGGAGGATTGTTGAAGGGGAAAATCTTGGCTTCTGGGAAAGTCAAGGGAAGATCCTATTCATGTTAAAAGAACTATGAGATGAAGATGTCAACCAACTAGCACAGGCAATACTCAACATTGGGAGAGCAATAATATCAATGTGGAAAGCCATGGTGTCTCTGAAAATGACAGCCTCATTCAACCCTGTGATTTTATGCAGCTGAAATAAGTTTCCACAACCCTGGGATGGCCTGATAACGTCTCAGTAACACTGTGACAAAGATTGAAGATGTTATCTGATCTACTCTGATGGAGAATTTGATGAATTTCTCATAGTTGGGCCTGGAGGTAAGGGCTATCATACTTCCTGCAACCCATAATAAATGATTGGAAATCAAGTCAGGCTATTTTCTCCCACTGCTTTTTGTTTTTCCTTTAAGATGTGGTTGAGAAGTTAAGAAATGACACACATGAAGGGGGTTCTGACACCAACTTATAAGAAACAAGAAATAAATAAAACAAGATGCCCAAGCCCAGCCCAGTAGGGACCTCCTTTCATTTAAAGAGACCCTCATTTTGTCACCTACTTGAACAAAATGCCATCACTTTCAAATCCTCAACCACCAAAAATCTAATTTCTTAGTTAAATTTGGCAAATCTACCCATGGTGCCAATGAAATGATGATGGGAAAATGGAGGGTTGTGTGTGATTCAATCCATTTGCCACAAAGGCTAGTCAAGAACGGACAGTACTGGTTGGGGACACTGTGCCACACTACAGTGAAGGCCTGTGTCTTATGCTTATGCCCTTTATGGTCCAGATACTAAAGGGCTCTTGGGAACTCATGCTTCCCCCCTCCCCTTCCCATGAACAAATTTTAAATCCAAAATTTGCAATAAAAATGGCAATTTTGGGGCAAATTTGCCACAAAATGAACTCAGCCTGCATCTTGTCCAAATCTACCTGCTTGCCAATCTTCACATTGGTCAAGGCCATTATTTTCTCAGTTATCATTTTGGACAACAAAAGTGTGACACACAGATGAACAGGACGGGATCATAAGTGATCACTTTCCTTTCAGAAAAGGGGGCCCACTAAAAGGAACAGGCTTAAGGACACACCAATATGAGTGCTACTCACCTCAGGTGCAATATAGTCTGGAGTGCCACAGAAGGTCGTGGTGGTTGCAGTGTCTTTAATCCCTTCTTTACACATCCCAAAGTCAGCTATTTTCACATGTCCTTCACAGTCCAAGAGAATGTTGTCCAGTTTCAAGTCTCGATAGATGACACCATTTTGATGGAGGAACTGGAGGGCCAAGGTCACTTCGGCGGCATAGAAACGAGCACGTGGCTCATCAAACTTCCGAGCCCGCTGGATTTGAAACATAAGGTCACCTCCATTCACGTACTCCATCACAAAGAACAGCCGATCCTGAAAGGAGAAAAAACAGTCACTACTACATAATCCCATTCAACACTCACTAATCAGTTCTGCATTATCAGCATGGAATGAATGACCATTAACTCTTTGATGGCCAAGTGCACTATAAGGTATACTTCATTATTGTGTCATGTTTTAAATTTTTATTTGTATTTCTGAGTTTGTTCATAAGATAGCAGCACCCATCAAGGTCAGGAATTAGTTTACAAGTGACAATGTGCATGGTGGTTAACGTGTTGGTTTTTTAAAAACATTTTCAAGGCTTAATTCTTCAAGATGAATCTAAGATCATTCTATGGAGGCAAGGCTCAATTTTGTATATAGTTGTAGATTTAGCTTGATAAATTTCCCTTCTATTAAATCTAGAATAAACTATTTTGATGCCATTAAATTCTGCAGAATCTGGTCTTTCAGTTCATACCAAACAAGTTATAATAGAATTGGAATTTGATGACATAATAGTTGACTTTAGGGAACTATGCAATTTTGTTTGCTGGTACCCAAAAATGGCTTGGGCACAAATGGGTTGACTAAAAAAAAAAATCTGTATTTCTATATTAGCAATGGATTCAAATTCAGAACCTCAGTCTGAAAGGAGCAATGGAGAGCAGTGAGGAAAGGATGTCGGGCAGAGAGAGCCAAAATTCGCTTCTCAGTCATGGTGCAGTCCACGTCATCATCTTGAAGGATCACATCCTTCTTCAACACCTGGGGAAAAAATCATTATCAGAACATATGAGGCTGAACTTAGAATTCTCACTCAAGGATAGATGCCAGGGTGCAACAAAAATTAAGTTGCCACTTTGTACACTTTGATAATTATGAGTTGAATTTGTAATGGCCTGGAAATTTAGGTAATCAAATTAGAAAAGCAAAAATTCAATAGAAAGCCTAACTCAAACCTCTAAATGTTTACAGACATAGAATGCAAACAACTCTAAAGGCATTGCTGAGGCATAATGACTTTTTTTTAAACTATCCAGCTATCGAGCCTATACATCAAGAAGAGATAACCAAAGACACCATGCAGAGTTTCCTTCCAGTGTCATAAAAAATTCCATTTTACAGATATTTGCACAGGGGAAATGTGATGAAAAATACACACCTTAAAATTGGCACAAAGGGAAGGATACATGACTCTGTAGCCTGTTACTCCATAATCTACTATGGTCAAGTCTGTTTAAGTAATGCAAAATTAGGAAACACATAATTGCCAAACTGATAATTGGGCAAGTCACTTTTAACCACTAAGTGTGAACAGAAGCCTTCACTTTGTAACTGCTGATTTCCACTTAACCTTAATAACTATTTGAAGAAACACTGGGATATTGCATGTACCTTGACAGCATAGACTTCATCAGTGCTTTTCAGCTCTGACAGCAACACTTTCCCAAATGAACCTTTCCCGAGGACTTTGATGAAAGTGAAATCATCAAGGCCAAACTTGCGTGCAGCACCAGCACCCCTCGTCAATAGATTGTCCAAGCTTTTCTCTGTGGGAAACAACACACAGAAAATAATAGAAATGTTTTTTTTTTTAAACTTAAAAACAAACTTTTCACCATGAATTGTAAAAGAGGGATGAACTGGACAGTATTCATTTGGCTTTCAAGTTGCAGTCTCATTCAATCTCTACAATGTCAACTTGTGTGCTTATCATTTTAGCTAGTTGCAATCACAGATGATACCTTGTAAACATCATTCTGTCATACACCGAGACTGACATCAGTTGTAGCAATCCTGGAAATAGAAAAATACTGACCAAACCCAACTGACAGATTTTAGGATCCATATGCAGTGGTGATGACAACCAAGGGAAGGAGAGAAGCAGATCTCATAATAGAGACTTGAACTTCCCTTCTTCCCATCAGGTATCATAAACATCCAATACATGGAAACTTTTAATATAAAAGGACAGCAAGATTTAGCAAGATTCTATGCCTTTCCATGTGAGCTGCATCCACTGATAGCCACAGTTTACCATATAAAAGCCACATCCCCGAGTAGAGTCCTGGGAGAGGCCATGGTCATGGACAGAGGTCATGAAAATTATATATAAAACTGTATTACAGGCAATGTGCTGACAAACTGAACCAGAAGTGAAGATTTGGCTGGAAAGGAAAAAGTAGCAAGAGCAGAGCAGGCTGCATTACAAAGGAGAAAGGTACATATATATACCACAGCACAATGAAACGAGTATTTAGTTGTGTAGGTGCACTTTAGTTCCATATAATATATAAGCTATAATTATTAGCACATGATGCAAATACATTAGAGAAATGATCTCCACCTTTCCAGTGAAGATGGGATAGGGAGAGGTGCTTAGTAGTCTCTGTTGCATGAAAATTCCTGTTACTTCAAAATGCTACAAAAACTTTTTGATTGAAAGATGAGTGTATATACAAAGAAGCAAGTGGTTTATCAGTGGTCTCCGCATTGACTCACTTTTGCATGGGATGTTGAACAACTCATGTCCAAATTCTTTTTCAGAAAGAAATTACGTGCAGTAGAGTCAACATAGCAGGTTCACATTCAGTTGGGACATATGAGAAATTCATACCAGCTTGAGTTTTGGTGTGTTCTCTCTCCTTGCTGCTGCCGAGGATTTTGTCCCGGTCTTTAAGCCTTTGGTCCATGACCTCTTGAGCAGCAAGCCTAAGGGCCAACTCTTGCTCATCTGCCTGTTGGTGTCCAGCTGCTGTCCCTGCTTCTAGGGACACCTCACGGTCTTGTATCGCGGGCAGCGGCGACGTGTAGGACTTCTCATAAGTTGGCATTCCGTGATCGCTGAATGAGGACTGAGACCGAGAAACAGAAGGTACAGGGTGGCCCAAAAATACATATGATTTCGAAAAATCGAATTTTTGTTGGACAACTTCCCGAAGTGATTCAAGCTCTGCATTGATGTGGGAGGTGGTCATTTTGAGCAAAAATTATGTTTATTTTGATGATGTGGGTTGTATAGATGTTTATTTAACTAATTGTTTATAAGAATGTTTGATATTTTGAATAAAGGACTTGATTTTTCGAAATCATACATATTTTTGGGCCACCCTGTATTCAACCCTCCACCTAAAGCAGTAAGCCTATACCAAAGCATTTGTCAAGTCAAGTCACCTTCTTTCTGCCAGTCTTTTGAGTGAGATCCTTGATCCCAATTTTTGTAAGGATCTCTGCCATCTTCTTTGTGTCAATCCCACAATTGCTGGCAACATTTTTCTGGCACCTCTTATGTACATTCATGCAACAGACTGAAATCAGAGACAAAAGGCAATCAGTTTTTGCAAAAGATTCTGTCCACTTTTCTGACTTAGCCAGAAAATCAAAGGCTCACCTTCACATTGTAGGCCTTGCCTGAGCAAACCATACAGCAATGAGCCACAGTGGTCACAGAATGTGAACCTCTTGTAATTGTGTATGCGGAAGCGATGGGGTAAATTGACGCTGAATCGCTGCCCAAGCATCTGCAGAAACACAAACAGGATGAATTGTCACATCCCTCTCTCACTCTGCAAGACAGTTGGCATGACTCACCTCATCTTGAGTAGCATCCTTCATACCCTGACATCGTGTGACAATTGAGTCATGACACCGCTTGTGCACCACAACTGTACACACTGAAGAACACCAAAAGCATTTTAAATTTCAATTTGAATTCCATGAGAAAATTGACAAGCATGTTACTAATTCAGATCTTACCTTGGCACTGGTACCCTTGCTTCCCAAGACCCCTGAGGGATGAGAAAAAAAATCTTTGTCATCTGTACAAGAAGCGAACAATTAATATATTAAAGAGAAATATATATATATATATACAATGAAAAACAATGGTCTAACACTAGGACCCCACTCTGTCCAAGACAATACTACAGACATCATCCTCCATCACATCTTTTTTACCTGAATATCTTGGAAACAACTGAAGTGAATACAAAACCATAAGCTTTGAACTATAGCCTGCTGATAGCCAATTCACACTGGGAAGGCAAGGGGGGTAGGGGGACAAATAACAGAACAAGTTTAGAAGTGGAGGCTTAAGTCCAACTACTTCCTTTGCCATAACCCTAAACCCTTTAACCCTTAAACCCTTACTTGCTCACATCCAACATATTCCCATGCATAATTTTTAAAATACCTGAAATACTAATTGCTTGCATGAAGTTGTTCAAACATAAAGGGCCAATTTCATATTTTAAAAGAGGGATAACTGTGCCCTCATTCAAAACACTTCAAATTTTCAGTGCCCCAAAAGAATAGCTCCTTCCAGCTTTTGCATGTCATTACAAATTTGATGGCAGGTGATTTCAGTGAACCCAGGGCATTTTAAACAAGAAGCTTCTGGACATGTCTAACTGAAACTAAATAAATTCTAGAACTCAAAGCACAGGTGAAGCAACACAGCTAAAAAAAGTTCATACTCTTAAACAGCATTATACATCCTGTTAGTATAAAAAGGACCAACTTTACTTAGGTGGAATTAGACATACCAGATGAAGTCACGGCAATGAGAACAGAAGGTGGGCTGTCGCAAGAATGTTGCCATGAACTTGTGCCCATTGATTTGATGAACCTTCCTACGCATGGCTCCTCTACGTTTATGGAAGCCTCTCCCTTCCTTGAACTCTCTTGGTTTTGTTGCTGAAGCTTGTGCATGGTGTTCTACAGAGCATATAAAACAGACACAACCATAGGTCATACATAGGTTCATATAGATCTCCTTACAATGTTTTCTTAAAGAAGGGGGAACTGAAGTGACAAAAATGATGAAGTTGCAGTCGAATAGGCTTACCTGACCCAGGCTGCACCCACTGAAGATCAATTATCACATGCAATCTGCCACTGGGTTCCAAGTCCACCTGCAGACAGAAAAAGTAATGTAGCTTCAGCAAAACACTCATGATTAACAAGAACATTCAGTCAAACAATGCATCAATGCTACTGTCTAGTTATGGCAGCAAAAAGCTGAAAAGGATTAAGCATCTGGATATTTACCCATATATCTGAGTGCTCTTTGTTGATGAGGTCTTCAAAGGGAATATTGCAGTTGGCGACAAATTCATCTGGTGGGAGGGCAGCATTGTGGAACACAGTAAGCCCTATATTTTGTCCATTGGTCACCTCATAAGTAAAGGATTCATCCCATGTGGGACGATTCGTTTTCGCCTTTGCAGTAGTCCGGTTAACATGCTCCTCGTCCACATCGATGGCCACATAGGGATCGATGGGTTGTTGTTCGGCTGCCTTGGCAGGACCTAGGCCCAAACTGATGTTAGGTTTGTGCCTTATTTGATAATCGGTTGGCTTCAAATCGGAGGCTTCGCATATTTTGATCTTCAGGTTTCCCGTGAACATTTGGTACGAGCACCGTGGACGAGCAAGAGGGGATGTATGAGATCGGGTTTAACGTCAGGCACCTTTCAATGCCGTTATCGTAGGAACAACATGAAAAACAGAGCTGTTTCTCGACGCACGAGACACAACGGCGATTTGTGACCAAATGCACTTGGATTCAAGTTGCACGGATCCGTTCGGGTTTCCCAATGGTATCCAAAAGAGAGACGGCTCAGCCGACCGACGAGGGCCACCAACACAAGAAACAGCCCACCTGGAAAATGGAAATTCACGTGAAACAAGGGGAAGAGCGAGATGAAGATCGCGGCGTGAATGCGTGAACACCCGGCCTGGGGACACGGAATGAGTCAAAGTGGGAGTAAGAATGGAGAGAAGGATGGAACACGGGTGACTTCAAACATGGCTGCTCCGTGCGTCTTGCGCCGTGGGAATCGATTTTTGAACTGCAGTTCCCTCGGCCCAGGTCTGCAGAGCCGAGGCTGGACTCCTCAGTTTCTTTCCCCGTCCCGTCGGACTGTGCTATCCCTGGCGCCCTTCGCTTCTCTAACGCAGGCTCATATTTGGAGATTGTGGACCTCGGTTATAATCAAATTCAATGTGACGTTTCAGGTTACCGTGAACTTCTTTAAAATGGCGCAAAGACGGTGGCAGTCTGCTGCTGGCTAGCTGGAACTTAAATCCGCAGAGCTCTTCTCTTCGTGATGTATTTGATGTCTATCTCATTTGCCACGCAGTCTGCAGCTCGGGCATTCCACATGTTTGGAAGCAGAGGAGCTAATCCCAGGTGAGTTCAGGGTAGAAGGACATGGTGTAGCGTTGGTGGTGATTACTGACATTCATCACTTTATTGCTTCATACGTTTTATTTTTCTTTCAGGAATTATGTGCTGAGGTATTTGCTTCAGGAGCATATTTGCATGAAGACTGGAGTTAGGACAGTTCAAACTCAGATCAAGACAGACAATGAGTTTGACTCCCCAGTCAAACTCACTGATAGTTGTGTTGCACGGCTAAAGACAATAGCCAAAGGGAAGTGCCTCAGAGTTGATGTTGAGGGCGGTGGATGCTCAGGCTTTCAATACCTTTTTAAGTTGGATGGCACCATTCATGATGGTGATGTGTAAGTGGTAATATTATGTAACTTTTTTCTTTCCCCATGGTAGCACTAGTGCTGGCAAGCTGTATTGGTACTGTTTCCTTTCCAGAGTCATAGAAAGAGATGGAGTGAAGCTGGTGGTAGATGAAACTGCTCTGGAATACCTGAAAGGATCAACAGTTGACTATCATGAGGAGCTGATTCGTTCTGCATTTCGTGTGATCAACAACCCCCAGTCAGAACAGGGTTGTTCATGTGGTGCTTCTTTCTCCATCAAATTGTGATAGCAGTTTGACATTTTCATGCCATTAGTTTAAGATCCATTATGCAATAGGATGGATGCAAAGGGCAATGGGTGTGCAATATTTCAAAGTAAAATCCCTATGGTGCTTTCAGATGAATAGTTTTCTCCTGTTGACAAAAAATTGTTTGATGTCCTTTGAATCTTGAATTTGGTGTGCAATCACTTTGAGAAAAAAAGTCATTGTATTTTGTGTTAGGCCTGGTGCTTTTGACTTGAAAGAACTTAATCTGCATATCTACACCCTGCAGCCTGCTCTTTAAGCAAATGCTCAGTGGGGTACATGAAGTGGAAGTGTATGAGGTTTTAGTCCTGTATAGTTTCCTCTCTAAAATGTCAAGTGCACCTCCTCTTGCTGAAACAAACTGGATATCTAAGGGGTGCTTAAAGTAGCAGGCAATCCTTTTGGCTATTCTTCATGACATTTTATTTAATTATAGTTCTGTCTTTGATTGGGGTAATAGATTGACTTCTGATTCTTCAGCAGCCTCATTTCAGCTTCAGCAGCAACATTTTCACAGCGGAAGGAAGGTGAAGGGTGATGTTTAGATGGTTGAAGTTCTGAAATTAAGGGGAGAGGGAGGATAGATGAGACGCTGATGGGTCTTGAACATATATCGTTGATTTAGTGTGACTTTAAATGATTTCTAGTAATTTGAGAAAACATGAACATATGAGGGCTCTTCTAATAAATGCCGCTGTGCTTATATTCAATGGCTTCTTATACTGTAAATGGACCCATCATGTTTTTGTGTCACAGTCAAAATTTTATCAGTTCCATCATAGTGAATAGGGCCTAACAAATTATAAGTCTAGCAGCAGCTTATTCAGTGTAAAGGAAGGAATCGTCATTTCACAATTGAACATGCCCAATAAGCATGCCTCGAGCAAAAGCAAAAGCCAAGATTTATGAGAGGAACTACAGATTCATTAATTTTAGTTGATGCCTCTAATCAAATTAATTCAATGTAAGAGTCATGAATGTGTTAGAGTTAGACCAACACACTCCCACTGAGCATTTATTTTTTCAATGCTGTAGAAATTCTGTACTTTAGAATACCTCTAAAATGCTGATGTCCAGTATACTGGACAACAACTTCTCTTGGCTGTCCACTATGCTGGATTTGAGTTTCCTGTTATTCTCTCCAGTGGTTGTCCAGTATCCTGGATTGTTTTGAAATGACAGGCTGAGGGAGACAGACCTCTAGACTCTTCCTGCTACCTGCTTCCCATGCTAAAAGTTTTGAGTAGAGTAGAAATATTGGAATGAAGTGTCAAAGTCAGAAAAGTAAGTACACATGCATTCCCCAGAACATAAGTCACATGTTGGAATAACTATATTTCATTCATTCAACTGAATGTCAATTCAGGGATGCAATACACTGTCCAGCTAGTGGCAATGTACTCGTTGTAAATCTTAAGAAAAAATTCCAGCACTGCCAGTGCACATGCCTTGACGAAACTTTAACCTTTCAGTGTGATCAGAACATCTAGCCACCTTTTTATTGCACACTTTTAGCCTGGGGAATGGTGGTTGAGACTTGCAACTAGGGTTGTCACGATACCACTATCGATAGTTTTTCAACCATCGCGATGTATCGGCAAAAGATTTTAAAGGGGAAATGTCCCATTGGATTGAGGCGAGTACAGTGCAATACAGTCCGTCCATGCGGGAAAAGAAAGAGGCGGTGAGACCCGCATGGGCTTGCAATTTCTTATCACGACAAAATTCTGGAAATGCTGGGAAATATATAAAAGACGGAAAGGAAAATAAACAAAACATGTTGAAAAGGAGACAGGAAGTGGGAAAGGAGCGGGAGAGAAGACCGTGAATATTTTTTCTATTCTGTTTCAGTCCTCGGCTCGATCTCATTAAGTGCATGCTGCGAAAGTGGACGGTTATACTTCCTTGATTTCAAAACGTACATTGGTTAATCCCCCTCTTATTACACTACAATGGGCGCAATTATGCATGGCTCAATTCCCGTCAGTTTTGTTATATTCAGTTATGTAATTACATGTATAATATATAATATGGTAAATTTATACAAAATATAAAAACGATGCATAGAACATACAAATTTGAAGTACAATAGCGAAAGAGCTCAAAAATGCAAAAAAGTATATTATTCCGATAGTGGCCTTAATTCAGTTCTGAAAGGGCTGATAAAGTTAGTGAATTGGGGTGAGTTAACTTTAGGTCCACCTGTTGAGGAAGAGTTTGAGAGCGTTATTAATGTCCTAGCAACTAGGTGAATTTACTCAGAGTATTTACAGTTTTTAATTAGTTCCTATTAAGATTTACATCCTGTCGGAAATGAGTTAAGGGAAAGAGGCCCCATGAGAAGAGAAGGTGTTTCCGGGTGCCACCTGGCCTGAAGGACCTTATCAGATGACAAGAGATCAGGCGGGGGGTTATGAGAGACCGGCGCAGCTTTACTTCAAGGGTTCATGCGAAAAGGAGGCGAAGGGTGATATCTGTGCTAGGCCGCAAAGTTGAGAGAGATCTGCTTTTTTTTCATGCTGAGAATGAGAGAGCGAAAGAGGAAGGTGAAGAGAGATGAAAGAGCGAGAAAGGTGAGGGAAGTGGTGTCGAGAAAGAATTGTACCTGTAGAGGCCAGATAGAACTGGTTTTAATGGTCCTGCGTACAGAAAAAAAAAAGCACTACCGTCGCGCGATATTTTTAAAGAGTGGAAGAGGTAGGAAAAAGGAGGTAGACAAGGGAGAGAGAGGAGAGGTCCTTCTCGATACTCGCGTGGAAGAAAAGAAAGCACTGCCAATGTGAGATGGACAGGGTCAGGGTTGCCGAGGGTTCAAATGGAGAAGGTGTTATTATTTCCGAGGCGTTGCATAGTTTTATTATAGGTTTTAGTGTGCCTGAAGCGCGCAATAGTAAACTTTTTATTTAATCTATCAGGAACTTCTATGATATCCCCTGGTCTTTTAGGGTCATTATTGAAATTAAATGAATTTTTTTTTTCATGAACATTGCTTATTCTAGGGCTGTACTGATGTTTCGGCTACCGCTGGTATGACACAAACAGGTTTGCAAACTGCTGATGCCGATATCCAAAGAAGACCGTGTAGAACGAATAAAAGTTGGAAAAAAAAATACGTGAATGGGCTTGATAACTGATATATATATATATTGCGAATGCACATAGGAATAGAAAATACAGCACAATCAAGACAAGACAGATACAAAGGACACCAAAAGTGAGACGCAGAAAAACACAAGGACGGGTCAGCAATTGGCATGAAGCCAGGCGGTTGCTTCAGGGTCCGCACTGTGCAGTTTCGTAAGGCCACCGGGAAGGCCCTCACGGACTGCACAGCCGGCCAGTATATGGGCAGGGTCCTCGACCGCACCACAGCAGCAGTGTGGTTGATAACTGATTCTCAACTGCAATAAGAAAAAATGAGGGCTGTTCTGATGCATCCATCGATGAATGAATATAATCTTCGATAGTTGGAGGCATGGTAGGTTTCATTACTCGTTGCGAAAGTCACACCTTCCCCCCGCACCCCCGATCATAAGCATGAGATTATGGAAGACGGATAGAGGTCCGCGCTCCGATCGAGGCCAAAAACGATGGAGGTCAAACCTCCGCCCGATCGCGGCGAGAAAAGATTCAATCCTCCTACGTGATCCCCCCCCCCCCCCCCCCACGCATGCGATACACTATCGATAGTTTAGGTTGATCCATCGAAGTTTTGAAAGCTGCTATCGTGACAGACCTACTTACAACCACCCTTCAAAAGTAGTTTCATGAGCCATATAGTTTTTGACTTCCTGAACTCTTTGCATAAAAGGGGAGAACATAACTTAAACTTTATAACAGCTGCATTTTGGTAAATTTAAAAATCAAATTGTGTGCCTCAAAGGGTTAAGGGTTTGAAGAATCCTCACAAATGAAGTTTAAGGCATCCAATAGTAGTTTAGAGGTGTGAAGGCATTCTTCATCAGAGGTCCCATGATGGAAATGAGAGATATCACCCATAGACTTGAAGGTATTTATTCAGATAAGAAATCACTGATAAAAGATGGAGATGGGGAAAATGCATAATATATTAATGCAAATTACATATTGGGAAGCCATGATTCCAGGGCATGAGGCCAATCCTCATCACATGGATGACTGGAAACCAATTTATTCAGAGATTGAATAAGGCCTCCTAAATGGAAATGTTTAGACAATGTGATGAAACTAGTAAATCATGATCAAAATGGTTGTGGCACATAAAATAACCATTCCAGATTGTGGTAGCAATGAAAGGCAAAGAATAAATTCAATAATTCACTGCATAGTGCTGTTTTCACAAGCAAGAAATACATCAACTTAACATTAGCAAAGGAATAAGTGTAGCAGCAAAAGCTTAAAGCAGCATGATGTGACTGGATAAGATAATCCTTTGCAATTCAAGCCCAGGAATTGCAAGAAAGGCATGTGGGTGATAAAAAACTTCTCAGATTATGTGAATCTTTTACTCCTTGACATTATGATGGCACAACTGGTTTGGATCATTGTGGTTTTTGGGTGTGCATGGGCAAAGTCCAGGGCATCTTGGTAGTGATACAAATTTTCCTAAATGCTATTGACTCCTTGAACCCCTTGTAAAAATAAGAGATGTATTTGATGAGAGCCATATCAGCTTTTTTTTATATGCTGAAAATATCAACTACAGCCAACATGCAGGAAATCTTGTCCATGCACTCCCAAGACCCAGCACAAGAATCACACAAGAAGTGACAACAAAGGTGTTACAGATCCAGTCTAATAACTTTTTGAGAACCCCTCATATAAAAAAAGAACAAAAAAGTCCAGTCAATGATTGATGGTTACTTGGAGAAGAGGGAAAGGGAGCTAGTTCAAGCCATTCAATAATTTTAAGGATTCCAAAGGCTGATAATTGAGCAATTTGCTAGCTTTAATGCCAGGCATTACAGCAGACAGCAGCAAATAGCTGTTTTATTGAACATGGGAGAGGACATTCAAACACCAGTGAAATCTCTGATCACCACATGCCAGATCCATGGATTCAATTATGATATTCAAGTATTTCCACAGGAGCTCACATGTTTCCCACGGAAGCGAAACAGTTCATTAAGCAAATCAATTATTTCAATCCTTTACCATAGGTTCTCAATCTCAGTAGGTCACCATGAACAGGTTTAAAGTCCATTAAACCCTCCTCCACTACGTGATGCTGTCATTCTCATCTTTTTTTCTCAAATGAAACTCTCAGGATAAAAACAATGGAGAAATACTCAACAGCTTGTCTTGCTTTTTTCCCTAATGAATATCAAATCATTGTAGATCTGAATAAAATAACCCATAAAAATGAGTTTTTGACCTTAGATTTGCAAAGATTCCCCCAAGAGCCTTAATAGAAACTAACCCTTCTCTCCTGGTCATAAAGAAGAATGTCTCAACTCTCATGATGAGAAAATTCAACTTGGATATGCATGAATCTCTTGAACCATTGATGGGGTGCACATGTGTACTCCCTAATGTTAAACCTTTAAATAAATGTTTCTCTTTTCTCTCTGTTGTCATACCCATCTATTGGCCTGAGGATCAATACAATGTATCATATTTCTTGACCAGCTACCTTGCAATCTTCCTAAAGAACTTTCAACATTTTTTGCCATGGTAGTTTTTGTTCCTCTAGTAGCAATGGGGCTTTGAGGTGAAACTGATCACTCCAATGAGGTGATGTGGTATGACTGTCATGAATCAATTCCTTGAAACAATGCAAACAAAAATTAATACAAAGTGAGAAAAGTGAAGGGATATCAGCATATCACAGAGTATGAGTTGTGGGAACCAGACTGAATTCAGAATATGCCCTTCTTTCCAGTCTGCAACAAAAACAAGAACAGAGAATGTAAGACTGAATATTTCAACAAAAACCACTTCAATGAATCCAAAATGAAAAACCTCACTTTGATGTTGAGCTTTTGCCGCAGAAGACTGAGTTCTTCCTCTTGTTCCACAAACTTTTCATTAAGACCAGCAAAGTGGTCTGACATTGCACTGAGCTGTATCTCATAGTTTGATTTAGTGGTTTCAATCTCTTCTTGCAACTCTGCATGGGCTTTTTGGAGTTTCATCATGTCATTCTCCAAAGAGGCTTTCCCCTGTTCAGCTAATACCAACTGACAGACCAGGCTCTCACACTACAATCAAGAGAAAATTGACCCTGGAAAAGTGTTGTGCACTCACTTTGAAAAACAGACATGAAGAGATGAACTGCAAAGTTGCACACTAGGTAAAAACCTTTTGCCTGTACCCTACTTTATCCAACTGTACCCGTTACCCCAAAATTATCTGATTGTCTACATGTAATGCAGCAAAATTTGCCCCATCCATGCCTACCCACTCAGAAAAAAGTCAACAACACATGCAAATTTGTTTGGCTCCTTTAATTCATTATTTATTAGGAAATGTGAACATCCTAGAGTAGGAAAGGATAAGAAACTAATGTCACATGTAGGAAAGGAGATTGAAGACAGAGGGTAATTCCAAGACTCCAGTCAGAACTTTGAGTTGCAGATCATGGATTATGCCTAACCATTCCCTCCTCCATGGGCAAAATTTCTATTCATGTATCATTTGCAGTGTACTGTAGTTATATAGTCATGGTTCCTTGGTTCCACACAATTCTGATACACAGGGAAAGTACCTCAGCTTGAAGGCAAGCAGACTTTGACTGAGCCATCTGGACCTGACAGACCAAATATGACATTTGCTCTTGCAGGTAATGTCTTGTTTTCCCTTCTGGTCCCAATAAGTCCCCATCCATTTCCTGTAGGATGAGTCAAAGTCCTAAAGATCCCCATATATATTATATATATATCCCCATATAATATATACATGGTGTTCATAAAAAAATAATACCCAAAATTAGTGAAATAGAAAGCACCATAAAAGTGTTATAGCAGAAACTTACCTTTGAAAACAGACTTAATTTCTGGAATGACTATCAACATTTGACCAGATCCTATATAAATTCAACCTGTGGCAGTCATTTAAAAACAATAGTGGACTAGCCCACTGCCCACATGAACATAACCATGTAGATGTGGCCTCATTTCCTCCATGCTTGCATGGACATGTTGTTTCAGCATTGCATAAAAAGCTCATTCCCATTGTGATGAGGTTGATGTGCTTTGTAAAGACAAAGCACATCAAACAAAGGGAAGAAAGAACTTTCACTGATTAGTGTTGGCATGAGACACTGAGACAAAAAAATCAGACACAATCCACCAATTATGTAGGACACATTGCAGCCGACAAGCTGTTGCTCCCCTCCAGCACAGATAAAAGCAAACCACCTGATTGGCTGTATGCACATAGCAAGTGTTGGCTTATGTGTGGCCTTTCTTTCAGCTTTGTTTGCTTTTGACAGCATTCTGCATGCCTTACATGAGTGTCATTTCATTACTTTGCAGAGAATTTGGTAGCCTTTCCAATGGTTTGTAACTTTCAACTGTATTTCCTGATTTCTGCTTTCTATTTTGCTGAATTTAGGATATTTTTTAACCATACAAATACTGTGGATTTTCCTTGTTCCCCAACTCAACTTTCCATACCTCTAATGAATCAGGTACATCATGAGACAAATGAGGTCCACCTGACTGTTCCTCTGAAGATCTTCTATCTGAAGCACTCTCGACCATCTATAGATACAAGACAAATAAAGGGATGCTAATGCTCTGTTAAAATATATTTTGATTAAACCCACTCTCCTGCTTACCCACAAAATCAGAGGGGATAAAATTTAAACAAAAGCTACTAGCACAGTAGCCTGACAACTCACATGCCCTGAAGATATATGCTTCTGTTTTGCTGAAGTGGACACCATGTGCTCAGTATGGCTCTCAATTGATGAAAGAGAAGATAAAATCTGGAATGAAGTGCAAAGTTACTTCAATGTGATATAGTCAATAGGACTCAATATGCCCCAAATCAACTGGGCCTGGCCATAATATCAATTGATCAGGCAAGATGAAAACAATTCCCCCATCAAACTCTAAAGTGGATTGATCATACTGCCTCTTTTCTGACAGAATAAGTGAATGTAATGAGCTCACGTTTTGCAATGAAATCACCCAGCACTGAAGAGCCTTGAAAATACCATCTTCTCCACTGGAGGATTCATTTGGGCCAGCCAAGTTCTTTCTTTCCTCGTATAACTTTTTCAGATCTAAATTCAATAATAAAAGCACAAAAAAAACAAACATCAGAAGGACTTAAAAAAAAAAATTCAAGTCCTGCAAATAATATACTCACCACTAGTAATCTCATGGAGTGACCTCACTTTCCTGACAACTGACTCAAATTCTTTCTTCTTTGCAAGTCTGTCATCACAGTCAGCTATGCCTGATTACAAAAGAAATACAACAATATTTCACAACTTCACCCAAAGACAAATCATTAACAGTAGCCTTCATGACATACTAGATGAAATGCAAGCATGGATGAGAAAGCATAACTGAGCAATTGCAGCTGTGACACTCCTGTGGGAATTTTCAATTTCATCTCTCATCTTGTTCTGGTCCATTGTCACATCCAATGCAACATCCAGCATGATGAGATATTCCCTGAAATTCAATGAGATTATCTCTGAGTTATTGATGAGAGTTCCTTCCCCTCCACCATACTGAACTGATGCATTTAAACAATGGAGAAACACCTTGGGACCAAGGGATCAGGGAGTTGAGAATGCAGCTCTCCAAACATATGCAAAGCATCACATAGAAGTCTCAGGTGATCTGGTGATGCAGGGAGTTGCTCCATGAGATCCTTCAATGCTTCTCCCACTTCGAGGCAGGCTCTTTCAGTCTTTTTTATTGCCTTTAAGAAATGAGAACATTGAATATTATTTACTCAGGAATAAAATGGAAAAACTTTCCAAGTACAGGTTTGGCAACTAACCTCACATCCAGACTTGGCATCCCCACTTTCCTGCCACAGCTTGTGGCATGAAGAATACAGATCATGTAAATTTGACAGAAAATCCCTGACATGAGGGATCACAGACAGAAAGGCTTCCTTCAAAGATGTTTGTGATGGAGATGATGCACTGACAGGTTCTCCCTGGGCTTCTCCTGCATTCATGAATTGAACTGATAAGATAATCATTCCCACCCTTTCAAATGTGATGTTTTTTTTGCTTTTTACTTTTTAGAATAATTTTAACCTCTTAAGACATGGTTGGGAAGTACACATGCCAAATCCTAGGGATTTATTTGTTTTTGGGTATGAAGACGATAATAGCTGGAAGATTGCAACTTCACATTTCTGGCTAAAGCACTTGCATTACTGTAAATTTCATGAGTAGTACATGTCAACCTACCTCTTTCCCACCACCCAGCATTATTTCCAAGCAACAAATATCCAAAAATCCCCAAACACTAAAGCTAATTATCAATTGGAGGGAGAATGGGGAGGCATAAAAAAAATATATAAATGAAAATAAGTAAGGCTTAGGTGATATTTCCTCAAATCAGATTGCTTTAAAAGAGAAACCAAATAAATTTTTCAAGATTAACAGCAAAAATCAAGTCAAAGGGTGACATGCACCACATTGGTTTAGGAGCTAAGCTGACCTGATTCCAGGAAAATATGTTTAAGAATGAGTTGAACTTGTTAAACTGATTTGTGACATACACCAAATGCAGTTTACTTTTCTCTTAAACTAATCTTGAAAGATAAACTTGTTCCATATCAGGTTTAACTCCGTAAACAGATTCTCAGAGGAAGCTGCTGCTTTGAGAAGAAGCATGCTGCTTTGCTAGAGTGGGCCTCATTTTTCTTGCCTCTCATCATCTAGCAATGATGGAAATGGAAACTAATGAGGAGGAGTTTTTGATGTGATCCTGAACCAAACTGCCAGGAGAACTATCAGAGATCGGCTTAAACCTCTTGAATGGTTCAATAGAGACTAATTCCAAAGAAGGCTTCGTCTTTCAAAGGACACTGTCACCGACTTGGTGCGGACAATGGAGCAGCAGCTGGCACAATACTCACCATTCTCTTTCCAAGTGCAACTACACTGCCTTGAAACATGCTTAAATTGTGGATAAATGTGTTCAGGAAAACTAATTAATTTTTGGCAGCACATGTCAAAGATTAAAACATTCCTAATGTTTTAGTTTTGGTAAATGGGATGAACATGTTTTAGCAAACATGTTCATCTCATCTTTAAACTAATCCAATTCCTCAATTGGTGCATGTCACCCATAGTAATGATTCTGTCAATTTTTGCATGTTGTGTCCTAAATTATGAATTTCATATCAAGATTTTTAAATTTCCCATTACTGTTCTCTTAATTTCAATGATTATTGAAAGGAGACTACCAAACCTCCAGACTTTCTTCGCATATCTGGTTGTTGGCTTGTGGTGGTATCAGTCACATTCATCCCACACTTCTGGAAGTCTTCCAAAGCTTTCCTGACCTGAGCTAATTCTTCACCCTGGTCATGACATTGACGTTCCAGCTTTTCTTTGGAAATTCTCAAGCTCTCCATTTCTTTCTAAAGCAAGAATATAAAAAAAAAACATTATAGTCAGCTTAAAATACTGGCAATCATGTGTTTTGCAGAGCTCTTAAGTACTTGCTATTCAAATTATTGGTTACTTGAACATCAAGTCTATTTCTTCATATGGTTTTGATCATTTACAAATAGGCTTTAACTGACCTCATGTTGAAGTTGTATGGCTTTCATTGCTGATGCTTGATTTTTGGCCTCATGTTGTAATTGTTCTATCTGAAGTTGAAACTCTTCATTGGCCCTTCTTTGATGGGTCTTCACCTCTTCCAGCTGCAAATTACGCTCTACTGATTGACACAGTCATATAAAATTAATATAATCAATATATAATGAATCCTTACAAGGGAATGAAGCCTAGCATTTTCTTCAATCTTATGCTGCAACTCTTCTTCAATGGCTGAATTAACAGCAGCTGTTCCATCCACTTCATTGTGCATTCGACCTTTTTTCTTCTTTCCCTGAAAAGGAAGGTAAATGGAAAACATGTAAGAAATGAAGCAAACAAATGAACGTTCCATGGAATTTAAATGGGAAAAAACAAACTCAAACAACTGAGATTAAACTATGACATCTGCTTACTTTTTGTCCTTCAAGCTCATCCTGTAAGACTTCCACACGCTTTGCAAGCTGCTGATTCCTGAAAGTAAGACTCTCTACCTCAAGTCGAGCCTTACGAAGGCTTTGGTCTTTCTCCTTCAGTTGTTCTTCTGCTTGCCTTCGACTGTCCTGCTCATCCAGAACACCTTTCTTTAGGATTGGTAGCTGTGCACGAAGCTATAAAGAAAAACAGGCGGTCAGTAGATTTGTGCCCAGGATAAGCCCATGACAACACCACATGGAAGATCCCATCTAGAGACTCAAGTGCTCACATGAAGTTCATTAATTAATATTTTACATTCATGTTTTTCACAAGTTTTTTTGCAAATACTGTCAATGCATAGCTGAGTTGGATTTCTTTGTCCTCTGAATCACTTTTGCTTGATAATCACAATAACTTGGATTATAGCATTTAACATTGGAAGGTTATGCACTACTATATGAATATTATTGCCAGATATTTATAGTGTGAGTGCAACCAATAAAATGGTGAACTTTTCTTGCTGAAATAGAAAGGGCTTTCTGTTGTTCTGTAGGCTTGCATCTTGACCTGTGATAGTTTACCTTAGTAGGGTTTGTTCAAGAGAATAATTTCAAGCCATGTAAGTTGGTGCTCTGTTCTTCTTCCCTCTGAATTGCAAAATTGATGCTAAAATTGGTTGAATTGGTAGACATTCTGTTTGCATAGCCCAAAAAGTATGTATGTATCAGAAGTATGTATCAGAGTGTGCCAGTGTAGATTTGAAGGTCAGTTATTATCAGCTTCTTGGACTAATATATGTGTAACAAACTAGGTCAAAGATAAATGGCACAATCCATTTTTTTCTAAATGAAATGACCATGCTGATATAAGGTATGGTATTCCAGGGAACTGCTCCCAATGTGCAAGCATATGTATTAGCACAATTTTGGTATTCATGTATCTCTACTCATGAACTGAAATAAAAGTAGTTTTTAACTTCATGTAAGTGATTCCCTGGTGTTCATTCATACTCTCATGCCATCCCTATCACTACACTAGGCCTAAGAGTGACCTATCTGCCTCATGGCCTGTATATTTCAGATGAAATCTCTCAGCAACCTGCTCTTCTTAGACCATGTTCCTCCTTGATTGACTTGTACTTTGGTTTTCATCACTACCTTTCTCCAATATTTTCAATTCTTTTTAGGTACCTTTGTTTACTGCCATGTGATTTGTCACAGTTGTCTCATCCATAAGCCTAGCTTATCTATTTTCATTTTAATAATTTTAATTGTTTTCTGCTAACTCAAGTTGATGTTGGGCACTCAACCAAATTCTTCCCTTCATATAATAACAGGCCTACTCCTCTGAAAAATATTGCTTTCAGTGGGAGTGTTTCAATCACAAGCTTACTAACTTATAGCGAGATTGCTCCCACTTTTTTGTTTGGCCAGTGAATTCATATCTAAGGAGACATCAAATAAGTAAAGGATTCTGTGATGAAGGGGCATGCAATTTTAGCATCTTTACACTTAATTTTTTTAATTCTGCTATCCACTTATCTTTCACAAGCAAACACTTGTGTGACACTGGGAGTGAGAAGCATTACATTTTTCTTGACTCCTATCTCTGCTGATGTTCCTCCACAAAGGGTGCATAGATATTTTATTGTTTCCTATTAATGAATAAATGCACAATGACAATAAGGTAGTGGGAGGTAAATGTGCTTGCTGGAAAAAATGCTGATATCCAGAGAAATAATAATATAAACATTAACCTACATTAATCATGTAGACTTCTTTGGTTGGATCAAATGGTCCTAGAACCATTTGGAAGATTACCATGCTTACCCCTCTGACAGGATGTGACCAAACTGACCTTGCCAGTCTAATCACAATGAATTCATACTTCAGTAAGGAAATAAAAACACCATTTGAAGCTAACTTTCTTTCTATGTAAAAACTGTACATGAAAATGAAGCACAATGACTTCACATAACTTTTTTGAAAAACACTACACAGAAATGCTTTTCTAAAAGTAATGTTGGCAACGATTGAAATATGAACTTTAATTTCACTTTGAAAAGGCGTCTGGCTTTCGTCAAGTTAGGCCAAAGGCCTTCGTCAGCGAGAATTTAAAAAGCTGTGAATGTATTTTCGCCAATGACCATTGGATGATAACAAGAAAAATGAAATTAAAGCTGTGAGAAGGTCGCTTACTTTGGAATATTCTGACGCCAACCTCTGATACTTGGCATGGGTATCAAGTGTCGGGCTAGGGGCCGCTGCCATGACGATATTTCACTGTGTCGTTCACCGAAACAACCTCTACACACAAAAGCGAACTCAATATTTCAACTTCAGTCTCACAATCCTGTAGCAGTTGCAGCAGAGAAGCGACTCTAGGGGCGTAGGCGCGTGAGAACCATCCCCTCCAAACCCAGGCACGTGGGTCACCATGCTGACAGAACACCTGGCCCCTTCCCCAGTGATGCTCAGTCGGGTTCCTTATTCACTCTTAAGAGATCATAATTAACCTTTGGAGATCGTCATAGCAATAATATACATGCCGTACAAAGAAACATAAAGTTTAGGAGGGAAAATGAGAGAAGCAAAACAATCAACCAGAAGAGCATGAGTCACGTGAGGGCAGAGCATATTCTTGGAAAGATGAAGGATTGAAGGAATTCTGAGTTGACAGAGGTAGTTTTATTTTTAGCTTCAGTTGCATGACCGACAGTTAGCATTTCATTCATGAAGAGCAAAATATATTAACTCAGTCTTTGGGATAAAGCTTTGACATTCTAAGAACGATTACTCAGACTTTGTCTTGGAAGAGAATGAAAATTTTGGGCAGACTGGCATTTCAGGCTCTTCTGAAAATGTTTCATGCTGTGCCGAGGGACCGACCTGTTGGTACCAACATGCATCGAGATCGATTGAAAATCCTCCCCAGGTGTCACAAACTTACAGACGTAAATGCATGCAAATATATTCGTAAAAACCGGGAACCGTAAAAAATGTGGAAATTTCTTCATCTACCACTATCCACAATGTACTCTTTGAGGCATGCATGTCCTTCGAATGAAAAGTAAAAAAAAAAAAAGAGGAGTCGACTTCTGCGTATCTGGGAGGCCGCACCCCAATTAACAATCGCGAATACAGTTACATTATCATTGTTAACATTTAGAGATAAGTTCCAAACACCGTATAGAGATAAAAGTCGACAGTTATTACTTTATTGTAAGCTACAGGGTGTTTCATAAGTCTGTTATCGCCAGTGGCGGCTCGTAATATTTAGCGCTAGTGGTTCGTCTATGGAGAGGGGGTAGGCAGCGCCCTCCCCTGCCTACCCCCTCTCAATAGACGAACCACTAGCGCTAAATATCTCGAGCCGCCACTGGTTATCGCTATAGTTACCTTTCGTGGAAGTAGTGTTCTCCCCAACAAAGAAACCAATTACACCTTTGAAAAGTGGTTCTTTTTTCCTATCAAGCACATAATCTGAAAAATTAGTTGATATACGTTGCAGGCTTGGGACATGACAGGGTCTTCGAACGGGTCTGTGCCTCATCGCATCACGACGAGTTTGCTTCTGGATGCTGAATTTTATGGTCGATTTATCGCTGAAAACAGTATTTTGAACGTCTCAGAATTTAAAACCACGAAATCGGTCAAGATAAACACGTTCCTTCAGCGGTGTCATTAGTTTTTAAAAGAGCAGAGCATGCTCCTCTCCCTGTGAACGTAAGTACGGTTGTAGCAAACCTTTAAAACACACTGTCGATCAATGTGGGTTTCTCATCGCAGAATATCATCATCGTGAATGCCAATAAATTTTTGTATATTGACAGGGCCGTTTCTAGGCGTGTTGGCGCCCAGGGCAAGAAGTTCCAATGGCGCCCCCCCTCACCCTTTACCCCTCTGGCGCCCCCCTCCTTCCCCCTTTACCCCGCTGGCGCCCCGGGCGATCGCCCGCTTCGCCCGCCCTCTAGAAACGGCCCTGTATATTGAAGTACATGGGAATGAAAGTAAAATTCCTCCTTAAAGAATGGTGGGTAAGAATACCAGTTTCCTCTACTTTTTCTGACTACTAAAAAAAAAAGTCCACGGTGTAAATTCATGGTTCCACTATTCGATGAGAATTTAGATCGCAGAGTGAACCTGCAGGTTAGCGGTTGAATCATCAGACAATCAAGCGTGGCGTCCCGTAAATGTAAATGAGAAACAGGACGGTCTAACGACCGACCCTGCATACTTCTGGTTGACAAAACGCTCTGGCGGCTTGACACCTTTCACGTCGCACTTGCCACCAAGGTCATATTTTGTTGGATATACAATATTTAATTTGTGCAATAAGATATGATGTTGTCTATCCAATGCTTTACTGCCTTACTGAAGTCACAAATAGGCTGGCAGCGAGGCACTGACCTTAATATTGGGCAGCTAGAAAGAACATCGTACATTAACATAATAAAAACGGCATATCCTATTTGATAAATTATAAATTAAGAAATCCAATATATATGGAAGGATGCACAATTAATAGTATGAAATTATTGTTTCATCCCATTGAAATTAGTTTCCACATTTGGCAATTTCATTTTTTAATGCAGGAGAGTTGGGGAATCAGGAAGGGAATATGTCCGCCTCCTGTGAGTAGATGCTGTCGGCAACAAGGATGGTACCATTCAGTTGATACGCTGCGGACGATTGCAATTCACGATCACTGGAGGGCTTGCAGGAGGCCCATTTCGAAGAGGTTGATGTTGCAGAGGGTTCTTCGTAGTTTCTCCATCTGAGACTTCTTTGAGAAAATTCCCTTTTCGAAGGTCTGGCTGCTGACACCGAATAGAGATGGCCCGGAAAGTGAAATTCGCAGAAGGTATGCTCTGACCTTAGCCAAGCCTGTCATTTCCATCATGACGCTTAATCTGGGCTAGTCTAGGCCTATGCCTGTTACATCCGATCGGACTGGTTGGATCAGAATAGGGTGGAGAGGGGGGGACTTTATTAAAGAGAGAATAGACCGTCAGACTGTAGCTCTCTAGGGTTGACTCTCCACTCACTTCAGCTTATGATCGGGCGAATCTGACAGACTGAATGAAATTTTCAGGAAAAATAACCATCGATCAGGAATCTTGAGCCTCTTCAGGAATACTTTTATCGTGCTCTTATGCTTTCTTGTCACGTCCTGAGAAGTATGATGGGAAGTCAATTGAATAGGCTGTTGAGACAGCTGTTGGATGCTTTCTTGAAATTGATATAAAATCCATTGCTTCCCTCCAGTCATTTACATAATCAAGAAAAGGGCAGGTGACTTTATTTTTTGGTAGACCTCATAAGGCTTGACTGGGGTACAACTCTTGTTCTTCCTTAGTTTTATATTTGGAATGGACATTTTGAAGGTAATTGGTTTCAGCTCTAATTCTTGGATGGATCAAAGAAGTTGACAATATTTGAAACTGATCAACAATTCACTCTGATCACTTTCACACCTTTCCCTCTGAACTGCTATTTATTATTAAAAAAAAATAACTATATATAAGTGGACCATATGATAATGAGTATTGATCCATGCTAAAAAGAGCTGGAGATCCCAATTCATGGCTCTCATGGCTTCCAGATATACTGACACTTTGATATGAATGCTGAGTGCTTGACTTCTGACCAGATTACTCTCACTGCTGCCAATGCCATGCAAGTACAAGGAAACTCTGAGTAAAAGTAAGACTGCCACCAAGACCTATGCCAATCCAAATGGCAGCTTTGTAGGAATATATACTTTAAAATTTCATGTAAAGAGTGGCAAAGAATGTAAATTTTTAAATTTCTCAGGAGTATATATCAAAAGATACTTAGGCCAGAATGCACAAACCTCATTTAGCTGGGTAATGCGATGAACAGAGGATGTCATGGAGACATTATGCTCACAATAGGCCAGTCAAATTTCCGCCTATTAGACGGCCAGCATAGCGGCCACAGGCCGCTATTTAGGATATATTTTACTTTCCAGGTAAATCCCTTGGGGGCATATTGTTTTCGAGGTGGAGTTTTTAAATATATTTTTTTGCTCCAGCATATTAGAAAGATGGGGAAAGGCAAACATTGGCAATCAACTTGCTTTTGCAATGCAGAGTTTGCGATAATTCCAACAATTGAGGTACATTCCCTGGGGACACATTTTTTCACTGAGGCTTTCTAAAATATTTCTTTACTCAATTAAAATGGAGAGACATGGGAAGCTGTAACTTGGTATGAACATGTGAGATACATAAAAAATTTCCTTTTTAGACATATGCCCCTAGAGAAGATAAGACTGACTTTGTTTCCCTCCTTGCTTTTTATGTACCTTAGGTCATCCTATTCCAGTAATCTGGAGTAGCAATAAAAGTTTTGGTTATCTTATTCTGATAAAGAGACCTTTAGGCGAAAGGCCTCTTTTTTCCCTGTAGGAGTCCATATATTCTTGAAGGACTGTTAACTGAAAGGCAGTTTTAGCATTTAGGCCTGAAATTTTTGTTGAGAATATATCAAAAAACCTCACCAGGCACTGTATCCATTTTATGGGCTTGGGAAACTGTGCATATTATGAATCGCATGTATGCTGTATTATGCTGTATATTGGGCATACACACTGGAATTATTGTATCTCAACACTAGGGTTAATTTTTGATGATTGATTAGTATTGACAATGCTTGAAGAAACAGACTGCAGCTTCAAAAAAGATTATAAGGGTGATGAGATTTGCAAACAAAAATGAATGATCGCTTGTGAAATTAGGTATTATCCTGTCATTTGACCAACTTATTCAAATGACTCTTGTCTATATCATTTATCAAAACCTCAACTCCATATGTAACCTTGGACAGATTTCTATCTTACTTTGTGTGTCTCAATATCAATAAAATGTAATCCAGATGTCATTAATCACTTTCATTTTGAAATTTTGAAAATTAAAACAGCTTCTCAAAGAACCAAGTATTATAATTCTGAAACTTAGTAACCTAATTTTTATCTCCCAAAAGTATGGACATACTACTAGTATTATGAATATTGACATGCATACCATTTTGACTTCACATTTCTTGGTTTAGATAGGGCTTTTATCCCAGTAGCATGGTGCCTCTGAACACTTAGCTCCAGATGTCCAAAATATCTCAGATACCTTGTTACTTTTTTGTCTGGGGATATATGAAAAGGAACATGTACACCACTGGTTGTGCTCAAAATTTTGAAAAGTTAGAAATGTTGATCAGGAAAGCATTTGGTACTCTAACTGAAGCCATGTGTCAAAATGCTATTCTGGCAGCAGTTTAGAGGTGTGAGAAATGTAAATATAAAAATGGTGCTATGTTGAAGTTTATTGCCATTAGTATGTCCATGGTTTATAGATAAAACTTTGGGGACTAAATTTTAGAATTGTCTCCATTCAGAATTAAATGAGCTGTTAAGAAACCCACTGTTGTTTACTTCTTTAGGACAATTCATTCTAAGGTTTGGCCTGGAGCTTGGGACATACTTGACCTAAATAGATCATGGTTGAAGTACTTGCATAACAATTTTCCTTTTTTTTTTTCCTTTTTTTTTTTACAGGTGAGAAGATCCTTTGCTACCACGGACCTCTCATTTATGAAGCAAAGTGCCTTAAGGTATCATTGCAGGACAGAACTGTCAAATATCTTGTTCATTACTCCGGATGGAAAAAGAAGTGAGTCAGTCTTCATATCTTTTTGTGATTATTTATTCTCTTCTCCTGTGAAGATCTTTAATGGTTCAATATTTGCCTTCAATTTAGTTGGGATGAATGGGTGAGTGATGCCAGAATGCTGAAAGTGAATGAAGTCAATCTCCAGAAGCAGAAGGAGCTCATTAGGCAGCACAAGATGAAGATGTGAGCTAATATCCCATGTGACCTTGTAGTGCATACACTTATGTTAGACTGTCTCTTTGGCCATGGAATGTATTTTTTTTTTATGGAATGAGTTGTGTTTTGTCCAGAAAATCCATGAAGGGTCTCAAAAGTGGATCAGAAAGTAAGCAAAAGGAGGAAGGGATACATGATGAATCTCAAGAAAAGTCAGACCACACTCTGGGATCCTCCAAGGTGGAAACTCTGCCAGAAGGGAATTCTCACAGCAGTGCTTTTGGAGAAAATAGCAAGAACCACAATGGAACAGGACTCCAACATGGAACCAGCTCATCAACACCATGTGCAGTACCAGTTGAGGCTTCTGCAAGAACAGTATCAAATGTTAATACTGCCACTAACAGCCCTGAAAACAGCAAAAAAAGCAGCCCTTTAGAGGGGAAAGATGCACGAATCCTTAGCGCCATGAAGCGAAAGAAAAAGCAAGTGAGATTTGAAATGGCTGATCGTCAGATATTTCCTATTGGCTTGGACTGGAAGGTGAGATTTGAATGGTTTAGATACTCTTATGTGGTTGATCTTTAATGAAAATCATGCTTTCTATATGTCACAGGTTGTGAAGAGGACATCTTTGCAGCAGTTGGAATTCCAACTTCCATTAGAGTTGAAAACAATTCTTGTAGATGACTGGGATATGATAGAAATGAAACGGAAGGTGAGTCAAACAGTCAAGTGTTTCCTTGCTTTACATTATATTACAGGTTACTCCAAATGAAATGTATGGAATTAAAAAAAGTTGAGGGAGGCATCTTGTGGATTTTCTGAAATTTTGCATGATGGTTTGTCCCATTGAATCATCATGTCTAATGTTTATGCATTCGCTCTCATAGTTCTCAGGATATAGGATTACAGAGTTTTGACTGGAACATTTTTCTGCACTGATGACTCATTACTAATTTCTCAATGTCTCAAAAACCATTGAAGCAAGATGATTATGTCTCATTCCATAGGCCATGGGCCTTTCCATTTCCTGCATTTTTTGGCATCAAATGAGTATACCCATGTCTGCATGTAGTTTTTTAATAAATAAAAATGTTAAAATATAGTATATGAATAACTGGAAGTTATTATTTAAATACAACTAAATTCTAGTATTAACTAAAATAACTTTGTTGGTGAAATAAAAAATACACTAATGTGGGAGTTGATATTGGGTCTGTGGAGCATGTTAATACCAATTTCAGCTGAATATCAGAACTTGGGGATTTATAGATTAAAATATAGATTTTGAGAAATTTATGTTGAGGCATCTATACAGAAGCATGTTCACATCAAGAATTTGTGACTGTGCCCTGAGAACTATGAGTGTGGATGCATACACTGTTGCTGTGATTTTTCTTTGCAATGGGCCAAATCTTCATGCCAAATTTTAAGCAAAATCAAGCATCACAAAGGCTGGAAGATACTAGAATTGGAATTACCTCTTTTTTAGTGTATAATAAATATGCTAATTGCAGTTGGTGAACCTACCTACAATTCCAAGTGTGGTACAAATCCTTGAGGAATACCTCCAGTGCAGGATAAATCAACCAAATATGACTGCAACCAAGTAAGTGTGTTTGTTCCTTTACCAAAAAAGAGGAAAATTTGTTAGCAATCAGTCATAATAATTTTTATGTCCACCATAGAGAGACTGCTATGCGAGAATCCATACATGGGCTACAGCGATACTTTGACATCATCCTGCCCATTCAACTCTTGTATCGATTTGAGAGGACTCAATATTCTGATGTAAGCCACCATCTGGACTTTAAATATCCATGTATTTCCTTCCCCTAAACTGCTCATTCTTTGTCTTTAGCTCCTTCAAAGCCATCCCTCCACCCCCATGAGTCAGATCTATGGGATTGCACATCTCATTCGAACATTTGGTAAGTTTCACATCAAATTTGCTGTGATGTGAGCATGCCTGTTTTGGTAGCTTCAAAATATTTTCATAAAGAAGGCAAATAATAATAATTGGCTTCATGTGGCAGTAAATTCAGAATCTTTCTTCTCTTCCAAAAAAAAAACCCAGTGCATTTAGGACCAATGATGAGGTTTGCACAGCTGAGTGAAGCATCTGAGAAGATCCTCATAGCCTGCTACAAGGACCTCATCAAGTGAGTCTTTTCTAACTACTGTGGATCATTCTGCCATAAGCTGAGACTAGCATCAAAGACATGCCTGCATGATTCTAGCAAGTGAATCAAGGTTCACCCTTTAGGGGATAGTGGCAATTTAAGGTTTTGTTTTCTTAATGAGACTATATGGACTTCTTTCAATCATATCTCACAGCTTCTTGAGTCACTTGAGACTGAACAGGGACAAAAGTACTGTGGAAAATAGTAGGGTTCATATATTCATTTGTGACCTAATTGGTATAAATTCCTGATGTTCATTAATCAGGAAGAAAGCATTCATTATTTCCAAAAAGAAACTGAGCGGTGTTATCAGATAAAAAGGAAGTCTAGTACCATTATCATTTTTTTAAAATAATAGTTGCTACAATACTTTGAAATCTAAGGTCTCTCCCATAGCCTACAGGCACCATCACCTAATATATAATGGAGTAACTGCTGCATACAAACATATAGCTAAGGTCCTGCTCTCCATAGAATATATATTCTGAATTCATCTATTCTCATATTTTAAATTTATTTCTCAGATTATGATCAGGCTACAGAAGAGGAATGTTGGTATCTTGCCTTGTCTGAAAAAAAGAAAACTTCAAAAGAGGGAGGAGAAAATAGGGCTGTGCCAATTATCGCAATATTGCTCAATGTTTGTCTTATTGTTTATCTGCATATCGCAATATTTTAATTTTGGAAATAATTTTTTCTTTACTCCTCTATTGTCACAGGAGAGGGGAAACAGAGCACATGAACTGCACCATTCACAATACATTATTGTGAATAGGACAATGTAAGGATAGAATGTCGGCCTTGTCAAAAACCGATGAGATGAGGGAGGGAGTTAATGGATATGAGGACTGCGATCCTCCCCGATGGTTTCTTTTCCTGGAAAATTTCCTTGAGGCGAAATGATGCAAATCAGCACTCAGATTCAGTCAGCCCCCGAATATGATGAAACCAGTCAATTTTTGTGGATGGAAAAGAACTGGAAACACATACCTCACGCTTGCGGAAAGTCTGTAATGCGGAATGCATTTAGAATTTACTCTCACAACGAATGCAATACAAATCCGGAATATGAAAAAGTAGCCGCACTGAGTGGAAGAGAAATTCTAGTTTCTGGGAATATGACTAATCTCTTGCATCTTGCAACCTCAATATGATTGTGGCAATTATCGAGTCTTGCCACAAAAAAGACCACTCCATCATTCTTTGCAACTTCTCCTGTCTGGAACGAAGTGAAAGCCCAGTTCCGAGGAAAATCGGTTCCCAGGCTTTAAATGCTTGACGTATTTTTCCTTTAAAGAAAAACAGAACACCTTCAAAGTCACTCATGGGCTCATGATTCTTTCATGGTTGCATTTCAAATATGACAATCTATCAATACCATCGAGTCCATCATGGCCTCCAGCAAGAAGTCATACAGTACAAGGCAATAATCACTTTCCTCACCCATGCGGACAGCTACGAACCTGCAGAAGCAGAGCCGCAGAACAAAATCAATGACATTAATTTAGTTCGATCTTACATTAATAAAGTGGCAAAATAGAGATCGATGATCCACTGATATGGGAGTGTCATAACAGAAGGAGACAGCCATCACTTGTTGACCTGGCTTGCAAATACTTGTGAATTCACAGAACTTTTGTCCCGTGTGAGCGACTCTTTTCGAGATATGGATTTTTTGCAAATGAACATCGTGTATGCTTTGCAACAGAGATCGTAGATATGTTCTCTCTCCTAGGTTTGAACAACAAACTACCATGTGTCATGCATTAAAGATCATGTCTGAATCATTACCAAAATAAATAGGCTTTGTCTTGAAATAAATGCGCCATTATTACCCCCCCCTCGATTGAACCCTGGCGATATCGGGTGATACATAGATCAGCGATATCGATACTTTAAAAATCCATATCACCCAGCCCTAGGAGAAAGTAACATTCAGTATTGCAGAGGTTGTATCAACATGGAAAATTATGCTCATGTATAACTAAGTACCAGTATAAAGTATTCCATCCATGTCTTCATTATTTTGTGGCAAAGTTTTTGACCAGATGATAAGTCAAACTTTTTTAATGAGTAATCTTTTTCCCTTAGGTGGTTGGCTGTGAATGCAGACAGACTCTTCAATGAAGATGACTATGGAATTGCTGATCCTGCTTATCATCGTCGTCTCCTTGGCTTCCAGACGTGACATTACTGTGATCTCAACCATGTTTCTTTCTCACAAAAAAAGTCTTCTCAGCATGTAAACATGCAAGTGTTGAAGGGAAGGTCTTGTTCATATTGAATAAAAGATTGCTATCTGGAAGAGGAATCTAACTTCCTGACTCAGCTTTGCAAAATTTCATGCTCATGACCTCATGAATATCATGACCTGTTTTTACTTGTGTGGTGGCCTGGATATAAATGATGCTTTCTATGTTATAAAATCAAGATCATCTTGCGAGCCCAAGTTTACTTTGTTCTGGTGAGGTACCAATCTGCAATTTGTTCGACTTTGAGAGATGACCCTGGCTCTGTGCAACTCAGAATTCAGCTGCCTGTATTCCTTATTCCCTTCAGTGAGAAAATTGGCAGAGACACTAATGGAACTCTCATATGGCTTATGGTTGTTGGATTCAGTAAAATTCCTTCATCAAGTGGTATTCATATGACAGTTTGAACGACATTGACGAATGACAGCACCACTCCAACTGTCTCTAAGGCTTGCAGTAAGTTTTAGATTGAATCACAATGCAAACATTTTAAGCATTGGTTGGAAACCACACAGGAAAGTACTGAGAATTGGATAGAATTTGCATGTTGTCTGTTCTGCTAAATATTTCAGTTCAGATTTCCTTTCATAGGGACTTTTTATTTGTTGTACATTTTTGGACTCAATGGAGTTTGCAAAGGTCTTGTGGGATATGAGATCATTTTTAAATGCACAAAATCAATTTGAAAAGTGAAACTAAATGTGCAAAGGAAAGATGAATTCCATGCACTATTTACAGGGTGATTCAAGAGCCTGTTATAACAATACTCATGTTTACAAGGAAGCATTTTTCTAACAAGAAAACCAATTACAGCATATACAATATACCCTTTCCCCAGTCAAGTACCTAATCTGAATCCTGGTTCTGAATGATAGCAAGTTGCCATACATAGCAGAATTGGGACATGAAACAGGACATTGCCCATCATATTATCATAGGTGAATCCATTTGCTCTGTATGTCAGCTTCAGTCCAATGTTCATCTGACTTCAATCTCTTGAACTTCTTTTTTAGGGTATGCTTACCTATATGGCCATATAGGTAAGCATACCCATGGCTATAGCCATATATGGCCATGGCTTTCGCCATGGCCATATATGGCTATAGCCATTTTCACCCTGTCCTCTAGTGATAGTTACTTATTTCTTCAAGAGATGTCATACTAATGGTTCACAACCTACATGGGTTGCATACAAGATACCACACCCTCGAACATTACTGAAGGTATGTTGAAAATTTTCATTCATGTAAATCCTTGGCAGTGAATGTGTTAAGGAAGTCAGAATCGATTAAGGAATTGCAGAGTGGTCAATGCTGAAGATTGCTGAATTCCCAGGGAATTTTCACAGAAAATATGTTACTCTTTCCTGGACAGATGCCAGTGAGGTATTGTTGAAAATAGAGTATATTGACCATCTCAGGAATTAAAACCATGCAGCCTATTGAGAAAAGGAGGCTCTTTTAAGTGCTACTCTCCCTGTAAATGCAAGTAGAGTGATAACAAACTTACAATCCTCCTGTGCATTTATAGCAACCTACAGGTATCTAATGACTGAAATTAGTGCAAAGAACTTATGTTTCTCATAGTAAATTTGTCCAAAACCCAATTTCTTTTGAATGGTCACTATCCATTTAAGCATATTACATTCTTGACAATGAGATGGGTCCTGCATTCTTCAATGCCTTCCCATGTGAGTCAAACTCTTGTCACTATTACACAATTGTCACTTTTGACCAGCCCAAAACTTTTCTAAGTCTCAGAGTTAAGTAAATGTTTCTAAATTTTCTTTCAAAATTTTTGCTACTATTCAAGTAGCAAACATTTAAAAAAACGGAAAAAAAACTTTCCAGCTTATTAACCCTTGTAAAAATGCTGCCTTCTTTGGAAAAACATGTATTTGAAGCCTTAACCCTTTGACTGGCAAGTTTCACAGACACCTGCCATATGGGAGCCCATAAAATTTACAGGCATGCCAGTTAAAGGGTTAAATCCCTTTTTTCCTGATCTAATTGATACACTTCAAAGCCTCTTTTTTTTTTTTTAGAAAAGAAGCTGAAATTTGGCAGTCATATTAATTGATGCTCTCTCTTTCAGCTTATCAAGCAAATTTTTAAACAAAAAATTTTTTCATATATTTACATGCAAACAACATTGCAAATACATGGTAGTACACTTTTTTGTTATTAGGCACATTTAAAATGTCCACATATTACTTCAGTTGGGTATTTATAGAGATAAATTCTACAAATAATTTATCTCAAACTAACATATGCTAATTGAGAAAAGTTATGTAACATACTCAGTACAGTATTCATTTAAACTTTTTCCTTCAAATTTTAATCAGGCATTTTCTTAATTATAGGGTAGCTGATCTGTTAAAAGGTCATGGCAATCATGGAGCACCATAAATTAAGTTAGAAAACATTATTCCATTCCATTTTTTTTAAAATGGAAATCAAGAGATAGTGACAGCAAGGAGGAACATCACAAGCATATCATAAAAATCCAACTTCCTTTATTAATCTCCCTCTTGAACAAAAAGTCACAGAGTCTGTGCCTAAACTAGTCATTCAGGGATCACAAAATATTCTTCTTCTTACATGAATGACCCTCAATAACCCTCTCATTAAGTAGCTTCATCTCATTTCTTACCAGGCATGGCCTGTGGGGCAACTCATGTTCCAATCTCCACGTTTTCTCATCAAATACTTCCAACAGAATTAGAATCACAGAGGCAAATAGGAGACAAGGGGAAGAATCAGGTTACAAGAGAAGAGACAAGAGGGTTGTTGGGAAAGGCAGGTAAACCTTTCCCTCCCTCGAAACATCTTGCCCTGGCATTGTTCAAGGGAAACAAAACTCAAAAAGAAAACTCCTCCATCACAAATGGAATGCTGCATGAGAGAAGGGAAAGCTAGCAAAGCAGAAGTTTGCTCGATGAGATGACACAGAAGAGGAGATACTTCATTTGTACCATATGTCATCGCCACTGCCTTGCTCCTTTGGAAAAAGAAAAGACCACACCCACTCCCTCACTACCTCACTATCTTGCATCACTGCATGCCACATTCCAATTGGAATAAGTCTTTCACATGAGGACAAAAAAATCAACATAAAAAACATGGACCTGAGGAGGCCTTTCTCTCCGTAAGAATAGTCTTTTCTTCTTTCCTCATTCCATGAAATTAGTTTTGAACTTTTTGGTTTTTTGTCATTACAATAATCGAATGACCTGGAAGCAACTGCCCAAAATGATGACTTGCAATGATCAGTCACACAGCACATAGGACTGGGAAAAGCAATAAGCAGTTCAACAAATTCCAACCAGATCTTCAGCATCACGAGCAATTATTCAGGCAGACAGCAAAAACCTGTCAGAAATAGATCAAAACAGCTCTGATGAAGCAAGAAGCATCCAAGGCTGCAGGGTCTCATTCATTCACTGACAAATTCATCAGCATGAAATCCTAAGGGTAGCCTCATAATTGCATAAGATTTCATGCCACTAAATAATACCAGATGAGGAAAATCTGCCAAACCACTGGGGGGAAAGGCTTATTATGGTCTGTTCATCATATGAACAGAAAATAACAAAATACAGCACTGGATGGTTTAGACTGAATACCACAATTGGCAAATGAGGTAAATAAAGGGGGCACCACACAATTCACCTGACATGAACATCAGGCTAATGCAAAAATTATGGGGGACAGTGTCTCTGTTTGTGTATCCATTGTACATTCAGGTAAATTATTATTCACATCCTGAGATGCTCTCATCCTATGTATGGGCAGGGGAAAAAACTTCCAGGCTATGCTCCTCCTTTTTGTAATGGCCAATCCATGAATAGGCATTTGTCACCAGCAGGAAAGGGCCAACTCCCCTGACTCCCTCCAAGTTGTCACAGCCCGCACCTTTTTCTGCAAGACACAAGGATAGGTGTAACCATGTGCCTCAAGAAACAACCACATGACTACCAAAATCATTTATAAGAAAGAGATAAAGAAGCCTAACCTGTTGCATCTTCTCAAAATCCAAGCAAGGTCGTGGAGGTTTGTCATGCAAACCCTGACGGTGTCGTTTGCGTGGAGATGAGGATGAGGAAGCACCTTGGGTACGAAGATGAGAGGAAAGAATTGGTGGGGAAGAAGAGATGCATCGCCCCTCTCGATCCCGTTCCCTGAGAACCATGTATTCAGCCCTGGGTGGTGGTTCATCCTCTTCCGATCCCCAGCTATCAGGCTCTCTATGCACCTGTTTGGATGGTGGTGGGCGAACGATGCCAACACCCGCCGGCTTGTGAGCATGTGCCGGTGGGGATGCTCGAAACTCTATCAGCTCTTCATCTGAGGATGCAGAACTGGCTGATCGATTCCATTTTCGTTTGTGCTCTGGACCCATCTGACCAGTCATATTAGACCCTGACTGAATGCCATTCTCAAAAGATTCAGGGTGCCCATTAATGCCTTCAAGCTCCTCCTCACTGCTGTGAGTGCCATCCAATCCAGGATCAGCCTCAAAGGAACATGATATTGGACTGTCTGCATCCATGGGATTTGGAGTCATTCTCATTGACATTTCCCCATTGTCAAGACTTGCTGGTGGCAGGGTTGCTACTTGACTGCCTTCTTCCATAGCTGAAATAAAATTGTCATTAAAAAAAAATGTATTTGAAAGCAAACCTGTAGATTTATGGTATCCAGTTCAATTTAAATAGTACTGGTAAGCAGAAAAGTGATATGCTATGAGTAACCTAGACTGACTCACCTGACAAATTGTGCTGGCTATGATGCTTCTTATGCAAAACTTTGTTTAAATTCACTTTCCTTTTCTTTCACTTTCTTCACACAGAAGTTTCATACTCAGGCTTCCTGTGGCACTGTTGAGTTTCCATCTCTTAAGGTACTTTATGAATCTGGAAAATGGAAAGACAAAAAAATGCAAATACTGGTAAACAGGATAGCAAGATTTGAGGAGTTATGGCCTCCAAGTCACTTCTCACTCATCAGTGATATAAATGTTTTCTGGAGGAATCCGACTTAAGAGACAGCTTGCATTTCAAAGAAGAGGGTCTTTTAAATAAAACGAATAAGGTAAAAACCACTAGAAGGTCCACACATTATTTCAGCTAGAATCACTAAAGACATCCTTTCCAAATGTCTAGTACAGGGAACATTTAAAAAAGGTAAGGGGGTTTGAAACTGTGTTCCTCTTGAATTTCATGAATTTCTTTCTCTATTGCTGGGTGAAGTGAGGGAAATTGGGAGATTCTTGAGAGGAAATTTGGATCCATAGTACATAGCATGCCGCTGACTACTGAACAGAGGATAAAAGCGGTAGAATTCTTCTTGGACTACAAGTCGGTGGTTGGGGTCCATAATGAAACCCCGAAAATAGAAACCTCGAAGGAACTGAAATGAATAATGTAACATGACGGCGAATGACATGAAACGTCGAAGGAGACAAAACCTTGAATGTAACAGAAGGTAGAAAAAGACCGAAAACGTATAACATACACTCTCAGACATTGACTGCTTCCCAAGGCCGCTTCTCCCCTTTTAACGTCAATGGTTGCTTTCAAAGAATGTGGAAATTTCACTGATCGCGATCAGTCTGGAGGAGAATCCAAGAAGCTCGTCTAGTGGAAAGGTCTAATAGAAACAAAAACGACTATGATTTTTCTTTATTCAGCCGCTTATTTGCCTTGGCCTTACCCATTCAGTACGTCCTCGGTGCCTACCATGCTCTTCTCCCGCAAAATTCCTGAATATGGACAGTAGATTGCTACTACTTTCGAGAACTTAACATTGATGGCAGGAGCATGCGAGCCCGTCCTCGCACACCCTTTTCCCATTAGGTGTGTTCATGAAGCTTAAATAAAGGAAGATCTTCGAACGAACTATTTTCCGTGGAACGATGGAATCGCAGGATCGATTCAAATTTGTGAACCTTCTTGGAATTCCTCCAGGAACAGCTTAAGGTGGAAAGAGTAAGATAAGGGCTCTTCGTGGGCCATAAACGGAGACCAAATCAGGCAATTCGTAACAGCTTAGCAAACAGATGTCCTGGACTTTCTCTCAAGTTTACCACATAATCTGGAGTTAAGAATCCTTTCCTTAGATTCCAGATGAAGTCCTGGACATTCCATAAAATAGTGCTATTCGACATCTTTGCAATTCGAGTTTTTTATTTCAGTGCGTTCGAGATGCTGATACATTCTAGATCTAGACTTTCTTCGTTGCCGACTGATGCCATGATTCACTGCATTGTTAAGAAGTTCAGAGACAAGGAGACAGTCAAAATCAAAATAAAGGGCCATTGGAAAGGTCTTTTCCTATACGTGTGACCCCGTGTCCGATGAGGTTTCTTGGGACTCTGTGCCACTGATTGTCGGGCATATTCAATGTTTGCCCCAGTCCTGATGGTTCTGGGCCTCCCCGATGCCCCTTTATTCTGATTTAGAACTGTCACCTTGTCTCTGAACTTCTTAAAAATGCTGCGAATTGTGTCATCAGTTGGCGCAGTCCGCATGTTGAAGTGATGACGGCTACGTCGTCGAGTCTCAACCACTCCTCACTTCGCCCTGCCAAAGGGAACGAAATTCTTGAAAACCTACCCAAGGAACAGAGGAAAATCCCTTACATTTTTTTGACACTCACTGTACAAGAAAAAATTTTTTTTTAGATGGCAGTTTAGTGTCCACTGGGCAAGGAATGAGAAATCCTCTCCTCTTTCAAATTTATTTGATGATATAAAACACCACAAATAGAAAGGTAAACTGACTTATGAATTCATGAGACTTAATAAAAATAGCCTAAATAGCCTAGAAATGGAATTCACTTCAGGCATAAAATCCATACTTCTTATTGCTGGAGGGATACTCGAATAATAGCAAGGAGAGTAACCTGAGAGTAAAAACGTATCAGTCCCTCCAATTTCATGAACTTGTACCTAGCATAACTTTTGAATACAATAAAATATATTTGCAGTGCAGTTGGATCCCAGAAGAGACTAGATGCTAGACCCCTTTAAAAGATGCTAGGCAGTTAAAACAGTACTTAATTATTGTTCTCTTGTTTTGCATCTAAGCATATGAAAGCAATTGAAAAGATACAATGGAGCAGAACTTGGATGATGAGGCAAGTCAAGGGCTTTCCAAAAAGGGAAAATTATTTTCTCCTGACCTCAAGCCAACAAAAAGAAGGTTACTGAAGGGAGATCACAAATGGTTTTTCAACATGGTGACTTAGGGGAAAGATTTTCATCTTTCCATTGAATTTCCATCACATTGACAAAGGTCACTGTCATGGAAGTATAACCCTAAAACAGGGAAGACATTGATTGGAATGGGGATTCTTCAATCATATTATAATTGGAAAAAATAACAGGTTACCAGCTGACTTAGGAAAAGTTGAAACTCCTGGTATTACGGTATTACACCTTTACAAAAAGCTGGCAACATATTTAAATAATGGAACCGCCTATGACTGTAAACAAACTTATCAATTAATTCACACTTTAGACCTTCCACAAATGAGTATGGTACTTTCAAATGAAAATAAATATTAGAAAGTAAGCATCTAGATAAGGTTTTCAACCTTATCTAGATACTTACTTTTTAATTAACTAATTTCTTTTTGTGCAGCAATTACATATTGGTCTAGCGAGTACAAACTGTTAGTCTTTCCTCTCTCCTTTACCTCTTAAAGCTCCCACAATTTTTTTTGGCAGGTGAGTAAAGAAAAAAAAAAGTTTAGAATGAAAATTTTTTGTAAACAATGACATTTTTAAAATCACTTTTTTAGTTTTGTCCATATTTGCAGAGTATAGTTCAAAATAATTGTATAGTATAATGTCCAGCAACTTAACTTTTGAGAACTGCTTTCCACATCTAGGAACACTGACTTTCTCAGCAAAAAAACAAACAAGATGTAGTAGGTGGTATTCAAGTTAGTTCACATGCAATTATAGCAAGAAGCAATCACAATTATCTGTGAACAAATTTACTTGGGTCTGAAAGGGCTTGTGAAACAGGAATGGGAGACACAAGCCTTAATTATATTCCTGACCTTTTATCCTCAACCAATGGATACAAACTGCAACAGTATTGAAATACACTGTTTTCAGATTGAATTCATACCCCACATAGGAGTACCTACAGCAATAGCAAGAAACAATCTTCTACATGGGTGGTGTCATGGATTACTTGATGAAGCATATCCTCTGGAAGCTGTGTTTTCTCTATTCTCTACTAATAGGTGGGTGTGAATTTAATCAGAAAACAATGCAATGATAGACTTTTTCACTGTAAAGTGTTGCAGGGAGTGTCACATGAGATTACATCAAACCCCCATTCCCTGGTAAGTACTGTGCCAACCTTCAGCCTTAAATTTCTTCATGGCACTTCACCTCTGATTGGCCTCTGTTCCCTGCTCTCACTCATATAGTTTTAAAAAAATTGTCCTTTTGTAGGTTTGTAAAATGCTATAAGGTGCAGTGCACAAAGTACAGAAGCATATAAGCCTTAGGCCTTCTGCATTATAAAATTCTATGCAATTAAAAGTCAAATCAGGCACAAGCCTACTGATAGCTCTTTCAGGCATAAAATTTATATTCCCAACAAAGCCCATGGAAGGCCAAGACCCAAATAGAAATGTGACATATCCTACAAATGGGTAACAGAGAATTTGAAAAGTTTTACCTTATAAACATTTTATAAGCAATAGAAAAGGGGCAGTGTCCCTCTTAGCACTTCCTCTTGGCTCCCCCCCCTCCCCCCCACTATTGACCAAAGTCCTCAACCATCCAATCAAGTTGTATCATATAGTGGAAACAATAACAAATCAGCAGTAGCAGAGATCCCTTTTTGAGCTATTGCCTCTCTCCCNTTCCCCCCCCCCCCCCCCCCCCCCCCCATCAAAACCCTATAAAAGTTTCATTGTCCCCTTAGACTAAATACTCCTGATTCTCCCTGAAGCTGGTTCCTAGAAAGTGCTGAACTTTATTTTCTTGTGCAAAATTTCAAGTTTTTCCATGTTCAATTTTAATTTATTTTCTCAAATGGATGTGTTTCTCAGAGAGCAATCATTCCAGTAGTAAAAGAAATTTGTTAAACATTTTTAAAGTGATAGTTGCCAGGCTTTCATAGACACCAGAAAAACATACATATGGCAGATAAAAAAAAGAATGACTTATAACACAATGCAATAGGGATATATGCAGCATAAGTTGGAGTTAATGAGATGCATGAGAAAGTTAGCATTGAATAAGGAGAAATTCTCCAAAACTACATATTGGTTTAGAAAGAGATTGAGATTGGGATTTTGATTGAGAGACTGACTGAAAGCCGGTTACTCAAGAGAGATAAGCCTAACAGGTTGGTTTGAGTAATGACTCAAGTCACAATGTATTGTGTTTCTTGTTTCAGAGATGAATCTCTGGGATAACAGGCCTAAAAACTTTTGTCAAATGTAATATTTATGGATGTCAAGATTCATGTCTGAATGTCCTAAGAGCCTATGCTGAATACATAACTTCAGGCATGAAAAAACACAGGACTAAGAAAGGTGAAGATTCTGAATTTTACACCAAGAAGCTTCCATGATTCCTTTCTCTGCAAGAACATCTCATTTCAAATTGCTCATTTTTTTAAATGGAGAATAGAAGAGATGTTGGTAGTTGTATTTTCAGTGATTTTCTATTAATTGAATTCTTACTGTGGCAAAAGCAGGAATTACTTTATTCCCCCCTTCAGTCACTGATTTAGAGGGTCAGTTATTTTGAGACAGTGAATGGTGCTCAGCTGGATGACAAGTGGCACATTCAGAAGGGGGTTGGGTGCACAATAGGGTTGCCACCCATTCATAATTAGTATGGACAGTACATATTTCAGACACAATGTCCATACTGCAAATGTGTCTTAATATGGACAATGCTTCATCCATACATTAAACTAGTTAAGATTTTTTGAGTTAATAAAGCTTAATAGCAACTAAAACCACTCTTTTCAACAAGTCAGTATAGTAATCCTCACTCTAATAGCATCAATTGGTACTTTGGCTAAAGGTAGGTATTTAAAGTGTGCATGGGAAAGGCACTAATGCAAGTATACTTAGGATATTTTTCCATATTTCCATATGTTCACAGTCCATGTCCATATTTTGTTAATTTCAAAGGTGGCAACCATTGTGCACAATCAATATGAAATTACTATAATCCCCAAGCTAATAGTCTATAAAATATTTTTTTTTTTATGAAAAGCAGTGTGGTATCCAGGCAGTAAATCTGAGAAAAGAAGCTAGAAATGGTCTGGTTTCTTCATGCCTATCCTTCCCTTCCTCCTGTCTGAACATGAATTTCTGGAGGGCAATGGTCACCCTGTGCTTATTACATACATGAAGGCAGTTTTCCCTTTTATTAAAAAATGGGGTCAGAATCAAGTTGGTTTGGTATATGAAGAATCTTCCCACTTTTCATTGCAGGTAGTAATTTGGAGCCTTCATGACACAGACCTTGGTCTAAGCACACTATTGTTGTAGTGAACAAGGTCACAGTTGGAAACAGTTCCACAGTGCCCATAGGGCAGTTGGTCTCTTTCACTAAGCTGGGACTTCATGATATTTCTGCATGGTCTATTAAGAAAAGGCTAAATCCACAAAATCCTATGGGGGTTATGTGTTTGCACTGGATAGTACCTGGACTAGGCCTATCAGCTACATCTTACAGGGATGAGGTTCATCATAAAGCATGACAGAGCCTAGACTCAACAGTCAAATCTACATCACCCATTAGGCCTAGACCTATCTTTGTGTATGTTACACCACACCAACAAGATGGATTCATCACTCCTGTATTGAGCATGACAGCTGGGTCAAGACTTATCCCCAAGTGGTACAAAGCAAGGACACTTTTGATTAGCCTCTGAGGAATTCTTTTGCTCCCCATCTTCATTAATATCTATTGAAGGCTTTCCAGCCCTTGACAAATGCCTGAGCCCATCCAAGACCTGCTTTCTACCATCCTACCTACTGAGGATTTACTCCTTTCTGGAAGAACATCAGATGCTATTTTTTACAGTCTGAGTAAGCTAGGAGAGCATCAGTGCCATTTAAATTTTTTTTGGAGGCCAGGCAATTTCCTACATGTGACTCCCTCAACAATGGACCCTTCCTCCCTAGGAACTTTCCTTGTCCTTCAAGCATATTATAATGTCAATCATATTGTACAAGAGATAAAATTTAAATATTATGATATTCAAGGAAATGCCTCATGCTAGTTTGACTTCTACCTGAGTGGTAAGTATTCTTGGGTATATCATAGCTGTTGTAAATCAATGAAAACATATCCTCTTTGCAAATGATCAAAATGCAAATTCTAGAACTAATTCAATGGAAGGTGAAAAGCACCCTATTGGGCTGTATGCACATTAAATAGGTCCTACTAATTGGGTGAAAGCTAAATGATGTTAAAGTGCATTCATCTCGTTCAGAGATTCCCAAAGAAAAAGACAAAACTTCCACATGGTCGTCCCTGACATGTAGTCTCTGTGATCAGTGAAAATTCTGGACACTCTCACTATCACACACAAAGTTTCTCGAGGTGGGAGGGGCCAAGAACATAATGATTTCACTTACTCCCAAGGTTCCCTTTCCCTTGCTCAATAACTAAGCAGGGCTGTTGAACGGGAGAGGCAAGCACTAAGCAAGCTGAAATCAAATTTGACCTTCCACTCTTCACTTTTGAAAATGGAGGTGGCCACCTACTGCCCCTCCAGTAGGTGCACCAATGCATTTACATAGTGTTTCTCAACCAGCTAGATACAACCCACTTGCTTGGGCTAGAAGGGCTGTGCCAAAAAGAAAGAGTTAAAAACAATCACCCTGAACTAGAGTGTGCGCAATATGTCAGTCATATCTACCCCAAAATTAAGTCAGAAGATATCCTACCCCAAAATTAAGTCAGAAGATATCCTACCCCAAAACACTTTTGCTCTTTTTTGTTTAGATGTAATCTCATTGAAACTTACCATGCCTTAACTGAGTCCCACTTCACGATATGATAGAGTTGCATTTGGTATTACCTCAGAATTCCCATAACATCTTAAAAATAAAAAAGGGCATATAGCTATTCATTATTTTAAAAAATTATTTGACTTATTACAAATAATTATATACAATTATGGCATTACTAGAATTACACATTTCCTAATGAGCATCAAAAGCTATGCAATCATTCACAAAATGAAATGAACCACAGGAGAAACCAACTTCTTGCTAGTTAAGACACATCATCTGCCAAACAAGAAATATGACAGATCTTAACTTGTAAGGAATGCAGACCAAGCAATGTCAACAACAGATTTATTAATTTTCATTATAATTATTAAATTAACTTCCTTGTTCCTTGAACATCTCAATAATTCAAGCAAAGTAAAAGTATCAATTCACTTGAAAGCCAATGTTCAACTTGGCAGAGCTCTATTGAAATTTCTAAGGAATTCACAATCTAACTTCCCTTTCCATTTTGGGCCTATTCCCTCACTAAATACTTTATAGTCCTGACCATGTGGCAATCATTCACTGATCCTTTTTGTAATATTTTAGGCAAGATCACTTGATATGATTAAAATGGTTCCACTTACACACATCAAGTTTTATTTTTTTTTTACCATACTTCACTATGTATGCTCTTAAATTAGGTCACTTGTGCCCCTCACCAGTCTCATTCATCTCCCTTTGACATTATCCCAGATTTCATCTATCACTTTGTAGTTGAAATTGTATATAGGCCTAGTTGGTACTGTCCACCATGAGCCATTCTTACAGCTTGAGCTCACCTCTACTCCCTAGAGTGTCTAAATCTAACATTATTCCTAAAAACAATTTTACAAGTTCTGTTGAATGGGGGAATGAAGTTTTATTAGAAAAAAAAAACCAGTTGCCAATGCATGCCTCAGTATGCTTTGGCCACAATGGCATGAGCCATTATGGCCAAAGCCAATAGAGTCCTAGGTGTGCTTAAATAAATTTTAAATTGCTCTCAAGGAAGCAAGGATAGTAGCATGTGTGTCCCTTGTCCATCCCATTCTGGAATACATTGCTGAAGTGTGGGACCCTTTTGAAGTGGAGCTTACAAAGAGGAGCTATAAAAAGTTCAAAAGTGGGCTGTACAATTTGTAATAAACTATAACTGGAAAATTGAATCCAGTGCTCTCATGTGAACATGGGATTGGCAAACCCTTAATAGTTTTAAAATGTCAGACTGGTTGTTTTAAAAAATCTCCCATGGCACACTGCTATGTAATGTTCTGAGGTGTCTGAAAATAACAGGACAAGGAAGGGCATCCAGAGCTGATCCCTGCATTACATTCTATTACGGACTTCATTTTTTACATAGTTTTTTCCTTCCAACAATTTTGGATTGGAATACTCTTCCCACCACAGTGTGATCCTTACTTGCAGGAGAATCCTTTGAGAAATCCCTCTGACCTATAACGACCTATTTCACAGCTCACTGCTGCCTTTGCTGGTTTTACATGATTTTCCAGATCTGCTCTACATACTTATAGCATTTTGGCATGATATTGGTATAGACAAATCCTCTCATTGAAGGTAAGAAGATTTTATTCAGATCAATTTAATTTAAGGTTTTGCCAATTTTACAGGAAAAAAACTTTAATTGAAGTAGTCTCAACCTGAGTCACACTCTGCAGGTGTTTCCCTTAAATACATTTTGGCATGTTTCAGAGAATCCAGTCTGCTGCATTGACTAGATAATGCATTTGCATTCCTGCAACTGGAGAAGGGAATTTTTCAATGGTTTATGCACAATTGAGAAGAAATTGGTACCCAAAAAACTTAATGACCTCACTTCATCTTCCAATTGCATGACTAGGCTCACTTTCAGCGCTAATAGGTTAGTGCTGCAAAATGCAGGTATGCTGTGATTTCAAAACCATTTTTTTCCAACTCACATATCATTTGGTTGAAGTCCATTCAATGGAGTTTGTGCTTGGGAGGTAAGAATTTATCCACACAAAGTACAAGAAAAAACTATCCAAAAACTATTAATGGAAAAAAAAAAGGCTTAGTTTGGATATGCTAGGCCTTTGCCTGACTACTTTAATGATACGCCTATAAATCCACTTAACTTAGGGCTTATCATACTGTGATTGGGAAAGGAATCCGTACTTCCTTTTGCATTACGTTATTTCGTTGGTGCATGCAAGAAGGTATGGCTATATCTCCCGTGAAGAATGCAACATTAGGCCTACGGGGCCCCACGATAAAGGCATTACGAATTCATTTCCTAATCTATACGTCCATCCACTCCCAAGTAGAAGCAGCCACGTTGCAGCACCACCCCTAATCTGAACGAGCCTCAACACGATCCCAACCAGACCTGCACAGCTGGAGAAAAAAATCCAGTGGGTACACCCAGGCACGGGTTAGGAATAGCGCGAGGAGCGACAGGAATCCAGGGAAGGCAAGGGGAGTCGTGCAGTCTGGTTCGCGATCGGCAAGCGCCATGCCATGGAGGCAGAGGGAGACCAGAGACAGCAAGGCGGGGCCAAACGAGAACAAAGACCGTCGTCGCAGATGTGAGGTTTCTCGCCTCTGCTTTACGCTCACGCGGGCTTTTTCAGTTTTCGGTTTCATGTTTCAAAATATTCATCCCTTTGAATATTTAGCAGTTCGAAATGGGATCGAGCTTGCAGCGAGATCGGCACCGCACGGGATTACTAAGCAGAGCCGACCCCATTTCATGGTCACCGGAGACGTGACTCGATCTTTTGACGCTTCCTTGCGATCTGATCGAAATAAATGCCCGATACCGTGCGAAGTGACCGTGTCCGAAGTGTCGGTCGTGGCCCACGGGCGACACCCTCGGTGGACCTTCATTCACTCATGTGTGAGGCCTTTGTAGTTCGGCGGCTGCGATAGCCGGTCTCGAAGTCGCGCTCCGAATCGCGTCTCCTTTTTTTTTTCTTTTTTTTTTTTTTCAATGTTATCGGATTTACTTTTATGCTC